AGTTGACAACCGATTTCAGATAGGATTACTCTGGAAAGAGAACGTACAGTTGCCAAACAGCTATAAGATGGCAGAGAGACGACTTTTGGGAATTGAGAAGAAAATGCAACGTGATGAAATTTATGCTGAAAAATACAGAAATGAAATGAACAAATATTTGGAGAAAGGATATGCTCGAAAATTAATGCCAGAAGAAATAGAGAACGAGTCAAAAAGAGTATGGTACTTGCCGCACTTTTCAGTACAAACCGTGCACAAACCAGAAAAGTTGCGGATAGTTTTCGACGCCGCAGCAACAGTGGATGGAGTATCGTTAAATACTTCATTGCTAAAAGGTCCAGAAGTAACTAATCCACTCATTGCTATTCTGTTACAGTTCAGGAATGGTGCCATTGGAGTGGCAGCCGACATTAAAGAGATGTTCTCACAAATTCGAATCCAACCTGATGATCAACAAGCACAACGGTTCCTTTGGCGCGACGGACTTACATCGCAGCCAATACAACATTACTCCATGACGTCATTAATTTTTGGAGCAGTCTGCTCCCCCTACTGTGCTGAATACATAAAAAACAAGAACGCCGCAATCTACCAAGAACAGAAGCCAGAAGCTGTAGCAGCTATATTGGAACGACACTACGTGGATGATTTAGTCATTAGTTTTGACCAAGAGGAAGCAGCCATAAGAATTTGCCATGACATTGTCGAAGTCCATCGCCGTGGCGGGTTTGAACTGCGTAATTTTATTTCCAATTCAACACTGCTACAAGAGGTTCTGAATAAAACACCGATTGAGACAAGTGTGGTTAACGTTGAAGGGAAAGGTGCTGACGACAAAATACTTGGAATGTACTGGAACACGACAACTGACAGTTTTGAGTTTAAAACTAAATTTCATCGAATCGCAGCTGAAGTAATGCAAGGGAGACGCATTCCTACCAAAAGAGAGCTGCTGGGTATTGTAATGGCAGTCTATGATCCGTTTGGCCTAATAGCGGATTTCTGCATATTCGCCAAAATCCTCACACAAAAAACTTGGAGTCGTCGCATTCAATGGGATGAGGTATTACCGGGTGAATTGCAGGACGAATGGGGTCATTGGTGGACAGCACTGCAGAACATGCAAGAGTTTCGAAAACCACGTTGTTATTCACCGAATTTGAGCCGTAGTAACTACATAGAGTTACACATATTTGTAGACGCCAGTCAAAGCGCCTTTGCCGCCGCCGCGTACCTACGCATTGTCTATGGAAGCCAAACTGATGTTGCCTTTGTCATTGGGAAAACTCGCCTTGCACCAACAAAACTTCTGTCAATTCCTCGTTTGGAATTGCAAGCCGCAGTCTTGGGAGTACGCCTAAATAAGCTGGTGGTCAAGCATCAGCAATTCAAATTGCATAAGACAGTTTTTTGGAGTGACTCAAAAACGGTTTTGCAATGGCTGCATTCAAAGGATCGAAAGTTTAAGCCATATGTGGCTCACAGAGTAACCGAAATTTTATCCATCTCCCACGCTGATCAATGGAGATGGGTGCCGTCTGCCGAAAATCCAGCGGACACTGCCACGCGTCAAGTTGCAGTGCCGAAAATTAATCACAATAGTATGTGGCTAACTGGACCTGAATTTTTAAAGAAGTCTTCAAACCAATGGCCAAAAACAATTAGTGAACCGCAGAGTGGAATACTTGAGGAAGAAATCGAGACCAAAACCGTTTTAAGCTGTCAAGTAAGCGAGCCCATTGTAAAATTTATTAAATTTTCTTCTCTATCAAGCTGTATAAGAGTCTTTGCCTGGGTTTTGCGTGCAAAACACAACCTGGTCTACCGCACCTCCATGAAGAAGAGTGAGAGGATCCCGCCATTATCATCAACAGAGTTGGTAGATGCTGAAAATATGTTATGCAAAATTGTACAACAGGAAGTCTACTCTGACGAAGTTTCCACTTTACGCCAGAAACAACTGCTGCCAAAGACAAGCAGTATATACAGATTGTCACCATACTTGGAAGAGGATGGCCTGTTACGCCTGTCTGGACGAATTGATGAAGCTTACTATCTACCATTTGGTGCACGACGACCCATCATACTGCCAAGAAATCATTTGTTTTCATCTTTAATCATGCAACACTTTCATAACAAGTACCATCATCAGAACATTGCTGTCATAATTAACGAATGCCGCCAAAAATATTGGATACCGGATGCTCGAGGTCTACTTAAACGAGTTCAGAAGACATGCAATAGATGCATTATTGATCGAAGTCAACCACGTCAACCACTTATGGGTCAACACCCAATTGACCGATTAACACCTTATGTACGCCCATTTTCATACTGTGGTGTAGACCTGTTTGGGCCCATAAATGTCACAATTGGACGTCGATGCGAAAAACGCTGGGTAACCATATTTACATGTCTCACTATACGTGCCACCCATTTGGAAATGGTTGAAAACCTTTCGACGGACGCCTTTATTATTAGTTTACGGAACTTTATTAATCGTCGTGGAGTACCAGTAGTCTTCAGAAGTGATAATGGTACCAATTTTGTTGGCGCGCAAAAGGAATTGACTACAACTGATCGATTGCTGAATATTGAGACACTAATAGATGAGACCTCTGCTAAAAGAATTAAATGGATATTCAATTCGCCTGCAAACCCAAGTGCTGGTGGCTGCTGGGAACGACTAATACGTATAGTGAAACGACTGCTTGGAAAAACATTGAAGGACGTCGCCCCACGTGTGGAAACGCTACGTTCAGCGCTGATCGAAGTTGAGAACATATTGAACTCCCGCCCATTGACAGACTTACCGGTCGATCACGAGGATGATGAGCCACTTACGCCAAATCATTTCCTATTGGGATGCGTAAATTCGACACAGACGCCATACCCACCAGAAAATATAACTTGTTTGCGAAAACAGTGGCATATTGCGCAATCGATCAAGGACCGCTTATGGAAACGGTGGATAAATGAATATCTACCACAACTTGTATGTCGCAGCAAATGGCATGACAACCCAGAAGCAATCAAAGTAGATGATCTGGTCATTATAATGGATGAATCCACCCCACGAGAAAAATGGAAGCGAGGACGAATTACAAAGTTATATCCTGCCAAAGATGGACAAATTCGTAATGTGGACATAAGAACAGCAACCAGCAGCTTACGTCGTCCGGTGTCAAAACTTATTATACTGAAGCTTAATTGTGAATCGCGGAGCGCTTCACCAGGAGGGGGGGTGTAAAGATCGAAATACCAATTTATACTAATGTTATCGATTAAGTCATATGAAATATTTTGTTATTGTATTGTAATCGAATTATGGTCACACAGTGTCATGAAGAAGCTGGTCGTCGACAAAACACGAAATTGAAACTCGCGGAAACTCTCCGAAACCTACTGAAATTTATCTGAATTTAATTTAAAACGGTCATTTAATCACATATTCTCAATAATTACTTATCCACAAAATCATTATTATTAAAGTTCAAACAAAACCATAGTCAAGTGTCTTTTCATTAAATTTTAGGGCCCAGCGTTCATACTGGTCCTTACAGAGGGGTTGGGGGCTACATGTAAATTACAGCGAAGCGAGCACAGTTATAATTAGAAAAGTTTTGCTGTTTGAAATGAAATGAAATTGCATTTGATTTGTAAAATGTACTTCTAATGATGTTTAAACTGAGAGGCAAAGTTTTGTAGGCCTTTTAGGCAGTATTTTTTGTATTTTTATTATTATTTCTGATGAATTTCTGTAATTGGAATAGAAAGTGAAGTACGTAGAGAGCAGCACGTGCCAGCGAACAGATTTTCAAAGCAATGATATATGATACATTATGTTTGGCTGTAAAGGAAATGCTTGAATGAAAATAATTTGTTGAGGGAAAATTAATTTTTATGGTATGGCCATAGAAACCAACAACTGTTGTTTTGTTTGTGTGCGCAAATTATGTATTTACAACGATTAATCGCCAATGGCAGGGTCTAAGCTTTTAAGGCCTCGAACTGAATAAAAACGAATAGAAAACAAAGCCATAAAAGTAATTGAAAAACGGGCTTTTTTATTCTCCAATCCACAATCGAAATAATTGTTATTAATTCTATTATAAGACAACTTAGGGTGAGTTAAATAATACTACAATAAACAAGAGAGAACGCTACAGTCGAGCAAGCCCGATAGTGTAATACCCTGTACCCAGGTAAACTTGCGTCACTGAGTTATATGCGCCCATAGCAGCAGCAAAAAGAGGAAGAAGAAGAGCGAACTTGTTGCTGCAGTTTGTGGGGGTTGTACTGGCGAAAATTTGTTTTGCTAATAACTTTTCTTAGAATTGACCGAATTGAATAAATTTTGAACAACAGTAGACAATTATATATAAATTATGTGTGCAAAGTTTGGTTTAGGTAGCATTTGAAATGTGGACGCTATTGACGAAATTCTGTAGCGGGGGAAGGGGGGGGAAAATTAAAAAAAATAAAATAAACTCGTCCTTACTCGGACCTAGGAGAATCTGGATGCCAACTTTGGTTATTCCAGCTTTTATAGTTTCTGAGATCCTTGCGTTCATCCAGACGGACGGACAGACGGACAGACGGACGGACAGACGGACGGACATGTCTAGATCGATTTCTCTCGTTATGCTGATCAAGAATATATATACTTTATGGGGTCGGAGATGCTTCTGTATGTTACATACTTTGCACAAACCTAATATACCCTTTTTACCCTACGGGTACAGGGTATAAAAACAGAGTTACATTTAGAGAATTTCATGAATTTTTAAGTTATAGTTAGGGGGACCATAGAGTCTATTTAAAGAACTTCTTAATTCCATCAATAAAACATGTGATCTTGGAAGAGTAACTTAAACTCTCATTGGAGTCACAATAAATTTAAATTAAATGATATAATAAAACATATAGCAATATTGTAAAATACTGAAAACAAACTCATACTAAAATCTTTAACAGTTTTTCTGCTCTTCTCTTTACAGCAACTTTTGATTTGATTTAATTCCAAGCAACTACATCTACAACACTAAGGAAACCCCAATATAAAGGACAACGAAATATCTGTATCTTGCAATGCTGCCATATTCCAAAGGCTAAGCGCCAACAATAGCAATAACGACAACTATCAATATAATAACAATAACAACAACAAGGACAAGAACAACAACTGCAATTGAAAGCGCACAGCGTGCTGTTTGTTACATAATTATTTCCTCCCCACAAGCGTGAACTGCAATCTGTCAAGCTGGCGTCCCTAAAGCGAAATAACAACAATATAAGCAATTATAATAACAATATAATGTGGAGTAGTACGATATCACCAACAAACTCAAAGAAACTGTTAATCGGTAGTACACGAAGCGTCGATTATGTCGGTGATAGTGCAACAACAACAGCAACATCAGCACCCAAAGCCAAAACAATCCAAGCCACAGGAGCAGGAGCAGGAATTGGAGCAAAGCCAACGGCAACGGCTAAAGCGTATACGGTGGTGTCCAACAAAACAGCGACAGCAACAGCAACAGCAACTACAACAACAACAACAGCACAAGCAGCAACAACAAACACAACAACTAAAATCTCAATTGAAATGGAACTTCATATACAAAATAAGTGCATTTCGGCATAGCGCATCACTCTGGAGGGTGGTGCGGAGCCGCCATGGCTGCAGGGCCCCCTTAAAGCAGCATTTTTGGGGGCTACTGGCGTCGGCAAAACAAGCATATTACAGGTGAGTCAGCAATGGAGAATCATAAATAGCTATTGCCATTATTAGATATAGATGCTCCAATATGGAAAGGAAAAAAAAATATTAATCTTAAGCCAATAATAATGATAAAGTGTGTTTTATTTCAACTACAAATAATTTTAAATGTAAATAAATGAATTGGCATTAAAAACAAAATATTTATGTACTATACACTATTTTTAAGTAGAATAATTTGTAGATAAAATGTGCTTGTATCTCCAATGCTGGATCGTTTAAATTCTGCGTGAATCAAAGAGCCATTATTGTAATACAACGAGCTTCTTCAGTGCAGGAACTGGTTAACCAGTCGCCATTGTTGCCTTTTCGTAATTGCCGAGCGACAATGCTAACCGCAAAACGGAAGGCCACTACAGAAAAGCATAACAATGACTACAACTTTTTATACCCTATACCGGATGGGTAAAAAGGATATATTAGGTTTATGCTAAGTACGTAACAGGCAGGAGGAAGCATCTCCCGTAAGGTATAGGTATTTCTTAAGAGCATGACAAGACAAAACGATGTAGACAAATCAATCCGCCTATCTGTCCGTCCATCTGACAACGGCTGAGTCCACATTAACATATCCTTTAAACTCTCCTTATCCTTGGGTAACGCAAGATAGTTTCATTTTTTGATTTTGTGCGTTGAAAGCAATCAAGGATTTTTAGAAATATCACTAGTAGATATTTTAAAAAATCAACTTTTAATAATAACTAGATTATGAATCAACTAAATATATATTTATTCAATATTCATTATTTATTTTTCATTATTTATTATCAAAAGCAATACACACATAAAAGATTGCGAATATCGAACTTAATTGATAATCCTATTGGCACATTGTCTTAGCAGAGATGACTTCTTAAGCTGAAGTATAAATAAGTAGAACAGCCTTTTTTAACAAAACAATATAAATTTTATGTTGGGCAGAATCAGTTCAGAAACTAAATACGAACTACTCTCTGCAAAATGACATTTTATATACCAACCTTGCAAATCTTGACAATACTTAATATAGATTTTAATTAAATGGTTTGGTGCTATGGCTATGACTGGATTTATTACTGTGTAAGTTTCCTAATCATTTCTGTCTTTTAACGCTGTGGATTCAATAGATTCGATAACTAAACAATTCAATTGAATATACTGGTACTAAGAGATAATGATAATATTTCTAACGAGCTGTAATACTTTTTATTTAATATTAAATTTAAAACTTTAGCATCTAAAAACCAATTCCTCTTTAAAGTGTGTCATTATTTTGGAAATTACAAACAAAAGCTGTACGTTCATATTTCAATCAGAATTGGGTCAGTAAAATTTAATGTTCATACAATTTGTTTTATCATAGATGCCAAAACTCAAATTTCAATTAATTGTGGTTATTAAAATCGAATGGCTTGCGAAATGTTTATTAAATGCCTTTCATTAAAATTTAATTAACGTTCATGGCAAGGACGGACGTTTTACAAACGATTATATTCGTAAAGCCAAACATTTTATACAACTCAAATATTTTATTGTTCAGTTATAAATCAAAATATACATTCAGTCTTGGCAATGAAATAGTGCATTACTCATACGCAGAGTAGTACAGTTATGGCTTAAAATGAACTACGTTTTGTCACCCCTGCAATCGATACACATTTCTTTACATAATCATATGTACTAAGTTTAAAGTCTGGGCTACAATCTATACATTAATTATGCCTTTAAGCTGCTTACATGTTATAATAATAAGCAGAATCTAGCTGCCATCAATCTTGTGTTCTAAAAATAAAGGTGTGGGAGAGTATATGTAATGTTCGTTATGTTATGTAACCATTTTCATTCCACTCATATCATTTTGCTGCTCTGCAGCCGTGTGTGTTTCCATTAATATCAATAATTTGCACTGATGTGCAACAGTATGCAACGAGCATTTATAATTTGCAGGACCGAACGCCGCCACCCCTCAGTTCGCGTTGCAACTATGCGTGTGGATGCAACCTGGCTTTGAATTATTAGTGGTGATGGCGCCATAAAAGCTGAAAAGTTTAGCCGGTTAACAGCAAACTTTTTAATGGGCCCGTCCAGATGCAGTGTCGTCGCCACCCTCGACCCTTTTGTCGACCCTGCTGCTCATTTAGCGGCCATTTAACGCCGCGTGTCGTGAACTCATTTCTAATTGCATTTGTGTGTGCATGTGCATGTGTGTGGGTATGCCGTTAATTTGATTTGCGCTCGGTTGGTTCGTTTCGCTTCACATCTTTTGTGGTTTATCTTTTGTAATTACAAAATGCCAGAACGGACCGTGTTTCTCGTGTCGTTTTGCTGTTTTACACATTTGCGATCCGAACATTCAATTAACTGCAGTTCCACACACATATGTGTGACACATCCCCCTCAATTGCCATTTGCTCCGCGCACATTTTACAACACTGCATTTAATGTGCCTTTTTGTGTTTGTGCATAAACTTAATGCTCATTTACGAGTTTCTGCCCGACTGCCCAGCCGCCACGAGTATCGCGATTTTGCGTCTAAGCCGAGAGTTTCACAAATGTGTTTCGCTGCTGTTTTTATGACGTTTTCAACACTCTGAATCGGTTTCAAGCGGTTTAATGGCCGATTCATAAGTGTTGCAGGTCGACAAAGTCAGGAAATATTCACTTGGCGATATAATTCTATGTTTTACCACCAACTTACGTGGGCTTTGATTGATAAAAACAAATGCGTATTTATTTGTAAGCTCTGTTTACAACCCCACTGCTGGCTAAAGTGTTAGTTGACTACTTTGAAATAAAATTAGTAATTATTAATTATTAAATTTAAATACACAGCTTCATAAGAGACTGAAGTAATTAAAATATACACATAATAAGTGCGAAATGAAGACAGGACTAGCAAAGCGCTTTGCAGGGATCTTACCTAACAAATTTATTTTCTTCAAATATCAATACACTTTTGAAAACTCTGAAAATTTTCTGAAATATGATATTTTACTTGGAAACTAACTACTTTTTGAAAGACAGTTAGGTAATCGTTAGATATTATTTGATAAGTTCAAACCTTGGAAAATTTCTTATCAACTATTTCCTGTCTACAGTTCTTATTTTTTTGGAGATCAGCAACCTCCAAAACAATTAATTATTTAACTGAAAGACTCAAACTAGTGTACTGATAAAAATGTTGATTAATCTGCTTACTGCTTACTTACCCCAAAAAACAAAGATTTTCATTGCAATCGCAGAAAAAAATTTGAAGCATTTATAAAAAATTATACTTGAATACAAATTGACTTCAATTATAATATATGTAATTGTTCCGAACTATGTTTTTCATTTCTTGCACAAGTTTGCAGCACTTATGGACAGTTCCCTAATGCTTTTTTATTAACTTTTTCTAATATATCTAAAAGTTTAAGCTCACATTCAAAAATGAAATGCACATTTCGAGTTACTCGTTTCTTAACTGCAATAATAAGAAATATTTTGCGAAACGTTCAGATAGAAAAATATTTTATATTCAACAAATTATACGAATTCTCTACAGCAAGCAATTAATCACGGTAATTGCACTAGAGATCGATATTTGAAAAGCCAACTTTGCCATCTCAATCAGCCCTCCCATATGTGAGACAAGAATCCTAGACGTACTTTTGTATGACCGCACATTTCAAGGCTGAGCGAACATTATCTAGACAGCCGAATCTCTAGGTATCAGTGTCGGAATAGGCGTGCGAGTCTCACAAACTAATATAATAGGAATCACGGAGAGTATGTTAAGGCGCCCAAAATAAATGACTGACGGGGAAAGCAACATGAAATAAAAGGAAAGCCCAATGACCCCAAAGGGAGAAGCTGTTCTAAAAATCGGCTAAAATGGGCGGCAATGTTTATGCGTGCGTGTGTGTGAATGGCTGCGCATAGGATATCAATACATGAGTCAAAGAGTCGCAACGACGGATAGGCAGTGCTGATGATGCTGACAGGCTCAAAGGATATTTAACGCTTGATTGCATTTTAAAGTGATGCCCTGCCATTTGGCCAAACGAGGCAAACGAGCCAAAGCCAAGGCGAGCAGGCAATGTCCTTGGCTCAGATTTATTTTTGTTTTTTTTTTTCGAGTATGTGACGACGGCTGGGTGTGATAAGCAGGCCAGAAAACATTTGCTAATAATGAAGACAAAATCATTTGGGAGCTTTCCACTTTCTTTATTTTATATACCCTTTGAGAGGGTATGTTGCGTTTGGTTTCAAATTTGTGAATTGTGAAAACATACTAGTATATAAATTATAAGAAAAATGAAACAATTTTGGTCTGTCCATGAAATGAATGCCATAGATATCATAGAAACTATTGGCTGATTTTTTGTATTTAATGCTATCAGACTATTAGACTAATCTATCATATGATTTCCAAGCGAATATCTAGTTCTGAAACACTTTTTTGAATAGAAAGATTTTAGAATCGCCTTTGCTAATGGAAGGCCTTTAGAAATAATCAATCAATAATACACTATATCATAAAGCAGGTTCTGAAAACGTCCTTGAATCAATCTTTTTATGTATATATTTATAGATTAATATGCTCTCTGTGCATTTACAAGAGTATTCAGACTTCGGCCCATCGCTTATTTACTTGATCTTCTCATTGAATTTATATGCAAATTTGTTGGGAAAGCTCTCGGATAACGCGCTCGTCAATCAGTTGGCCAATCAGCAGAATTGTCGCGCTAATAGTCATAAAATCAAGTACAATTTATGCTTGCTCCAATTCAATTATGTTGCGCACCGGAAACGGAAGTGGCCAACGCAAAACGGAAACGCGTTTAGCAGCAGACATACGGACCGACAAGCATCAAACGAGTTGGCAATTTTTAAAATTATACACTGCACACATTTTCTTAAACACCGACTCGTACACCGACTCGCACGCCTCAGTTTCCAGTTTTATGCATCCCCGCCACCAGCACGCATATCATTGAATTTTATGTTTATTGAGCCCGTAATTGAATAAGGAATGACATTGATGGTCGCCCGCCAGCGACAAGGCTCCCCATTCTGCCCGTGCTCGGCCATTGCTGTTGGCCTTTCTCAATGCCACAATAAAGCCCGCTATATTATATTGCACATAAATAAGCGGAGTGGTGCCGCTTTGGAAACTTACTCAAATGGTTATTCATGGCAATGCTGTAATTTATACGACTATGATGCGCCATTGGAGTCAAAGCCTCATCTCTCCCTCAACTCCCTTGGCGTCCCGGCGCGTGCAATGCAATTTTATTTGGTTTTTATTGCAAGGATTAGCGCAATATATCAAAAGGTTTACGGCGGCAATGTGGCAGCAGATAAAAGCGTCGGTCATGGATGAGCAACTGCTTCTGCACATGACAGATGGATTGAAAGTGAATGCTCCGCTGATTACTGCAATGGATTGGAGGCCAGTTCGTTAGTTTAAAGGCAACCGGTCTACATAGGCATTAGTTGCTAAAATGTGTAGCTGATTTTAGTTTGTTCCCCAAGTGTGAAAAAAAGGGCACAATCGAAATGTATTTTCAACTACTTCTTGAACTCTTCTTCACCATCTATCTTCACCATTGGCGATTTCCATGCTTAACAGTAATTGGAGTTCCAATGGCACTTCGAGAAAATTTGCATAGCCTCTAGTCCTCGTTAAGTGTTAGTTTCTCTTCTTAAAGACTTCAACTTTTTGTTTTGAATCTTCCTAAGACAAATTGTTTGACCGGTATTGATTCGTTCACCTTCATTTTTCCGCTTTACCCCTCAATATATACCCACTCTCCTGCCATTATATAATCAGTTTATTAACATATCAGCAACTTCTCGACTCTTACATCCTGTTCTAAGTATTATCATAAATTAAAATTAATTTCTGTAAAAAACCCATTTTCAAGCAATCTCGAAATGTCAACTCAAAAAGTTGAAATCCAAATAAACATGTTAAAAATACGCATCGCATTCCTTTTGATAACTCTACACACAATCTGAAGTTGTTTTTTTGCCCGCATCGTTAAACATTTTCAAAGCCAACAAAATGTTTGTAAACGCTTTTTCGAAAAATAAAAAGGTAAAATGCTATGCATGCTTATGCATTTTTCTGTCAACCATAAACTCAAATATGTGCACACAAACATAGGGACATAGAGGACAGCATTGAAATGTGTAGAAATGTCTGCGCCATCTGCAATCTGAAGAAGGCTAAATAAATACAAATGTGCGGAAACAGAACCACTCATCCGTTTCGTAGAAATCAAATAAACTCGGGCCAACATGATTTCTCTCCTTAATGTAAGATAAAATTGTGCAACAAACAAGAGTCAATGCTGAATGCTGATTAAATATCGAAAAAGTTATATTTGACTGCAAAAACACAATGGCATTATTTGGTGAATGGTTTTAACAAATAAATTTTATTTTAATTGTATTTAAATACAGCAAAAAAATAAGAATAAATAGTTGGAGGATATTTCAAATAATGGCTAAACAGCATAGTTTAATGATTGTTTTCTTCTAAATCTGTTTAACTATATAAATACTTTTCAGATATGAAAACCTTTCACTGCTTGCAATGCTCACATGGCGTATGCGCAATATTGCTTTTAGTTTTTAAGCCTCCGCCATGTTGGTTGCCCTTGCCGTTTCACTAATTTGCTTTCCATTGCACTTTACAGCAATTTTTCTACCATGACTTTCCCAAAACTCATCAGACGACGACACGTCGCAAAATCTACAAAAATTGTCTGGTCTGCGATACTTGCATTCGGGAGCTGATGGTACTGGACGTTCCGCCCCAGGTGAGTCGCCAACTTTTGGCCAACAATATTTCATTAAAAAACTTTCAGCTGGCATGCATTTGATTATGTGGTCTCTCATTTTATTGCTGAAACTTTTGGCTTGTGGCCGAACAAAATTTGTCGGTGCATTACGTCGCAATATTGTTGGAGGCAAGCTGTGAACAGAGCTTTTGCGGCAATAAATTCAATCGGCTAGCCCTCATCCCCCATTCTTATTTAAACGTTAATTTAATTGGAGAATATTTTTGCCACAAACACCACAGCCAACAGCTGCTGCAATCTTCTGGCGTTGATGCCTTATGGCCAAGTTGTAACGCCACATGACGCATAAATATTCAAAGCGTTTGGTAACGTGTTCTCTTAGTTGTTTTTGTTGTTGCCGTTGTTGCGGTTGTTGCCTTCGCCATCACAGTTGCCGTCACAGTCGCCGTCTAGACACAGGTTGCTGCATTTTCATTTTAGCCGACAGTTTTTTTAATAATCAAATGGCAGCAACAGCTTACCACAGACAACGACCGCAACCCAAAATGGCGCTGTGTTAGCCACGCGGCAGTCGTGGAACCATTTCAGTTTTATTTTTATTAAACTTACGGGCACATGCTATGTATAAAGGGTGAAGCACAAATTCCAGTTGCCACGTATTAACTTTTATTAAAGTATCTAAAAACAGATTTCCACTTTATACGGCTTACTAGTTTTATTTTTCAATAAATATGCGACTGTGTTTTCTTCTCAGACTCTCTTAACTAGGTTTAAAGTTAAGCAACAAACTAAAGAAATCCCATTAGTTTCCTTACAAAGTATATAGAGAGGTAGAGAAAGCGATATATATTTTATTTTCGAATTTAGAACTTTGTTAAGCCTTTTAATAGAAGTATTATTTATATTATTGTTATCATTCATAAGTGAATGATAATTGATATTTGCTTTAGTTAACAGCGATTCTGCATTTGTAATTGCTTTTACATTGTCTTCTCATATCTATAATATCTATAAATTATATTTCAATTAATAACCCATCCGCTCACATATCGTTTTCATCATTTGATTTTTTCTGCTTAACTAATTTTTTTGTAAATTACATACAAATACATTAAATATCAACATATCTATAAATAATAGATTTATTTATTATACTGCCTCTGTTGATGAGCAGTTAAGCTGCCGCCATCGGTTTAGAGCCTCATATTTTATTAATTTTTAATTGCCTGAAATTGCTGTTCGTGGAAACACGCCCAAGCCTCGACTGTTTATGGTGCTATTATCTACATGAAGGCGCAATTATTGCTGTCATAAAGTAGGCTCGTAAGTTGGCCAGTGGGTCCATGGCCTAACCGCAGGGCACGTAAAGGCACGTGAGTGCGTTTATATCTACATACTATATATGTATCCTTGCAATGTAATGTCAGGCCGAGGAGTGTCTTAAAGTTTATTACCTGCCCCCAGCCTGTGTCGGCTCTGAGACCCCAGGATCTTTATGGCCCACTTTTGGCAGCTGGTGCCACAAAAAGCCAAACACACTCTAAGCCGTGACAACTTGCCCATTGTCTGATAGTTACAAGCAATCTGACCAATTTACATGACCACATGAATTACCTATTCCCCTTCTACAAACCACAAATGACAGACAGAAAAAACTGTGCGATCCATTGGGAGAGAGGAAACATTTTTTAAAACGGCGCCTGTGTGCGGTTTGCTGAACTGAAAACTAAATCGTCGTGTCCGACAGCTGAACAACTCAACCAGCAGAGTCGGTAACGCACGTCCAGTGGACCGGTCAGGCGAAGCACATGTTGGCCATCAACAGTCGACTGAATGCCACATGCTGCTATGCATTTACAGTGGTGCAAGCATTATTCATGGCAACCAAGCTGACCTCACCGCTGTTGCAAAGAGTGTGTTATTTTCCTCAGATATCAAGAAATTAATTAAAGACATGAGTATTTTGTGTTTCAACTTCCCCAATATATTTCAGGGTATTTATTTCACCCAAATTGCAAATTCAACTAAACAATCTTGAAGCCACTGTACTGAGTATATGTGTGAGGATGTGTTTTCATTTGTGTGGCTTGGCAGGCATTTGCATGTGTCCAGTCTGTCTATACTCGCATGCGAGTATGTCCGCCTGTCTATTCTCTCTACTCCCTTGCATATGAATGGGTGTGTGCGTATGTATCTGTATTTGTATATATGTGTATTTGTGCATGTTTTACAATCATAAAATATTTAGAAGACGCGCTTCACTTTGGTTGCTCACTGGCCTGACTTTGGTTGCATTTTGTTTGGACGGCAAGGTTGCAAGCACCAAGTAGAAGCTTGAAAAAGCGAGAACAAAATAAAAATAGATGAAATGAAAACCTAAAAAAAGAAATGGCGCCATTCAAGCAACAATAATAAAAACGAAACTGGGCCAAGTGAACTGACAATGTCGGTGCAACAGCAACAACAACAACAACAATGAATGGATGAGCTCGGCTTGAGTTACAACTATAAATATAAGCATTCACTGAAACCACAAAACAACGAAAAATTTGCATTGAGATGCAAAAAGTTGGCGGTGGCTAACAACAAAAAGAATAATAGGTAGATGGCAAAGAGCCGCCATTGTCATATTAACTGGCAGCCGGGCCCTGGCACACCCCCTTTGCCAATGCCTTTTAACTTATTCATGTCCATTTTGGCGTGAATTTGTTTTCGAGTATATTTTATGCTCACTCTTTTTGTAGGTGTGAGTGTGTGTGTGTGTGTGTTTGTGTGGCAACCATTTGGCTGCCTTTTTATTTGGACTGTACAATGGCCGCCTTGGTGTCATGGCTGTGGGGGAAGTGTGTTTGTGTTCGTGTTCGCGTGTGTGTGTGTGTGTATGTGTTTTTCGGCGGCGGACGGACGTCTGTTTATTGTGGTGAAATTTTTCATCGTCAAGTGCAATGCCTGGCAGTCATAACTCAAAGTCCACCTTAATGGTTCCACTTGTGCGAACAACATTTATTTTCCAACAGATTTTTGCTCTCACACGACTATGTGTGACAATGTTTGTGTGTCTGTATGTATGTATGTGTGTGCACGGCGATTTAGCTGCCTTTTGTTTAGTCGAAGTGGTCGAGAGTAACTTAAAACGACAATTTATAGCGCCCATTCCCATTGTTGTTGTTCAGTCATATTTAGAGAGTGCTTTCCCCGGACTCTCGAAATTAACTCAGTTTCTTGTTGTGAATACTCAGCAGCATTTTGAAGTGTGCAATTGGTGCTGTAGCTGAAACAAAATTTAAATAAATGTACATTTATCTCAATCAACATTAATAACATCTTGTATTTCTTTCTCTTTTTTGAAAATATACAAAAAACTCATAAACCGATATAAGGATGCTACTAAGAACAGGCCACGCATATAATTTGTACGATCGTGAAAATATTTTTAAGCACAATCCCAGTAAGCCTATTTACAAAATACATTTAAAATAGAGCTTTTCCCTTGGCGAATTCGTTTACATGATGCAAACTTGTTAAATGTTCTCAATCGCGCAAAGTTCAAGTTATCCGGACTCGAAAGTGTTTCAGAATATTTCAATCCATTTCCTGAATTCAGAACTGTTAATATTTCCACATAACTTTATGGGTATTAATAAGTTGTCGTTGTTATTACATTATAATTTTTATTTTTTTAAATTAATTTTGGTCTTATTTTTTGAATCATTAGTGTATTCCCCCTCTAAGAAACAATCTACAGCTCGTTATCGTTTAAGAAATTTTAAATAATCTTCTTTATAATTTAAAACATATTGTACGTAATCTAGCAGCCAAAACATTTTAATTGGACACTATTGTCCTTCAATCAGCTGTCCCCAAAATTCCTAATAATGTCTAGTCAGCAGCAGCACTGGGAGGTAATGATGTTAAGCCCAGAAATGGTTCCAATCGAAATGTTTGCCCAAGTAAAAAGGCAATCTGACAAATCTCAATGGGACAATGCAACAATTTCAAACTGCCAATGAGAGAGCGGCTCTGGCTAACGAGCTGCTCGCATTTCAGTTAACTGTACCGTTAATTAACAACACAACAGCAACAACCAACAAAACAACAATCAGATCCAAGACAGCAGCGATAAGAACAACAAACAGCAACAAAAACAAGGCCAGACTATACAGATTACTCGCAGACGTAGAACAGAGCGCAAATTAAATGAAATTTAATCAAAAACGTAAATCTAGCTAACTCACTACCAGGGCTGGCGGGCAATGAAACACAAAGAGAAGCATGGACGAGATAGAGAGACAAACACACACCCATGGCCAGAGGCAGGCTAACACAAACAGGCTGGACGCCACAACTTGGCACGCGTTTCTCTGTCATGCACACCGACGCGTTTTTGTAGCGTTTATAAACGCGTGAGGCAATCGGTGTCTTATCTCACGGCGTACTTTATTGTTTTTGTTGTTGTTGTGGTGGTGTTGTGGTGTTGTGGTTCTTCCTGTTGTAGGTGTCTTTGCCTGTGCTCCTTGCTCTGTGCCTTTGACGTTGACTTTTGTTGGCGCCTAAAATGCTGCCGCGTAAATTTAATTATAACGTTTGCCTGCGCTCGCCATATTTCTTGAGCAGGGCACCCCACCCTCCCCTCCGCCATTTGAGCGTCGTTTGTTCGCTGCTCATTAGCGGCGCCTTCTCCAAGTGACCCCAAAACATTGGAATGGTCGGATGAGTCCTTTCGAGCATTGAATTCAGAAAAGAATTTAATCTAAGGTATATGTAGGAACATAATTTCCACACAAATTTATCGGATTTCACATCGGATTTCATGTCATGCACTTGCCACTAGCAATAATTTCAATATATTGCTATAAAAATGTAATAATTAAAAATGTTTAACTTCACAAAATTACAAAATGCGATTAGTAAAGTAACTCAAATTCGTTCGAAAAAGTGCCTGCATCAGCGACTAAGTCGATTTTTATAGCAATTATTTTTGCTTTTTAAGTATAACAAATGATTTTAGATTAAAACATTAATTTCTTTTAATTACTGCTGAGGTAATTGCCACGCCGGCAAAAAATATATTTGGTATGATCCATGATTTTATTTTAAAAATAATTTAAAAAATTAAATGCACACAAGTTTCGGGGTTTTTCTTCCTAAGCGAAATTGATCGAATTTTGTATCAGAAATGAATATATTTTTAAGGTCAGACTGTCGTTCACTTTTTCTCTCCCTGTCTCCACAGTTTTTCATTAAAGCTTTTAGTATTTTGATATCTGACACATTTAAGTCGCACACGCTCCACATGTTCTGCAGCAAGTTTTCCCAAAACAAATAAATAAAAGTGCTTTTCTTTTCTCTCAACGAAGCTAAAATACCCTTACTATAGAGTTGAATTTATAATTAAGTATATTGTGTGAAGATTTGCTTTCATATTTATTTAACAATATGCAAAAATCGATCATAATCAAGTTTTTATTTTACATTATATGTTCTTCAAAAAGCTCTTAACATATGCGTAAATTTTCACTCATTTATTAATTGATATGTTATATAACTTATATATCAGATAATTAATTTCCCTTTCGCAAACAAAGTTCATGTATTCATTTTAATAAAGATTCATTTAAAGCAATACTCATTGAGATTTTTAATTACCTTTAATAAACGACTGTTTAAATGCTATCGACCATGCCTACATTACTGCATTGTTCTTGATGGTAAAAATAGTAATGTTCAATATTTATTTTATCGGCTGGTAAGTGGCAACATGTGGAGAGACCGTTAGGCAGAGTTACATACAAGGCGCGATTGTTTTCGTTGCCTTTATATTTCACTCATAATACCCTTTCAATAAAACAACAACAACAACAAGGAATGTGTGAATGTGTTCTTTGGAATCCATTTGTGAAAATCTCTTTAAATACTTTTTCGCTTGTACTATTTGCTTTTCATGTGCGCTCGAAAATATGCAACAAATACACAACTGCGGCAATATTGACACAATTTATATGGCCGCTCCATATACGACGAAATTGTTGCTCTTCGCCGCCCCCCAATTCCGCCCGCTTATGCTTCCGTTGATGATGATATGGGCATCGCTGGTGCTGATGAAAAATAAACACATATACTCAAAAACATATATATATACACGTATATATGAACACATTTTGAACGGTACTCTTGCCAGAAGCGATTTCCGGCTGATAACTTTGCTGAATGGAATAATGGACATCCGCTGGGGCTGCGAACGGTGCACGCATATGTGCTCGTCTACGACATGGGCAATTTGGAAACATTTCAGGTAAATTGATTTGCCATGTGACACAATAAACACACAAGCACACACACACATGGTGTATTTATGGTATATATTGTTGCAGTACTGCCGCTCGATGAGAGATCAAATATTGGATAGTTTCAGTCATCGTGATTTTAGCATAATTGTGGTCGGCAATAAATATGATAGTGTGACTGAGGCGCAAGCCAACTCGCAGGTACGTCAATCACACACTAATTTATTTACATTTCTGAAATATGTCTACATACGTGTATCCATCTGCAGGAGCTCAAGGACATTTCCACACTGGTGCGCAAGCATTGGCGTTGCGGCTACGTCGAGTGTTCCGCGCAGTGAGTATATACTATATAGTGTAGAAATTATTTGTTAAAAAGACAGGTCTATCCAAGCTTCATAAATTTTCCAGTTGAGTTAAGCCAGGAAAGAAACAGTCATAATCTCTACAGAAAACTCTCGTCTAAACTATATTTTGTGTTCATTAATTTTGAGTCAGAACTTTAAAGTCTCTTGGTAAGATGTTAGGTTGTTTCCGATTCATAGCTAGTAAGAAACTGATTTAAAAATTATTTGGGAATTGCGTAAGCTACGCCATTTTTATTTGTTTTTTTTTTTTTCTCCCAATATTGTTTTGCATTTGGTTACTTCTCTACTCCTGAATTGAAGTATTACGATAATTTACGGAAGTCCTTGCTTCTTTACAGATATAACTACAAAATCGGCGACGTCTTTCGTGAGCTGATGGGCTGTACTAGCACGGGAGGCGTGGTTGGTACTGAATTTTCACAATCAACTAGAAATAAAGGACGTTGTACAATACTTTAGCAAATGCTGCATAAGTTTTTAAAGCCAACACTTTGATGTAAGCGCCTTTATCTTTACCTACGACTGTATTGTTAGTTCACGGGGCGTATGCGCAACGCGCAAAGCGAAATTTTTGAGAACGTGTCATGAAATGGGCCAAGTGCAAATGCAGAAGTAGAAAAAAAGCCAAAAAAGTTTGCTGCTACATTGTTGTAGACCAGTCCCGGCCCGGGCATCACCACGTCGAATACACTATTCCCGCTTTCCTGCTTGCTCATGCATATTTTAGCATATTTTTAGTGTTGACTGTCGGGCAATACTCTGGACGCTGCAGTACTTGCAGTTGCTGCATTTACTGCCGAGTCCTTTGTTATTATTATTACAACATTTTGCTGGCTGCTTTTGTTTAAGGGGCCCCTTTGTGTTTGCCCGCTTCCTTTCCTTCCTTTTGTTTGCTGCCGTTTTAAATGGAAAACGAACGCTTCACCATTGCAAATGGCGAACGTTTGTGAAGCCATTGCACCATCTCTTTATAGCCATCCCGAGCATCTCATTGACAACTTTCGTTCATTTGAATTTCAATTTTGAGCAAGCACTTTGCTATTAACTTGAAGCAACGAAACTTTGTCCCTATCTAGATGCTTCAACTGAGCGGCTGCAAGGAGCAGGAAGAATGCACCACACACCAAAGGCACACACATATAAATCTGCCATTGAATAATTGTTTTTGTTACCAAATAGACATATTGAAGAATTATTTCTCGTGGTACGTAAATAGGTAATTATCCCACCACAATTTACAATACATTTTATGCAAAAAGCAAAAAACAAAAAACCGAATGAATAAAATGCTGGTATTAACAAAACGGCAATAGCGTTTAAATAAATATTATACGACTATAGTGAATAAATAAATATGCCTAATTGTAAGACATACACATATAAAAATACTTTAACGTTGTGATCATTTCAAGAATTAGTTTTAAGCACGAAGAAAATAATTCAAGTGGAAATAAGTCAAGTAAAATCTCAGCCGAGTGCTCCCAAACACACTTAAAGGTACTTTAGACAGAACAAATAATAATGCAAATTTATAAGAATTTCTTTTTTCCAACAGGTAGTTGCATTTACTTGTATCATTTCGACGACTATAGATTCTTCGTTTATCAATTTTATGAAAACAAAAAATGCAATAGAACAAATAATGTTAGACAACATCAAATCATAATCAAACTCGACTGCCATAAATAACTACACGTTATTCAAATTTTTAATATAAAATCATTAAAGCCATAGATATTTAAAAAATCAATGAAAGTTCTTTAGCCCCCAATATCTTAATAAAAACGGCAGTTTCTAACCTTTAGAAGTAATTTATTTCACTCCTCAGTTAGCTGACATAAAAATATTTGTTATCAAAGACTGATAAACAAATAATATTTAATTATAAATTATTCTTTAATTGACATTTTAAAACTTACGAAGCATTTTTAATTATACATGATGTTCACATTTTATTTTCTTCAGTCAGTTAAAACATACAAATAAATCAAAATTATTTTTTGTACTTATTTGTTGATGCTATTAGATTTTGAATTTTTTGTTAGGTGTTTTTTAAATTCATTTTTACAAAAGTGTCTGCAGCTCAGGCTAAAGTGTAAACGATCTAAATATTTATACCAGAAATCAGACTGCCTTTCCTTTAAAGACAGACAACATTTCGCCAAAATATCGGCAGGAAGCTGACCCATTTTTATAGAGTTATACCATAAAAGGTATATGAAAAACCCAAACTGGGTTTTTAAACTTTTTAATATACAATACTTCGAGGATACTGTAATTCAACGTTTGATTTGCTTCACATTTTTGTAACTTTTAAATGTCTTTTAAGTCCTACTTTAAAAACTTTTTATCCTTTATATGCATTCCTTTTAAGCTCCTCTTCTTTTCAATCCTCTTAAATTTATTAGTAATAGTACTATAGTCCTTTGCAACTGCCTGACTATTTTTAAAAGAGTTTCATTGCAATGCTGCATATTTGGCATTTCCTCAAATCGATTATGAACAAAGTTTAGCGTAATGCCTTATGCTAAAAATAAGCAAATATTTCGTAGACTAAACATACAAATAGTTATTATATTAATTTATAATTACATACATTTAACAATACACCTATTTAAGCGCACAAAAAAAAACTGATTGTGTTATTATCTTTAGAGTTATGTAATTAGCTAACAAATAATTGAAAAATTGAATGCCCACAGATTGTAAAACCATAGGGATATAAATCGTTTGCAATAGTATATATTAATTAATAATTAAAAGTTCTAGTAATAAATAAGCTCAACATAATTACATTTCATTGCAATTAGAATTTCTTCAGTACAGTTTCAAACTCTGTTCAAACATACAAGTATTATTTAACTCAACACACAACAATAAGAGTATTGCAAAACAAGAAGCAATCAAGGCTGACTTTGTATATAAAGATTTCAAGAACTATGCATTAAACTACAGTATACTTAACTTTAACAGCAATTAAAACTATCATCTAAACTTAAAGAAACACCGAGCTGATAAGCGGATGGGTCTAAAAAGCCCGCTCATGTTTATGTGAACTAAACAAAAAATTTGCATTAGAAATGTGTAGAAATAAACATTTTTAGAATTTAATTAAAGGGTAACATGTAATAGCGATAATAATATTTAAAGAAAGCAGATTTGGCGCCACCTTAGGTAACAAAATAAATAAATCATTTAAATACATTGTCTAGTGTGCTGGCTTTGATAAAAATATATATTCATTATGGAGCTACTAAGAACTCATTCAAAAGCTCATAAATACTTAGTTATAATGTAATTATAAAATAGTAGCTTACGTAATTGCTTACTTGTTGAAATTATGGGTTTTTTTTAGCTACAATACATACATAAGAAATTAAGTACAATGCACAATAAGTTTTTTTGTTCTGCTTGTGGATTACGCTTTCTTTGTTTTATTAAACAAAAAGCATTTGACTGCAATATAAACATAAATTAGTGATGTAAAGTGAGGTATCGAATCATCTGAATATTCAAATACAACTTAAATGATACTTATTCCATTTGAGGCTTCCTAAATGTTATTCAAGGATCCACAGCACTAAGGCTTAACATTTATTTATTAACCTTTTGCCAATCTCCGATTTAGAACTAATTTAATGAATAGTAACCATATAATTATACACAATTTTTTCTATCCCTCTCATTTGTCTGATTAATTCCAAAATGTTAAAGCTAGTATAGTACGTGAAGAATATACGTATTTTTTTAACAGATCAAAAAAAATGTTCCTTTTTTTATCATTTTACAAAAATACATAAATATAAATATTGTGTTCATAAGAGCAGAGGTATGCTAATAGAAATACGTAAAGAAACTTCAGTAATTTTAGATTTAAGATCGAATGGTGTTGAAACATTGCCTAGATTATTTGTTTGTTCTGTTCAATATTATTAATTGTTGTAATCGGGAAATAGTTTTTTATTAACTTCAAATATTTGCTTCGAAGCTTACATTCTCATTTCTAAGGCACCTATCGACAAATTGAACTCTAAACAATTATTTTACATTTTTTCGAATCCCCTGTGATGATTTTCTTCTATTTACGTCAATACTATAAAATCATTTTCTTATGTTCATGAACCAAATTATGTCGACCCTTTGACATCACTAATAGATAACTGTTTTCGAGAATGATTTTGTTTATGATTCTGAAGTGAAAGTAGACGAGTAAGCAATGCAATAAAAATAATAATTATGCATTAAGTATAGTAATATTCATGCATACGAGTATATACAAATAAATACGAATATGTATATGTATTTAGTTGAAGTTTTTTCTTATCATTTTCAACATTTACGGATTCGTCAAAATGGCTGTTAATTTTTGAAAAAAACCAGAAAACACGTACGCTAAAAACGAAAAATAAATAAGATAACAATAATTTAAAATAAATAAATGCAATGCATAACACAAATATTGTTAAAATAACATTTATGCGAGGCATTGCCTGCACCATTCAATAAAAATAACAAATATTAAATATGTAGGATAAAACAATTTAATACATAAAAGGAAATGCTTAATCCGCTTGTTGTTTGTTCAGAGCGTTAAATAAAAAGTAATATGCTTTATTTAAGCAAATACTCGTAATAAGCCTTAGTAACGTAACTATTTAAATACAATATATGTATAATAAGTCAACATAAGCCGTGAATGATCTCTTTTTTTAACAAAACACAGCAGCGGACAGTTGAGGATACTAATCGTTATTTAATTAACAGGAGCTATGCACACACACAGTAACTTAATAATGTTAAACAATGCAAATTGAAGCCTCAAAAAGTAACGGAAATGATATGTACCATATATGTATGTCTGTATGTGCTTCGCGCACACCATTTATAAGCTTGAAAAACTTGCAGAAAAAATATAACGACGACTAATCCGTTTAGCAATGTAGACACGATTTTGAAAAGCAAACATAAAAGGAAAATAAAGTGATACAGAAATGTATAAAACATTTGTTTTATTTATTTGTTTTTATTTTTAACATATTTTTAATATTCTTACAGTGGCGTTTTTATTAATAAACTTATTAAGCTCGCAGCTTCGCTTAGGTCATGGTTCTTAAACAGTATGTTAATATTATATATTGCGTTTCGGAAAACAATAATCAACATATCTTAATTAAAATTTTTCAAGATCTAGTTTTGAAATGTTCACCCTTTAGTAAGTACATTTTGGCATTATAATCGAATACAATTTTTAAATACTTTATTAGTGTGAAACTCGTCAATTAAAAGAGTTTGTCTTACGTTTACTGTTTGACATTTTTAGCAAACAGCTTTAAAACACATAAAGAATCGAAAGAATAATTTCAAAATCATTCACAGCGCAATTATTCTTTTTTTTATTTTGATCAATTTTTTAATTTCTAATATAACTACAACTTTTTGGATTCACAGTTCCCCCAATTCCTGTAGTTATTCTTTGCAAATCAGCCAAAAATAATTGATCTACTCATAGAGGTTTGTATTTTCCCGAAACATTCACATTTGTTTAGAGTTACTTTTTGTCAAAACCATTTCATTTATGTATTTGCCATAATCCCTAATGTTCTGTTAAGGGATTTGAACATTTAGGATCGGCCTTCCACTGTGCTAAAAATATTTGAACTAATGCCAATTAATTAAATTAGAACAATTGTTGCTTGAATTTCACAAAAAAATGATTTATTATCTAAAATCTTACGTAGCTAAGTGCCAAATAATCTACAATTGTATTTTAAATCGCATTATTACATATGTATGTATTGCTCTAATTGCTAAGTTGAAGTCTTATAAAGAAAGGACTGTTGTTGTTTTAAGTTGTATTTGCGACAGCATATTTAAACAATAAATACTAAACAGTACAAGAAATCGGCAATCGGAAGATGTGAACAAAGACAAAGATACAACGTTGTAGATTGTAGTGCAAGAGGACGTCAAGGGAGTGGTGATAACAATTCTTAAAATTAAAATTAGGATTAAAGCGATAGCGTTCGAAAGGCATAACAAAACTTGTTTCTGAATTAGAGCGATTGAAATCGAAGAACATATACTTCATACCCTAATAATCAGACTGGATCGTTAAATGAGTGATATATAATTATAAAAGCAAAATGCGAAATGATGACTTTTCAACTTATATCTAATTAATGGCGCATCTTTGTTGGTCCTTTATCACTGAGGCGACGGCGACTCATTGCTGCTGAAGGTGCGACTACGACTGAGTCTGCGGGCAGCCTCCGCCATGGCTGCCTGCTCGCTTCGTCCATCGGCGAGATGTTCGGGAAGGCGCAGGATGTCGTTAAGCTGTTGTTTTAGTTGTTTTGTCTGCGGCCGCTGCGATGGTTCCGTCGCAAGCATTTTCTGCAGCAACTCATACTCTGCTGGATAGTTGTTGACGAACTCCGCCGGGTAGTTGCCATCCCGCAATTGCCGCAATGTCTTAATACGCTCCATTTCGGTGCCAAAGAAGACATGCAGCTCAAAGAAAATCAAACCAAGCGAATAGATATCTACCTTGAGGTCATAATGTCCACCACGCAGCTGCTCCGGCGACATATACAGGTGTGTCCCCACCTGCTGGGTGTGACGAGCGCAGGACGGCAGGCCCGTACCGTCGCCACACTCGGTCACCAGATTGGGAATATCCGACATGTCGGTGACCAAACCAAAATCGCCAATCTTTATTTGGCCATCCTGTGAGAAGAATATGTTGCTCGGTTTCAGATCCCGATGTATTAAACCCTTCACGTGTACATAATCGACCGCATCTACTATCTGATGGAAGATGTGAGCAATGTGCGAGGAGCGCGCATCGGTGGTATTATCCCGCAGCCAGTCCCGCAAACTCTCCTTCCGACACAGCTGCATCTGTATATAGAGATACACCTTGCTGGGCTTACTGACGCTGTTTCCGCTGAAATTTTGATTGGCTGCGCTTTGTGTAGGTGTTGAAAACGCCGGCGGTTGGCTACCATTCTGATTGTTGTTATGGTTTTTAGCCAAAGCTAGGGTCAGCGGTTTGGATTTGGCAGAACTGGGCAGCTGGGAATGTCCATTGTCGTTCAGATCGTCGGTATTACTGTCTTTGGAGCGCACAGATTCGATTTGAAATGAGTTAGACAGCTGATGCTGTGAGTAGTTTATGTTCTTAAGATCAAATGACACTGAATGTATGTCAATAGAAACAGAAGTGCTCTTTCGGCGGTGAAGTGGTGGCGTGCTTTCATCATCTTCATCATATTCGTCTTCCTCATCATCGTCATCCTCATCATTTTTATCACGCATTGCTGCCGACTGTGACTCGCTACGAAACACAACACAAGAGTCCTCATCTTCATCGTCATACTCTTCCCTGATATTATGCAAGCCAGAGTCTTCATGTCCATACTCATGGCTACAGGCCGTGCTTGTTGCCGCATCCGAGACCCATGAGATCAACTGATTACGTTTATCCTGTTGATGCTTGGCCCATCCATCTGCCAGCGATGGCAATGTGCTACCATCGGGAGTCTCGATTTGTATCGATGTGGACATCTCGTGGGCCAGCAACTTGCGATCCTCCTCCTCCTGCCAGCCAACAGGCGGTGTTTCCACCCACGACTGCAAAAGAAAATACATGTTGAATAATTTAATTTGTTTTTAAAAATTCAAATACATATTTCTTTTATAGCAATTAAACATTATTCTGCAGTTTACTATTCGCAAAACTAGGTAATTGTATAGAAGTAAACACATTTCTATTAAACACTCACGAATGTATACTGAAGAAAGTATTTCAATATTATTTTAATCAAAAGCATTTGTTCTTTCCCCTGGTAATTACTAAACGCCCTTTTCCTTTCTTAGAATCCAGATTAGGGATTCTAAGTGTTTTGGTTTGGAAATAGAATATTAAAATAAATATATTACATTTCGATTGATTAAGAGTGAAATCATAAATCAAAACGAACCATCTATACATACATTATCATAATGAAAAAATCTATTGTATGCAATTTAATTCATAAATTGAACCTCGATTAGAAATTTTGATTAGGAACAACAATATTATGTAATTAATTTAATTTGGAATTAGTCTGTCGTTGGTCGACATGTTCTCATTTTCGGTAACGGCAAATAAAATATTACGTTAAATATTTAATTAATATAAAAATAAGAAACTTTGCTTAAAATTGGTTATGCTGTTGTTTAAAATGGTTTTTTATCTTTATGTAGGTAAGCAGCATTAAACAAACCCAGCTAGTAATTGAAACTTATTTTTAAGTGGCACAACTTACATGGAAATAGCGCACAATATTCTGATGCTCGCACTGGGCCAGGGTCCGTGCCTCACGCAGGACACGTTGTCGCGATGTTTCCTTGTTTGGCAGCGTGATGCGCTTTATGGCATATTTATTCTCGTCCAACTTATTCTTTGCCTCGAAGACAACGCCAAAGCCACCACGACCCAAGCACTGCATCAGCTCGAAGTCTGTTTGGAAACGTGAGGTGAATTGTTCGCCCGAATGTGTGGTTGACTCGGATATCGAACGCTGTGCGCCAGTAGAATTGAGGGGCAAACTAAAGCGATTGCCTCTAGAAAGAGGCACCACAGGTCCCAACAAGGCCTGCGTCGATGCCTCCGTAGCTTCAATAGCTGTTTGTACTGGCACATGACGCTCAATGACAAGATATTCCCGTTCCACTCGCTGGTTGCGATGGCCCATAAACATGTTCAGCAGTACGGCGGATGTAAAAGCAATCACCACGATCTCCTTCCACCAGAACCACAGCGATAAGATTACGACATTCACAGGCACATCGAGACTGAGGCCCAAATCCTCATTAATGGTGCGATTGTCGGTGGTTTCGTTGCTCGACTGTGTATCTGGCGGAGTGTCCTGAATAGCTGGAAAGCCAGTGGGTGTCTCATTAGCGCCACATTCCAGTGCACCTCCCTCGCCCTCCCATTGCGTCGCTGTGTAAAAGAAGAAACCATTGCCGTTGACAAATTCCGAAGCATTCAGCACGGATTGTGCGGCCACAGCAAAGTTCTGATCATCGTAGGGCACCAACTCTCTCCCATTGCTGTTGTCATTATCATCGTTTGGCGGCAGTGCCCCAGCCACCAAAGCCTGTTCCTCGCTCTGAAATAGCACCAGTGAGTTGCTGCTGGCCGCTATGGGTCGCCATGGTATCTTGGGCATGTGATTTGTCTCCGAAGTCAACTGTTGATATAGCTGCGACTTATCCACAATTTCCTGTCGCAGCTGTACAGACTCTTGTATGTACAACTGCTTCTGATACATGCCCAGATACATCGCAGGTGATCGTCCCGGCATTGGAGCCTCAAATATATCATCCTGATCCTGTTCCCACAGCCACTGCGAGGAACTAAATAGATCGATGGACTGCAATTCATCAGCTGCATTCGTATGCCAGGCACTGACGATAGGATGATCGAACTAAAATAAGTTAAAGAGAATCCAATTAAAACGAAATTTTTATTTTAAGATCAATGATGGTATTTTTAAAAATAACGATTAAGACGTTAAACATGTGCAAACCGGTTTTTTGCATACCCTTTACCCGCCCATCTTTCCAGTCCCCAGTCCTTGACCTTCAACAAACTTTGCTGCATCAATCGTCTGTATGGCATAGTGCTTTGATTTTGCTGATAATGGTGAATTAATTTGGTATGATATCTTATAAAGCAAATAAGTTTCTGGTACTAAGATTATCTTTGCATGATCAGACCTATGGGAACTATATGATATAGTCCAACGACTTTGTTGAGCCACCGCAATATGTGATAAGGCTTTATACAAAACGAACAAAAACAAAATTTGTACTCCTATCTGTTATGTTTGAAATGTTCACGGTGTTCGTACAGTCGGATAGAGGATCAACGGGCAGATGTTTATGCCTATATTGATGCATTCAGATTTTTTTGGTTTTCACCCATTCACCCTTGGATGTCAGGTACAAAAATATGGTTCTTAAATAAATTATTTTCTTCTGTCAAGCTCCGTTTGGATTACCTTGTACTTCCATAGCATTGTATGTGGCTCGCTCTTGCTAAATGCACAAATCACGCCCTCCGGGACAACCACCTTAATGTCAATATCTAGGACAGCCAACTCCAGTTCGCTGCGCTGTTGGTTAGGGCATTCGGCAGCCCTGACTACATCCAGCTCGTGCTGTCCCACACTAAAGTTCCAACGTTCTATGCCCGTGCGAGACTCCACTGCGCGCACCGTTTGGGTTTGACGACGCACCACAATGACATCGTCCACCAATGGATCGTGCGCCAAAATGTAACCAGATTCATCACGCAAATGATCTTCATTATTGGCGTCATCCACGTTGTCAATGGTATCGCCCATATCGTCATGGATGGCACGTCCTCCATCCGTCGCATTCACACAGCCATTCAGAGAGCATTCGTAGAGCAGCTGACCGGTACGCACTGAGACGCCGTATGTGCGCGTCTCCTTGCCCCCAGATATAACAAGATCATCCGAAAACTTGGAACTCGAACTAAGCAAGTGGTCGGCGGTTATGGGTATAGGATCTATGGATTCGCCGTCAAACTTGTAGATGCCGCCACTCAACGAGGGAATCATGCGAACAAACTGTCCGTTGTTAGTGAGCTCGAGACGATGTATGCTAGATGAGATGAGTGCCCCGGGTCCGGTGGGTATGCTCCAGCGCACTTTTCCCGACCTCGCTATATCGAGGGCTGTCAGATGTCCATCCAGTGTGCTTATATACAGCAGCCTGTGACGAGAAGGCAACATAAAGAGGCATTGTGTAACAAAGATTTCAACGAAAATATTTCTTTGACAAAGATTCACATAAATTTGAATAATTTTTTAAAGCTATACATAAGTTTCAATTCCACGTGAAAAGGACAATAAAAATATTCTAGAAAGTGATATAATTAATTACAATTTTTTTAAACTAGCATATTACCAGAAAAGTAAGAGCTTACAAGTTGTTGACAGATAATGATAAATTTGTTAATAATAAATAATTAAATTTCATATTATTTCACATAATACCAAATAAGTTAAAGAACATTTTTTTACGTACATACTTATGTACATACGTTTGTAGTCAGTCCTTGTTTTGTAAACTAAACTAAGTTTAATAAATAATATATAATTTAATAATCAGCTGTTTAAAGCAAGAAGAGATGTAAAACCCTTTCCCATCACTCAATAATTTCTCCAAAACTAAGTTTACACAAAATCCATTGCAAATAATTCTCAAAATTAGATTACTAATCAGCTGTTTAAAAAAATAATAAACTCAATTGTATTTGGCGCGCCTTCAAGCTAGTTTACGGCCATGACCTAATCAATAAACTCACTGTTATCAACACGTGCTCTATACATACATATGTACATATTTCTACATATGTATGTATGATATACAAATGTCATACATACATATATATTTCGCAAGCAATGCACTTTGCAATTGCATCATTCAGCACGGCATGGGCACAGGACACGCATACATATATACTCGTAAATATGTATGTATGTATGTGGGGGAAATGGGAGGTCCAGCACGAAAAGGTTAGTGGGTTACAAATGGCAGAAGACCACATCAGCGTTGTGTCAGCTGGAATGAACAGCTGATTGGGGCAACAAGTGTTGGCTACCCACATTGATATATGTAGATATACGAGCGCACACATACATACGTTGAAAAAAAATTATATGCGCGCGTGTTTTGGCAAACACAATTGGTATACGGAAGACGACGGCCCCAGAAGATGGCGCACGACGCTTGCCAAGTTGTTTTCTTGTTGTTGCTGTCTGCGTACAAGCGTGTGAAGCAGAGGCGGCAAGAATGGTGAAATTCAAATTTCTTTTTAACTAAGCTTACATACATACATATGTATGTAATTGAATGCAAATACAAAGCAACAACTAAATAAAGTGGTTTTAATTTAGCAACAAACAATTATTAAGTGTGCTAATTGCACAGTAGTTGTTAGCTAATTTCAATTGTTGTACTAAAATGAAAACAACACAACTACACATGCAAGCTTATACACACATACATACATACATACACATGTCGGTGTTAACTATTGTCTGTCGTCGACTGTTTTTGGCATGACTCACTGCATTATTGATAAGCACTAAAAATTGGCAGACGCGAAAACAAATTTTTATAAAATTAGTTTTTTTTTTATGCTTTTTGCAAAACTTTTGAATTATGCCTATGCGTTTGCTTAGCTCCGCCTTTTTTATCAATGCGTTCTACTGCGTTTCTACTTTCGTTCGCTCAGGAATATTCGAGAACATTTATATTGCCTTCGTAGTGCCCTTCGGCGACAATTAAAGCAATAACTGACGCCAGAATCTTACCTGCGTCCAATTCTGCGCTCCTGCTGCTCCACGCAATAGGGAATGGCAGCAGCGGGGGCGGTAGGGGGCGGATGGCTTTCCTGTCGTTGCAGATCTGCATCAGAATGAGTGGGAGTTGCGGTTACGGCGGCAACAAGAGATGTGAGCATGGCGAGCTGAAGAATGAGACGTTTGCCACGACGCTGTTCGATGAAGCTGTTCAAATCATGTTGTATTCCCATTATACGCGATCAACGTACATATAAATGTACAGCGATTCGTCGTACGCGTTTCTCCAACCTATTTAGCTATTAATTAATGCGTGTGGCGAAGGTTTGGTGATTGGGGTCTTTGGTTTTGGTGTAATAGCAGCAGTGGCAGCCATTAAAATTAGCGCACATTGCCGCATTCCTTGAATGCGAACGGTGGGAGGAGATGTACACTGAACGATAACGAGTATTTTAAACTAAAGTTATTATGTTAAAAATGTTTGTTTTGTTAATTATTAACACCGTCCGCGACACGCTGCCTATACAATTGCGAAACACAGAATGCTTCCTGTGTTGCCACCTGTATGAAAATATGACATTTCATGTCAGCCCTGGTGTTTTGTTTACGTTTTGTGTCTGGCCATACCAATCTGTCAGCACTTTCATACACATTTTCGGCAGCCTCTTAAATCTCAAATACTGCATTCGTTGACAAAATTCAAAAACCACAAATTGTTTTCATTTAGCTTTATTCATATGCGCACCCGGTTTAAACTTACTCAAATAGTTTTCGTCTTAAACATTTTTGTATAATTACAGCTAACAAAAATTTGTTAACGGAAAATAATAGAAATAATTTTTAGATTTAATAAATCTACTTTTTGGATGAAAGAAAACAATACACTAATATTTGCAGGTATGCATATGGGATGCGTGCCATTTGTAAATTAACATATTTTCCGTTTTAGTTAAACTGCTCGATGTGGTTGGAAATTAAGTTAGATTGCAGTGTAATAAATACAATTAATCAAAAAATGATTTTTAAACAATAAACAATTCTTTGCACAAGACGCCGAGCGACAACTCAATAGTAGTAGCCATTTCGCAAATCCATTACAAATTGAACTCAAATCACCAACTAAAAACAATATACACTAACAAAATTTGATCACTAAAGTCAAAAGTGTGAACTCAAAATATACATATGTATGATTGCTGCTTTTTCATTTCTCTTGTTGGGCATGTTATCTTTAGTTTTTAGTTTTTGATTCAACTCCTAGTAGTCCTCAATTGCTATGATTTGTGGTGGTTTAGCGCTAACCGCCGCTGCGGACGGCGCTGCCACCGTCGCTCCTACTGCTACTCCTGATACTACTGGCGACCCCATATCCTTGGTCGCTGCGTTGTCGCTTGTTGTTGCTCCTCCTCCTGCTGTTGCTTGTGTTTCCGGCGTCTGTGCGGCTAATTGTCACTTCGCACTACCGCCGATGCCTGCAGACGATGCGCCCGCCGGATCGTTGACACGCTGATATCGCGGCTTATTCCGTGTGAAGGGCAAATACTTATACTTAATCATATGCTTAATTTGTCGCTTCATCGTTATGCAGAACAATGTAATAAAATACATCACCAGTATGGGCCAAAATACGGGCACATTGAAGAAGTCGAAGAAGGTGCAGAACACACCAATCATTGTACTCTTTGTCACCGACAGCCAGAACTTGAACTCGGGCAGGCGGCGTATGAATGGCCGGAACTCTTCATTGCTCCGTGTTGGTAAGTTTGGACCCTCATCCTCGTCGTCTTGCGCATACGGATCAAACTCCGGATCTATTTTTGGCGTTAGAAATGCAATAAACAAGTTCAGGTGATAGATACCCAGCGCATAGCAAATGATGTACCATCCATGGTAAATAAATATGCGGAGGACAAAGAGCAGCACAAGAAACCCGGCAAACGTCCATCGCAGACGTGTGTGTGGTGTCGAACGATCAAGTGTAGACTGGTAGAGCTGCAATTAAGTTCCAGATCACTACTTTTATTGGTCATTCAATAAGGACACTTGGAACACTCACCTGGGACAATCGTTGAAAGAACATCCTTATGCCACCGCCGCCACTTGACGTCGTGGCACTTCTTTCTTCATTCATCATGGCTGGCTCCCACTCCTGTGATCGGCCAGTCAATTTGCACAAGTACGCCGATTGAAGGGAAAACTCGCAAGGCACTAACACAAACAGGTGAAGTCTATTCACTTTTTAATTAATTCATTGCCGTGTTCGTGTTCTCTTGTTTTCTAATCATTTGCTCTTGTTCTTTCTTGCTTACTCTCGCCAAGCGTAGAGCACTTTTTTTCCAGCGCCTTTTTGTGTTTGTGTTGGCTTTATTCTAACTGCCTACGCTGTCAACAAGTAAACAAATTTCTGTTCTAGCCGGTAATTTATTAATTACGAAATTCTTGAAACTAATTTAATTAAAAAATCACAAAATTTTATGTCGGCAATTTCTGTTCTTTTTTCACGTACACGTCATAAGCCAAGTACGTTCTCTCACTCACTCTCTGATGTGTCAAAACTGCAGAGTTGCTTTCGCCAGTGCAGTGTTGCCAGATTGCCAGATATGGGCGCGCATTTATAGAGAAACAAGCCTTTTTCAAAGTATCTTTATTCCGTGTAATTTTGCAAGGATACAACAATCAATACATGCTACATTTAATTTTAGATGCTATAAATTAACGTACGTAATTCTTGTGTAATTATATAATCCAGGCGCATCTAGACATCATATGTGGAACCATCCGACGAAGAGCCCTTCGGTATGCATGAGTTGATAACCTCAAGGAAACTATCCGCAGACTCCTGTTTCCTGAAACGGCATGCCAAGCGCTCCAAAATGCCTTCGCTAGACTCGGCGTAGTTTAAATGCGCCCACACAAAACTCTTTTTGTTGTTGTTCATGTAGTCAACCTTGAATCGTTCCACAATCTGCATGTTTAATACCAATTTGTGGATTTGCTCGCGTCGCATAACCATGCGGCAAGTTTTTAGGTCGTTATGCTTTAATATCTTTAGTTCTCCAACACCTAAAAAAGAAATAAGACAAAAGGACATCCAACTTTGTAATGACACCATTGAATTTTTGGAATGAATTATACGTACCGCGTTCCTTCCACTCCTTTAGATCGCTATCAAAACGATAGAGTGTTGCTCGCTCGCCAAACAGCTTCGTCTCATGTTCCTCGCCCGTGGAAACTACAATTTCATCGGGTAATGCAATTATGGGATCATAATGAGGATCATAGTTCTCATCGGTTGCGTCTTCAGTATTGCTGGCATCATTATTATTACCACCTAGGGATTTATTCTTGGCGCTGTCGTTAAATGCCGGCGATGAAAAACTCTTGAATGCGTCCTGATGAGTCAGTCCGAAAAAGCCGCCAGTACTAGACTTCTGGAACGCATTCGGACTCGCAGTACTCTTAGCAGCCAAGGTAGCAAAATCGTCGCCCGCCTTAGCCGCCAGATCAGCGAACGTGTTCGTCTGTGTCGCATTTCCAGTATTATTGTTTTCGCTTGCCTTGGCTGCTAACGTTGCGAAACTATTTGCTGGTGGCACAGAAGCCGTCGGCTTAACATTGGCGTTATTGTTTTCCTTATTCTCCTTGACATCATCGATGACTTCCTTTTTATTGGCTAAATCAGAAAACGTAATCGTAGTCTGTTCCTTAGCCGCAACACTTCCAAACGTTGGCGTCGGAGTTGCGTTGGCAGCCGAGCCAAACAAAAAATTGCCTTGGCTGGCATTGGTATTGGGACTACCACCAAAAATATTGCCACCAGAGAAGAGGGAGTTTCCTGAACCTACATTTGTATTAAATGAGCCAAAAATTGACTTTGTGCTGTTTTCGGTAGCGTTCTTCGTTTCTGTTTGATTTGTTGTAGCAACTTCATTCTTCTTATTCAACGCTCCACCGAAAATATTCATAGTGCTGTTACTGTCAGAAGCCGTAGAGTTGTTGCCGCCAAAAATCGACTGTTGACTTGTTGTGTTGCCAAAGCACGCCCGACCAAAGACGGATTTTTCTGCAATAAATAGATTTAAAAGAAAGTTAGTAAAACAATAAACATAAATAATTTGTTTCGTTAAAATATCGTCAAAGACAAGAAAGTATTACTACTTTGTGATTTTTCCACCGATCATTCCTATGGCTATATTTGTACATATATGGCTATATCAAATAATGAGACGTTCATGGATTGTAGTAAACTCGGACTGTGTATGGTTAAGAAAAATGTGGATGAAGTTTGGTGGCCCTACCTATTATAACTTAAAAGATATAAACGTTCATACAGTCGGACGGAACGGCAGACGAACATAATACGACATTTATACAACTATAAGTTCGTCTTTTTTTTCTAATTTCTGGTATACTCTTCCACGCTTCGGTTGTTCGGTATAAAAAAAAATACCTGTGTTACCAAAGAGGAAACCTCCACTGGATGGCGTCTTGACTTCCTGTGATGCATTGAATGCGTTTGTAAACGAGAAATTCACAGCATCCGTCTTGGGCGCTGACGTTGTTGTTGCTGTTGTAGGTGTCCCAGGTGCCACAGTAGTGGAATTTGCCGAAGCAGCAGAGCCGAAGAGGCTGAAGCTCTTGGCATTTGGAGTTGTGGCAGGCGAAAAGGCGGCAGGCTTGAGTACTGAACGACTTTCTGGAGTTGTTGATGGCGGCGCCGGTATTTGTAAAGCTGGCAAAACAAGTGGCAAGGCGGACACATTTGTTGCTGTGGTTGGAGAGACTGATCCATAATTGAATTTGTCAGGATCACAGCCACGACAGCCTGGACACTTTGTTTCGCTGGTGAAAAAGTCATAATCCAATTTCAATTTATCGGCGAGTGCTTTGAGGTCGTTGGATATGGAAACGTTGGCGCTGCACAGAGAGTCTTCGGTGGTGTTCGTGGAGGCATCCTCATCGTCCGCTATAGGCTGCGCTGTTCCGTTTAGAGCACTCTTAATGGCATCAACGAAGCCCTTCGCCACATCAGCATTCTTGAAACGCAATGTAAAGCGTTCGAGAACGTTCTCTCCCTCGCTAAAGTCATGCACCACAAACAACCAGGACTTGTCATCCTTCGCCTTGTATGTTACACTAGAATTCAGTATATGATTGAGGCAAGTCTTTAGGACTTTGTCTCGTCGCATAACCACGCGCAGCTTTTTATTTTTTCTGTGACGCAGTATCTTTACATCGCCAAGCCCGCGTTCCTTCCAATCGCCATCGGTCAGACGGTAAAGCTTCGCACGATGTTTATAGAGCACTTCCTCATCCTCCTCGCCAGTTACAACATCAACCTATGTGGGAAAGAAGTGTGAAAGTTAGTTAGAAAGATTACAGTCTTACCGATAGATAAAGCTTACCTTATCAGGTAGGGGAATAACGGGCGCAAAGTAGGCGTTGTTTTCCTCTTCCTCCACCTCTTCATGCAATTCATCATCGCCAGTATTGGTTGCATCAGCATCAGCGGCCAACGGACTCTTTGGTTGCTGCGTTCCAGACGCCTTGTTCATGGAGAAGCTAAAGGTATTGGAGCCCAAGGCTGGCGTGCTGCTTGTCAATGGAAGTGAGGGTGCTTTGAAATTGAAAGAACTGGAACCAAAGGGCGTTGCGGTGGTGGTGGTGGTGCCTTCACTCTTTGAACTGGTCAATGGAGCGCCGAAAATACTGCTCGTCACCACTGAAGTGGACGAAAGATTATTCATAATTGTTCCGGTGCTGCCGACGCTTGCGGTGTCGGAAGTGCTGGTCGTTGGTGCTCCAAAGCCGAATGTAAACTTGGTGGTGGCAGGCAGCTGCAAACCAGTGCCTCCCAACAATTGATTATCTTTTTTGGGTGGCACTGTCGCATCCTTAGGCGCTTCGCAGCAAATGCAATAGTCCTTAGTGGCATCGTTGGTGGTGTAGCAACCATCGCACTGCCAGGAGCCAACCTTTGGCTTAAAAGCATCGCCAAAACCGCCGCTGGCGGTGGTGGTTTTGGTGGTATTGGTGGTGCTAACCACGTTGGTGATGCTAGTTTTCTCCGCAGGTTTTGTCGAACCGAAACTAAATGGCTTCGGCTCAGTGCTGGTGGTTATGTTTGCATTATTAGTGCCGCTCGGAAAGCCAAATGTGAACTTTCCTGCGCTGCTGGTGCTTAGATTGATGGCACCCCCTGTCTGCAAGCTTGCTTGCTTAGGTGGCACTGTTGAGTCCTTGGGTGCCTCACAGCAGAGGCAATAAAGTTGGGTGCCATCGTTGGTGGTATAGCAACCACTGCATTGCCAGGAGCCAGCCTTGGGCTTGAAAGCATCGCCGAAACTCTTGGGTTCTGCGTTAACTACGGGTTTTACGGCTTCTTTCGCTTCTGATTTCACTTTCTGCTCCTGTGATGCCGCCGACTGCGTTTCAGTGGGTTCATCATCATCACCGCTCATAGCAGCCTGAGCTTTTAACACAGCATTGTGGAATTGTTCGCAAATCTCCGCGTTTTTAAAGCGCACGCACAGTAGCTCTGTGCTCAGCTCCTCTTCCGAGTAGTCCTGACCAGCCCAAGTGAGAGCCACTTTGGAGTTTTTAGCCGGATTAAATTTGGTGTTCTTAAGCAAACGCTGATTACAGCATAGCTTGTGGATTTGCTCGCGACGCATTACCAGACGCACCTGATTCACATTGTCGCGATCCTGTAGCAGCTTAATGTTGCCAAGGCCACGCTCCTTCCACTCCCCACTCTCCTTGACGAAACGCAACAACTTGGCACGATGCTCGAAAAGCACCACTTCGTGCTCTTCACCGGTAACCACTTCGATTAGCTCCGGCAGTGGTATGACAGGTGTGAACTGAGCTGTTGGCTCATATTCCTCCGCATCTTCCGCACTCTGTGTAGTCGCTACTTCGTTGGCTGATTTGTTTTGCTCAGCTACGGTGTCCGTATTAAGGAAAGATGACATTGTCGATGTGGTTCCAAATGTTAATATGCCGAAAGGCGAAGCACCATTCTTGGCGTTCATATTGGTAAAGGAAAAGTTTGCAAACGGCGATGATGCAGCTGAAGTCGCTGCCGTTGTGGAGGTGCTGGTGGTTGGTGTGGTGCTGACAATAGAGGTCGCGTTGCTACCTGAGGTGGTGGTAGTGGCGGCCACAGCAGCTTTCATATTTATGCCTCCGAACAAAGTCTTGGACACGGTACTTGTGACTTCGGCGGGGGTGCTCTTTTCCTTGTTGTCCGCTTGTTGAGCATTGGTTGTTGTTGTCACAGTACCACCACTGCTAGCATTGTTGTGAGCAGGTGTGCTGGTCACAAACGTGACGGCTGTACTCTTGGAAAGCGCAAATGGTTTTGTCACCGCCAATGGTGCTTCACCATTAGTTTGTCCTTTATTATTGTCAACCACGTCCGATGCACCGCTTGCCTCTTGGAAGGCCTTCTTGAATTGGGCAGCTGTATCTGCCTGCTTAAACCGCACTAACAATTTCTCTAGGCGTAGTTCCTCATCGGCAAAATCGTTGGCTACCCAAATAAAGGATTTGGCTTCCTTATCCTGTACGGGTGTGGTTAAATTCATTTCCTTGTTGATCTTATGATTGGCGCATATTTTGTGTGTCTGATCGCGACGCATCAAAATACGACACGAACCAGACTTATCCTTTAATATTTTAATAAGACCAGTACCACGATCCTTCCATTCTTTTTCAGCATGACGGTAAAGCTTAGCGCGATGACTGAACATAATCTCCTCATCCTCCTCACCGGTGCGTACATCGATTTCATCAGGCAATGGAATGATGCCCTTAAAATCTGGTCGCGGATCATAGTCCAACTCTGCAGAGCCATCTGCGCAGAAGCTTTTGTTTAGATCACTGTTGGTGCTGTCGTTCTGGGGAGTGGTTTTGGTCTCAGCTTCCTCTTTTTCCTTCTGAGCCACAGCTTGAGCCACTTGATTCTTGAAAGAGAAGGTAGTACTGTCAGCTGGTGGTGACGCATTAGTGAAGGAGCTGCCAAATGGTGTAGTCACCGAGTTGGTGGCGCCGGTGCCAGCTTGGCTCGGGAAAACACTGAAGAAGTTGGTACCACTGTTAGTATTGGCAGTCGCCTTTTGACCGACATCGCCAAAATTGAAACTGAATCCGCTCGTGGGCAAAGCGCTGGGTACTATGGGTGCAGTGGTTGGTGGTGGTTCACTGGCCGGCACCACACTTGGCTTAATATGCTGCGACGGTATCGTTACGCTTAGTGTTGGCTGCACAGCTACTACATTGGAGCCAGCTAGCCCAGGCTTGGGCAACGGATCTGAATTAGTGATCACCACATTGGCCGGCGGTTCCTTTTCCACTGGCTGATTATTTAAGACGCGATTAAACACTGATGTGGCCGCGGGTACTGGTGGCTGTACTTGTTGTGGAACAGCTGGTTTGACTGCCGGTAATTGTGGCTGCGGTTGCACACTGGTCTGCGGTGCTGCTGTCGGTGTTGAGACTGCTGCTGCAAATGGTGAGCTGTTAAAGAAACTCGTCTTCCCATCGCCCAGACCTAAGGGTACGCCTAATGTTGGTGTGGTTGCAGGTGCCACCGGCGCCACTGGTGGCAGTAGTGGCTGCTGCGGCAAAATTGGTGGAGCTGCAGGCGGCATACCATAATTATCGATGAAAGTACCGCCATTCGGCGGATAAATACTAGGCATTCCGTAGTTCGGACCGCGGGGACCTGAAAATCGAAAGATTGAAAAAATAAAAATATAAAATAGCTCAAATTATTGAACTAGGTCACTTATATACGCTACTTTAGGGTTTACTGTATGGTATTAGGAGCAGGGAAACAATAATTATTTTGGGGTTATTAATAATTAATTTAGTGTTGTCAGAAGTCTATATGTAAAGGTATTATTTAAAGTTGTCCGCTTTTTTTCGCTCTCAGGTGCTTATTAAATAAAAGACGTGTTACGTTAAAGTCGTGGCAGCCTTTTAAATATACAAAAGATTCCCTATGACGGTATTTAAATGCGCGCTGCCTCTTAAGAGTTTAATACGAATCAAATCCATTTGGGTTGAAACTTAAACATACGTTTGCTCAGGTTTTGACTTACCAAAAAGATTGGCGGGCGGCATATTTGGCGGCAGGCCTTGCGTTGCCGGAGATGGGCGCATATATTGATAATAATTGTAGATTTGTTGCTGCTGCTGCTGATTATAGGGAATAGGACTGTTGAAGGCATTAGGAGTGGCGCTGGCTGGTGTGAAGAATCGATCTTGCGTTACATGCGGACTGTTGAAATAGCCGGGACCAAACGGGGGCATTGCATGGATAGGAGCTGGTTGGGAGACCGCCGCCAATTGCTGTTGTTGTTGTTGATGCTGCTGCTGTTCGCGCTGTTGTTGTTCCAAAGTCTCGTCAATAATGAAGAGATCATCGAGACCGAGAGCCGCAGCGGCAGCTGCCGCATCTACCTCGCGAGTGGGAGTTTCACGACTAATGCGACACTTCTTGAGTAGTTCCTCCAGGTTGGCAAATTTCTCAGTTAGAATTTTGATGTCATTTCGCATGGCCTCCATATTCCCACCCACATCCTCTTTAAAAACACACAATTCTTTGTTCATTTGCTTGACAGACTGCTCAAGCTCATGGTTGACCGGTGTTTCTGGAGCACGTTTCGAGCGATTGAGCGCGGGCACTGAAGCGACTTGGTGTGCGGCAGCCGCATAGAAATCATCCTCAGCGTCCTCATAAGCACTGGAATTGTTATGTGGATCCGAACCGTACGGGTCCAAGTCGTTTTTGCCCAGACTGAAGCGCGTGTTGGAGCCAATGCCGACTGGATAGGTGCGCATTAGCTCACTCGTAATCAACGAGCTGAGCGGATGGTCTGTGTCGTTGCGCAGGAGCTGTTGGGTCTGCTGCAGACACTCCTGTCGACGTTCGAGGAAACGGGAGCGCGAGACGCGAGGCGTGCGACTACAGTCCTCGAGTATGCGATAAGCCTCGGCTTGCATGTATGTCGCCATCGGCAGGTTAAGACCACGCATCTCATCGATGAACTCCTCGTATTTTCCCACCTTGAAATAGCGGCTGCTCAAAAAGGAAATTGCTCCTTCGGCGGCGCTATTCACAAGCTTCCTGACTGAAGTTGCATTCGAATTGGCGTATTTGAAGTATCGCACCAAGGGCTCAAATTGTTGCATATGCTCGCGCTTCAACATGTTAAAGCCTTGAAGGTAGAGCGACTCAGCGCGTGCCTCCAAACTGACACGTTCCGGGGCAGCGGCGTGCACGACACCTTGTGCGCGAACCGCCAGCAACTGACCCAAACGGAATATAATGTAGAGATCGGCACGAGGTCCATTGATGCCACGCACTGCTTCCAGACCATACTGAAGTATCGTGCGTTGCTCGGCGCGATTACCTTCGAGAGCGGCATGCGTGTGCAGTTTGTACGCCAGAGTCCACCAGTTCAGTTGTTCATCGGTGGCCAGTTGGGCGGCAATGTTCACAAAGGGCAGCATGTGCGGTTTGGCGGTAGCACTCCGACTGCCTACATTGTAACTATCATAGTTTGCGCGTTGCACTTCTAGCTTACGTTGGGACTGCAGCACAACGGCATATAGAAACGTGTCCAAGTCCAATTTAGACAGCGAATCGGGACCGCAATAGCTCAAATTCTGCTTGCAGTCCTCGGGCATGCCCTCATAAAAGGTGATACGTGGCGCTTCCACAAGATCCTCACTGCACATGGCCAGATAAACATGATGTGAGAGGGATTGGGGCCTCAGTGCCAGTGCCTGCTGCTCATTGGCCTCAACCTCTGCCAAAGACGGCCAAGTGTACATCGGTTCTTGGAGGCGCGCGTAGTGGACGAGCATGGAGCTCTGTTCTTTCAGCTTTTGCTCGGCGTGTGTAAAGAGTGTTTGGAACAGCTGACGGCGCCAGGTCTTTTCCAGGCATATCTGACGTACAAAGGAGAGTATGTCATCGCTGTTCTGCCAGAGTCCTGTGGGCTGCGAGCATTCGATTAAATTGAAATCCGACTGGTTCTCCTGGCCTACGGTGGCGCTCTGTTGTTCCTGCACGCAACCAAACAGCGTGCGACCCAATTGGGCTCTTCGAAAGGCGCCCTCCAAACGCCATTGTTCTATCAATTTTCTGGCACTGCTTTCGCAGTGTTTTATCCAATGATTCGACTTGCTGCCCATTGTATTTATTTGATAGCCGAGGAAGAGCAATGGCAACACATTCCGCATCGTGTCGCGCCATTTGTTTTTATTACTCAACAGCTCACGCTTGATAAGCAATGTGGCGGCATGCAATAGCAATTGGCCGACATAATGTTCCAAACAGTAGTTTTGGAGCTCATTTTGCGGCGTTTCCTGCGGCCGACGCTCCAAGTTCAGACTAAATTTGTGCAGATACTGGTCAAACTTGAATAGAATGCCACTGGACTCTGGGAGGCTTATGCCCGTGTTGCCATCGTCACCACCCAAACTTAAATAGATGAGACGTTCGAGTGTGTGTAGTGTAATTTGCCAGAAGGCCCAATCCCGCTTCGTGTCCTTAATTTGCTCAATTTTGCTGAGCACCATCCAGACGGCATTGTGCCAATCGCTGCTCGCACCTGAAGTGTTCATTTCGTGCTCTATTTTTTGGATGTAGGTGAAGGCATCATCCAGCTTACGCTTTTCCACATAGTTTCGCAACAGGCGGACACGCACTGACATATCCTGTGGCCGTGACTGTATCTCCTTAAGCAGCAGCATCTCCATGCTATGCTCCTCGCCGTTATTTGCTGCACTGCCACCTCCGCCTTTATGTTCCTTGAGCGCGAGCTTGCTATTTAGAGCGTAAACCAAATCGTTTTCGGCCAAACCAGCCTTGGTGGCCAACTCGCACCAGTATTTGGCTTTTTCGTCACTGTAAACGCCTCCTTTGCTATTCTCGTCATCTAGAAGCAACTGACAGGCCTCCTTAATCACATCCACCTGCCGTGGACTCAGCTGAATGCAGCGCTGGTAATGGTGTAGCGCTTTGTTTCGATCGGGCGTTTTCAGCAGCTTATAGCAATGCGCAATTAATTTGTGTGCCAAGGGCTCGTCCTTGATCTTCAGATAGGAATTTAAGTATTCAATGGCCTTAGGATACTCCCCAATTTTATTGTAGAGCTTGGCCACAGTCAGTCCTTTGATATCGCGCTGTGGATGTAAAAATGACTTAGTATTTTTGCTTTCTCATTCAAATATTAACAGCGCCGCTTGCCGGCGTCTAAATGAAAACCTAACCTCAATTTGCTTCTTAGTTAAATTACGTTCTCCTTTCTTAATCGTTAACAATAGAGAAACAAAAATGTGGAAAGGACCAAATTTTCCGCTTGTGTAAAAAACTTAGGAATCCCGCTTTTAACTTTATTTAAAAAAAAACGCACATATGTATGTATATACCAACATCCATACATACATATGCATGTATGTATGCATATATGCATACAAAGGCCACCTTAGTGACGCCGTCGAACACACACACAAACAAGCAGACGAATGGCGGCAACGAGCCTCGATTTCGCAACTGCATGTACACATCATTAAAAATTCCTTTACACTTACTTCAGAGCCGAACGGCAACTTGCTGAGCATCCTGTGGACGTGATCGTCCACTTCCTTTCGAGTTGTAAACATTTTAATGTCTTTGGGTTTTCTATTTGTCACCTTCAATTTGGTAATTGCTTTAGTTGCAAAAATGTGCTTGTCGGCGCTTCGTTTTTACATTCACTCGTCATGAACAGACGAGCAAGCGGCGAGCTTGCACTTATATTATTTTCTCTTGCTATAAAACACTTAATTTATTCAATCGAATTGATATTATTGATTGTCAATTTAGTCGTTTTCCAGAATAATGCAATATAATATGAGACTTCTGGATTATATACTGTTTAAATGTTTTAGCACATCGACCGAATGTAAGAAAGATTATGTGCCTAGTGGTGTGCGAAATGCTATGTGTCGGTATATCGGTTTACCAATCGGCGTAAGTTTCGCCGATATAAGAAAGAAATTTTGTGTATACAATTTAATTGAATTTTAAATGAAATTGAAATGTATAAAATTATATTATTTATTTCAGTTGCAGCAGGCATTAGGCAGAATCTGTGCTACCTTCGATTTTTCACATTGAGCAGTTTATTCCTAGCACATACGGCTGCTCAAAACATGTATATGAATATACATCAAACATTGAGTTTTCAAAACTCATCGCTAGTACTAAATTAATGGTTAATCATTACAAACAATTTGCAGCAAATTTTATTTAATTAAATATTAAATGTTTTTCGAATTCATTAGACGCTTCGATTTGAATACAATAAATATGTATGTATATCGATATTCGGCATCGCGCACTTTGTATTAGATCAGTGCTGGAGGGCGTCAAAAAACTCTATTTGCAGCGGTACCTTGGGAATATTTAGGGTTTTATAATGCAAAATACTGCTTATTAAGTTGGCTGCGATTTAACTTCCTTTCCCGTGTTAGCTGTGAATGAAAAAACATGCCGGTGGGTGCAAATTTTAATAAAACATTCATAAAAAAATGGATAAATTGCAAATGCATACGCGAGAATTGTGATGGTCAAATCTCGCTGTATTGTAGTGTATCTGAAAGATAGTTGTGCTGTGAAAACATTCGTACAAACCCTTGAAAACTGCAATCCAATCTGCGTGGTCGCACTGCTCTGGTGTATGTGCGTGTGTGTGTGCGTTCGTGAGCCACGCATGGCGAGCAGTCAATTTTTGGTGCAAAAGGAGTGTATGCATTGCGCAGACTTGTGAAATAGTGAATTCAGAATTATTTTATTAAAGCAACTTTGCAGCAATCAACTGAGCCCAATGCAAGCAAATATAACATAACCAAAAAAATAATGCATTGCAAATTTTGTTGTTAATGTTTTGGCTTGTCGATCGAATTTATCAGTGATCATTTTTCTTGGGTCTTATTGCAGCTAGCAAAAGATTTATTGCACCCTCTGCCCGCTGAGGAGAAGCGCAAGCACAAGCTAAAGCGCCTGGTCCAGCACCCCAACTCCTACTTCATGGACGTCAAGTGCCCTGGATGCTACAGAATTACAACTGTGTTCAGTCACGCACAGGGCGTTGTGGTCTGCGCAGGTTGCGCCACCATTCTATGCCAGCCTACTGGAGGACGTGCTAAGCTAACAGAAGGTATGGAAGCTCGAAATATTTAATCAACCAACAAACCAATCCCATTTTCATTGCAGGCTGCTCGTTCCGTAGGAAGCCACAGTAAATGGATTTCTTCAAGGTGAACCACAATTTATTAATTTTTTAATAAAAACGTAAATAAACTGAAGAATCGACAAGGCTTTCATTTAAACTAAATTATCGCCGATTTTCTTTCCTAACAGCAAATACAACAAATGTCCAACGAGAGCAGGATTAGTGGCAGCAGAAGCAGCATCTGTGTTATCTAAGTATAGGTAGTTTTATAAGAACAATTGTGTTTGAGACACATCTTGACTACCTAAATTCAACCCAACACTGGCTATAAAATAGATAAACACATGTAATATAGACGTTTTGTTATTTTAATGATGTATGCAATCTCGCGATCCTTCCTGTTGATTAAAATATTATAAAATTGTGGTTGGTACTGTAACTAAAGTGTATATTTTGCAAAACGGGGTGCAGTATTTAACTGCAATATTTTAAAATAGTAATTGTGACTAAGCGTGTGTTTTGCTAAACAAAAAGGCATTTTGGCTGGACCAAATATTTCGTTCATGATATAACTTGTATACAGCAGACTTAGGGGGAATATCGTCATTGTGCAGTTTATTCCTAGAACATACGGTGATTGTTGCTCAAAACATATACAAAAAACAGAATAATTTTAAAAACACATCGCGAGTACTAAAATCATTATATATTAAATTTTTTTCGCATTCTTAAAACACTTCGATTTGAAAACAATAAATATATATGTATATCGATATTAGGCATCGCGCACTAGGTATTAGTTCAGTGCTGGAGGGCGTCAAAAAAAAACTATTTGCAGCGTTGCCTTGGGAATATTTAGGGTTTTATAATGTAAAATACTGCTTATTAAGTTGGCTGCGATTTATCTTACTTCCTTTCCCGTGTTAGCTGTGAAAGAAAAAACATGCCGGTGGGTGTGGAATTTTACTAAAACATTCATTAAAAAAGCGATAAATTGCAAATGCATACGCGAGAGCTGTGATGGTCAAATCTCGCTATATTGAAAGGTGGTTGTGCTGTGAAAACATTCGTGCAAACCCCTCAAAAATGCAGTCCACTCTGCGTGGTCGCACTGCCCTGGTGTATGTGCGTGTGTGTGTGCGTTCGTGAAGCACGCATGGCGAGCGGTAAATTTTTAGTGCAATAGATGGGAATGCAACATATGTATGCATTGCGCAGACTTGTGAATTAGTGAATTCAGAATTATTTTAGTAAAGAAACTTTGCAGCAATCAACTGAGTACAATGCAAGCAAATATAACATAACCTAAAAAATAATGCATTGCAAATTTGTTGCTATTATTTGTTTTGGCCTGTCGATTGAATTCATCAGTGATAATTTTGCTTGGGTCTTATTGCAGCTAGCAAAAGATTTATTGCACCCTCTGCCCGCTGAGGAGAAGCGTAAGCACAAGCTAAAGCGCCTGGTCCAGCACCCCAACTCCTACTTCATGGACGTCAAGTGCCCTGGATGCTACAGAATTACAACTGTGTTCAGTCACGCACAAGGCGTTGTGGTCTGCGCAGGTTGCGCCACCATTCTATGCCAGCCTACTGGAGGACGTGCTAAGCTGACAGAAGGTATGGAAGCTCGAAATATTTAATCAACCAACAAACCAATCCCATTTTCATTGCAGGCTGCTCGTTCCGTAGGAAGCCACAGTAAATGGATTGCTTCAAATTGAACCACAATATAATCATTTTTTAATAAAAACTCTAAGAAAAAACGTAAATAAACTGAAGAATCGACAAGGCTTTCATTTAAACTAATCGCCGATTTTCTTTCCTAGCAGCAAATACAACAAATGTCCAACGAGAGCAGGATTAGTGGCAGCAGAAGCAGCATCTGTGTTATCTAAGTAAAGGTAGTTTTATAACAACAATTGTGTTTGAGACACATCTTGACTACCTAAATTCAACCCAACACTGGCTATAAAATAGATAAACATGTAATATAGACGTTTTGTCATTTTAATGATGTGATCCTTCCTGTAGATTAAAATATTATAAAATTGTGATTGGTAATGTAATCAAAGTGTATATTTTGCTATACGGGGTGCAGTATTTAACTGCAATATTTTAAAATAGTAATTGTGACTAAGCGTGTGTTTTGCTAAACAAAAAGGCATTTTGGCTGGACCAAATATTTCGTTCATGATATATCTTGTATACAGCAGACTTAGGGGAATGTCGTCATTATGGGTCTTAATGTAATTTTAATAGCCCTGCTCAATGACTTTTTTTGTCTATGATTATGCAGCTTCTTTTAACCAACCCATCCCACCTGTCTGTCGTTGTCAAGTGCGAATATAAACGGCTTTTAATTTGAAATATTGCCATTTCGCGCGACTACAAATTGTGTTCCATCCCTCGTACTTTATCGATAGCAATATCACACAAATGTCACAGAAGCTACCTGCTACAAAACTATTATCGAGCCTAGTTCAATTCTGTCTAGCACTGTAGACATTAAATTCGCGCGCTCCAGACAGCTTGGCGCCGATGCAAAAATTCCACGTAAAGGAGAATCCGTTTATATTAAATAGAAAAAATTACACATTCTAAATTACATTTCGTGCGATAAATATGAATGAGAATGCGACTGAGTGCATTGATTTTACGGACTCCGACGATATACAACTTTCTCTCAATATGCAGCACCTAAGCACTCAGCTAATTTCTCTCACCGAAGGCGTGGACGAGGAGTCGTCAAACGTACAGAGCCAGCGACCGGGAGGCAGTAGCAAAGGTGTTTTGGCGCAATTAAAGCGTAATTTTGCCGAGTTAAATTTAGATGCGAATGCTCCGGTATTGGAGTTTCATGGCTATGGTTGTCTTAATGTGCTGCCGAAACATTCGCGCGCTTTTGTTGGTAACAAAAAACATGCACAGTCAGGTGGCGACATACAGTCTCATGAATTTGTTGCGCGCCAAAACTCGCGACAGCAACAACAACTACAAGAGCTAAATGTTTGGATCAATCCCAGCAATGGGGAAGAAGAAATATCAATGGAAAAATTAAAGTCCATTGGCTTGCACTGCGATGGGTGAGTATATCTAATTGTGATTGGTGTAGTTAACAATATTTCCTCCTCACCCAGCGTTGAGCACAATCCTGTCATGCGGCTCATGAATTTATTTTGTTCGTTGCACGACCATCTGAATTCCCAGTTGCCGAGCTCTCAAATGAACGCTCTGCCATCCGACTATCTCTTCGATTGGCCGAAGAAATGCACTTTGCCCAAAAGCATTAATGTGCGCCATCAGGTGATGGTGCTGGTCAACAAATGTGAGCGCTTTTTAGGCGCCCAACGTCGCGTCTTGGAGTCGAACCGACACTTCGACTTAGTCAAATATAATGAGTGCGACGATTTATTGTGTGCAGCAACGGCCTGGACGCAGCTTTTAAGACAATTTAGCACCGTCGAAATGCGGCACTTTAAGGGCAAGTTTGTGAACTCCAAGGCAAAGGGTAAGTTAAAATATAGAAGGCAATACATTAGTATTTTTATTAAGTAGACATATTTCAAAACGATATTTAGCTTTTAAAACGTGAACAATTAATAGTTTTCCTGCTTAAATCATACCTTAATAATATGATTGATTTATAACATTTCAGAATTTTAGAATACAATACTATGAATTTAAAACTAATATTAGTATTACGATTTCTCCCCACAGCCTGTGCCACACAATTGGAGGAGGTGATGTTGAAACTGCGTGAATCGATACGAGCGGCCTATATCAACATCTTTGTTTTCAATTGGGAAATGGATCAAGAGCATCGCTACTCCCTGGCCATGACCGAGAGCCGTGAGACTACTAATAAATTCGCTTTGGAAGCATGCGAAGATGAAAAGCAGGCTGCGTCGCAGTCGCCACAAATGACACCCGAGGAGCAGTTCCTGGCTGAGGTATACCAGTTGGAAAATGTTTTGATGTGTGCCAAGGAGTTTGAGGACACTTTGAATGCACTCATTCAAATGCCTGAGAACTACTTTCCGCCGGAAATTGTTGCCCAATTCAATACCAAAAATAAGGCAACAACACAGCTCGATGGCACGATTGGCGGAGAATATGAGTTGTGGGCCGATGTTGATATTATTGAGGTGCCCACATCGCCACCGAAGATAAGTCATCGCAGACATTATCCCCAAATCTACAGGGGCTAGCCGTAAGTGAAAATTGATTTCCTTTGCTTCTCAGAATGAATGCTTGCATCTATTTTCTTTCTCAATTTGATGTAATGTATATTTTGTTTTCGATTCATTAAATGAAAACTTGTTTCGTATTCAGATCTCCAATTAAAAATTTTAAATTAAGTACTTTAAAAGTAAATTGAACAAGCTTGCTTGACGTTTATGTTCAAATAAAGTTGTAAAACTTTAAACCTTTGTGGTGATAAAACCACAATTGTATAAATAAAATTAAGCTAAAAATCAAAAGTATTATTAAGTTCATATTAACACACAAATTGAGAAACAACAGAAAATGAGTTTAAGATTAACCTGAATTGAAAAAAAAAAAACAAAAATTAGCGACAAACTGAATGTGAAAAGTGAATGAATTATGATTGAATTGAATTCAATTGTATTGTATTGAATATTTTGTTACTGTAATAAATCCAAAATGGTATTGAGTTATGATTTAATCAGGAAAACTATAAATTGATTACGCTTACAAATTTCACAAACCCAAAGTTCGGCACACACAACACTTTTTAGTTCAACTTTTAAATAAAAAAAATTAGCTTATTGAGAAGTGAACAAATACCTATTCAATTTTTATAAAAACAATTTTATTTAATAATAGAATTTAAAAGTAGTTGAGGTGCTAAATAAATGTCGGATATGCTATATATCGTATTAATAATATAAGATTAAAAAAAAAATAAAAGAAAAGTAAACTTGAAGGCAGAAAACATTGGTAAACCTATGAGTGAAAATGAATGATTTATATTCATTTAAAGAATACTTTGAAGAAGCTTTTAAAAGGGGATACAGATTTTAAACAACATACTTGTATTTATAAAACCTCTTTATTATAAGTTGCCAACAAGATACGAATTCATTTATTTGAATAGAGAAACAAAACTCAAATGTGTGTTTTATTATAAAACAAATAACCCTTAAGCCTAACAATAGCAAGGAAATAATTATAAGTCAGCGAATAGATACTGCATTGGAATCTTGCCATAAGTTCGGTTTAGTACTGCTTTGAAAATAAGGCCAACAGCCTCGCTCATATCAGCTTTGACTTCGTTGAATATGTCCAACCAGTTCTCGTTGATAAGTAGGTGCAGGTTATCGCTCAACTCCTTCTGGCCATTAAACAGGCCGCTCATCTTATAGGTAACATGTCTCGGCTCCATATTCAGATGAATATTGGCAACCTCCAGGTATGTTTGACCATCGCCCTTCGTCACAGCCCTCAACTTGAGTTTGGCGCGAAAGTGTGATTGTTCTGGTCACAATCAAATACAATATAAGTACGTAGAGTATGTTCATGATATATTTTCTGTTGCGTGCTTACCCAAAACAATTTGAGCATCTCCCTTGCCCGTAACAGGCAGAATCAGCACTCTACCATCGACAGAATAGGGCCCTTTCAGCACCATTTTGGGAACAAACATATCAAATTCAATGGGCTTGCTTAGATCTCGAGTGTAGCCGCTAAAATTATGGATTGCATGTGCACTTAATGTTTAATAAATAATAGTGAACCACTCACCTCACACGCTTCACTTGCGCATTCTGCAATCCCAACAAGTCCACCTCGCTAAACACCAAATCCACACTGACCGAACTAGTAGGATTACGACCCATTTGCAGTTTCTTGATATGCAGCGGATCGAGGGGCACCAAGCCCAGTTCCTTGATGCCGTTTTTAGCATGTGTGCTGAGCACATACTGCACTCCATCCTTTATACACGCTTCGTCGTTAATCGTGCATTGTCTAATCCCGGCAGCTGATTTCAAAACAAAAGACTTAAGCAACGAACATGCGGGAAGGAATATAAATTAACGTACGTAATTCGATTTCGATTGCAGCGCCTAAGAGGCAAACACTGCTCAGCAGCAACACGACTTCAGCAACTAGAAGACTGTGCATTTTATTTATTTTGGTAATTTAACGATTTTTTTAGAAAAGGTATCTTCACTTTCACTGCGGCAATTGCTGCCTGACGACTGTTGAGTTCGCCTTAACGTGCGGCTACTTATATAGGTTCATTATTTGTCACAATGGAGGCTTTAATTAAAATGGGGTTTGTGCTTTTGTTGTTGCTGTAATCGTTGTAGCTCGCTCGCTTTGACTTCATTAGTTTGTGTGGATGTGATAATGTTTCGCTACTAAAACAAAGAATTGTTCTCAATTCACAATATTCAGCACACATCTTTGAATATTGAATTATATCAAGCTGTTTTGCAAGCCACAAGCTGTACTAAATCTCTAATTTGTGTTTAAGTCTGCCGTTACGGCTGCTATTTTAACTTGTTTTGTGTTATTATTCAGCTTTTATTATTTTAGAATTTTTTTTTCCTTTTTACATTTAATCAAATGCTGTTCTTTAATGGCCTAGAAAATTAAATAATCACTTTAAAATTGAGAAGAAAAATGTATAAGCCCATTCCAAGGAAACTATGACCTCAAAGTTTTCCAAAAAAGTCATCTTAAAGTAAAAGATTCTTAAGATCATACCACTTTTATAAATTCCTTAAATCCTTCCAAAGCCTGTATTCTAAATTAGTTATTTATCACAAAATTACTTTCATTTTCACTTTTTACCCATTTCAAAAAAATATTAAATTTTTATTCGATGAATAACTAAATTAAAATCCATATTATTAAAAAACAAAAACAATCCAGTACAATCGACATATAATGCAAACAAATCATCATACTCATAATTCATTTTTATAACATCCAAACAAAGAAACCCACTACCTGATTATAAATCAATGTAGAAAGAATCATTATTAGTGTACATTGAATAAACTACACTTAGTAGACGAGTTCAAATCCATTTATTTATAGGGTAAGTTTTTTAGTAGCGAACTTGTTTTAAAATACCGCTCACTCCCTTCACACTCGCATACATTAACGTTGAACCTTTGACATCCTTTTATTGCTATGTTCAGCAACATTTTGTAATAACCTGCTTCCTCCCTTCGAAGTGCGCTTTAAATAATGCGCATTACTTTAATATATGCATGTTGTGCATTAAACTTACAACAGCACTCATTAGGGCCAACAAAGTGGAGAGTCAGACTTAGTACACCCTATAGTAGTATAAAATCTTTAAAGTCTCTGCCGACTCGGCTTACCCAAGTCACTCTTTTTTAAAACTAGTAGTTTTAGTTCTAAATTCTAATAATCAGTTCCGAAAATTAGGTTAATTCATATACTAAATATTGGATATAAATCATTTTTAAAGTTACTTGAAAAAAATAATTTATATTAATATAATATTATTATTATTATAGCTAAATACTTACAAGCAGATAAAGCTTCAGCAGTGAAATGAGTTTAAAATATCTAGTTTTGTGCGAATGTATGTAACATAAAGAAGAAGGCGTGGCAGACCCCACAAACTATATATATTCTTGGGCAGGATTATTTAAAATATATATTATTTGATTCATAAGTATAGCTTCTAAAGATTCTGTTCGTTTCTAACGATAGCAACATTTGTATCTTGATACACTCCTAAACATTTCAAACGTAGACAACAGCAACAAACGAATCTAATTAAAACCCTGTTAAACAAATCTAAACAAACCTGTTCAAGCCTAAAAATAATTGTTCTGTTAAATATTAATGAGTGAGGCTAATTAAAAGAATACTTTGAATTAGCTTTTAAAAGTGGATAAATATTAATCGAAAACAAACATAGAAGCCTTTACTTACAAGTTAACAATAATTGTATGCCAAAAAGCCAATTAAGTTTGAAAACAAAACTCAAATTTATGTTTTATTATAAAACATGTATGTTAACAATCACAGGGAAATAATTAAAAGTCAACAAACAGATATTCCAGTGGATGCTTGCTTAAGAACCTGTTTAGTACCGATTTGAAAATTAGAGCAATAGCATGGCCCATATCACCTTTGATCTCGTTGAAGATTTCCTGCCAATTCTCATTGATGAGCACGTGCAAGTTATCGCTCAGCTCCTTCTGGCCATTAAAGAGACCGCCCAGCTTATAGGTGACATGACCCGGCTCCATAATCAGCTGTATGCTGACGACCTCTGCGAATGTTTGACCCTCACCCTTCGGCAGCGCTTTCAACTTAAGTATGGAGCGGAAGTGTGATTTTTCTATTCGTAATCAAACAATATATTATATATATAATATATGTTGTTTTCTAAGTTATTTCGTGTATTAACTGTGTTGCATGCTTACCCAGAAGTATTTCGGCATCCCCTTTGCCAGTAATAGGCAGAATCAGGACTCTGCCATCGACTGAGTAGGGACCTTTGAGCACAATTTTGGGTACAACCAAATCAAATTCAATGGGCTTGCTTAGATCTCGGGTGAAGCCCCTAAGATAATGGATGGCAAGTGAGATTATTGTTTAAGTAACGACAGTAAACCACTCACTTCAAATGCTTCATCTTAGCATGCTGCAATCCCAACAAGTCCACCTCGCTGAACACCAAATCCACACTGACCGAACTAGTAGGATTACGACCCATTTGTAATTTCTTGATATGCAGCGGATCGAGGGGCACCAAACCTAGTTCCTTGATACCAGTTTGGGCGTGAGTGCTGAGCACATACTGCATCGCATCCTTCATACACGTTTCGTCATTAAGCGTGCATTGTTTAATCCCGGCAGCTGATTGCAAAACAAAAGACTTAGGCAACGAACTTGTGGGGGAAAAAGAAAATTAACATACGTAACTCATTTTCGACTGCAGCACATAAAAGGAAAACACTGCTCAGCAGCAACGCGACTTCAACAACTACAGGACCGTGCATTTTATTTATTTTGGTAATTTTACGATTTTTTTAGAAAAGGTATCTTCACTTTCACTGCGGCAATTGCTGCCTGTCGACTGTTGAATTCACCTTGACATGCGGCTACTTATATAGGTTCATTGTTTGTGGCACTTGTGGGCTTTAATTAAAATGCTTAAGTATTATATTGAAATGGATTTTGTCCTTTTATTGTTCCTGTAATCGACGCAGTTCGCTTGTAAAAGCACAAACCGCTTTTTCACCTCGACTCTGACTTTGTCAGTATGTGAAGAATTGTAATCATTTCACACATTTTAGCGCATTCATTGAATATTGAAATATATCGTGCTGTTTTAAAAGTCGTCAGCTGTCCAAAAAGCTTCTAATTTGTGTTTTAATTTTTCGTTGCGGCTGCTAGTTGAACTTGTTTTGTTTACCTGCATTGCCATTTGTTTAGCGTTTTTTATTTAATCAAAAGCCGTTGACTTGTTAGCGAAAATATATATATATACTATATACTGATTTGATTTTTATGGCCCAGAAGAACAAAAAGCTGCATGCAAATTATTACAAAGAATCTATCACGGCAAATTTAAAAAGTCTTGCCTCTCCTAAACACTTCTTAAGACTTTTTCTAAATTAACTTTCGATTTCAAAGAAACTTTAACCTCCGCGTTAGTTCTGTTGTGGGTGCGAATCACGCCATACTTTTTGATATTTACAAGTATATGAGACATTTTTCATTTATTGATTATTATAATGAATTAACTACACTAAGTAGTTGATTCCATGTATTAATAGGTTAGGTAATAATACATTTTATTACTGACGAACTTGTTCCCAATTACCGTTCACTCCCCTCACAATTGCACTCATAAGCGTTGAACCTTTGACATCCTTTAATTGCTACAGCAAAATTTTTTAATAACGTGCTTCCTGCTTTCGAAGTACACTTCAAATAATGCGTATTACTTTAATATATGCATGTTGTGCATTAAACTTACAACAGCACTCATTAGGGCCAACAAAGTGGAGAGTCTGACTTCGTATACCCTGTAGCTGTGTAATCCTTCCCGCCGAATCGGCTGTTGTTTTCTAAGTTACACTTTTCTTAAATATATTTATTATATTTTTATAATAAATACGGCCACCTTTATTGAGTATGACTTCATATTTATATACGGTTCGGCAGACTTACCTGTTTTCTAAAGCAACTTTTTACTTTATTTTTTATAATAATGCCATTATTTTAGAAATATATACACAGTTCATTATTTACTTAAGTTATTGATTAAAATATACTTAAACAAACACAAATACAAAGAAAAACATGACTTTATATTGCAGTTTTGCTTATTCATTTTTTATGTTAACTTTTACTCTCTTTTTTAAGAAACTAGCAAAGAAAACCATTGATATATTATATAAATTATGGCTACGTAATTAGAAATATATAGTGTTTGATTTCTGTAACTTATAAAATTATGATTTTGATCGTACCTTACAAAAGTTCTCTTTATGTTTTAATATTCAAGGGTTGCAAACAACAAAAAACAAATTAAATTATAGCACAGTAAAATAAATCTACTTTAAACAAACCAGTTAAAGCCTAATAAGTATAATGGTTTTGTCTGTTAAATATTAATGAGTTAAAGGCTGAGATAAAAATGAAGAAACTTGCTTCCAGTTTGATTAAATATACTTATTTTGAATTTTGAGGTAATTAAATATAATATTATAAATAATTTTGTTTTATGAGTGGACACACAATTGTATTTAGAATTGTTGTTAGCAAGTGTCAACTGATGTTTCATTTAAAAGGCATTTATATTTGCTAACGAAGCCCATTTATTTACTTTAATTTACAAAAATTGTTTGAACGAAAAAATATCCAGTTTCAGTGCATTTTTGTTTATAGAAATCGAATAAGCTTCTTGTGAAATACCATATTTGAAAAGCAACGAAAATTAATCACATATTGAAAAGGCTTTGAATTATTTCAGGCTTCAATAAGTTTAATTTTTTTAATTTGAATATTTTTAAATTTGAAATAATATAAATCAATAACAGCATTCTTAGTACTTATTACGAATGTTTGTATTTTGTTTGGAAAAATGTTGTTGTTGTATGTTGCTATATTTTTATGCACTCTTATATTATAAAGTACACCTGAGTATGTTTTAGCCCTTGGGTTATTCGGCATTGAATATATTATCGAAATGATAATATATGCGTCTTTCAATTTGCTGCTCTCATAAATATTAATTAATAGTAATTTCGGATCTGCAGCTGTGCACAAATAATAATTCATTCATTTCATAAACTTGATAAACTCTTCCTTATTAGCACTTACGAAACTTGCACTTGTCAAAACATTTTTAATTTATTTCAATTTATTTATTCAAATTATTTATTATTGGCACATAATTTATATTGAATGTTTATTTCAAATTTTCAAGTAACAATTTATGGCATACTTTTAGGCTGCAGAAACAAAAGTAGCTCGAGGGGCATTCCAAAAATCTCTTCTAAAATTTATTTTAGATGCACTTTTATATTTATAAGCAAACTTTATTTTTTAATTCACACGAAATCAAAAGATAATCCTCCAACTATTCGCCACTAATTTCCTTCGTATGAGAAGCCAGAGCACGCAGAATCTTTTCATAAAACTAAAAGCCACAATAAAGTTAAAAATTGATTCGCCAAATGTCATCACTTAGCTGCTTAGTTTAAGAATCGCAGAGAAGGGCTTCCATAATATTTTCATACGATAATAAATATTACATACTTAATTGCTTATTACATCAAATTAGAAATTATTATACATTTGATATTAGAACATACAAAGCTGACACAATTTTAAAAGCTCAAACTATTCTGCATTTTTAATAAGCAATTATTCAGTTGATTACTGTTGTGTTTAAATGGATCAAATCAACGAAATAAGTTTCAATTTCATTTATAAATAAACAAGGAATCGCATTGACATTTGATTGTAGACCAGAAGTAGAACGTTTTATTAGTCTGTATTTTTTTCTTTGAATAAGGTCATCACAAACCGGTTTTAAGTTTTTTTTATAGAATTATTATTTTTAATTCTAGACGCTATTTATCGCCGCTATTACTGCTGTCTTAATCATATTAGAGAAGCAATTTATTTGATAGTTCTACCCTCTCCGAAGAGTCCTATAAAATTGTCTTGGGAATCAACTATCAAATGGCAATGAAATCCATACCGATTCACTTTATTAATCAAAGCTGAAAGCTCATAATCAAACGAATATTTTTAAATTGTTTATTTATTGTTTATTTGTTTTTTAGTTTCCTTGCACTTTATTTTGAATTAAGGAGAAAATATCTATCATTTAAGCAAAATTCAACACTTTAATGTTTTTATTTTTCTTCACTTCACTTCACGCCTCAAAGAACTTGGCATAGGGATACTTTGTGAAAACATTCGAGATGATAGCCTCAAATATTTTGGCAAAGGCATTTTGCATGGATTGTTGTACCTCCAAAAAAATGCTCTTCCAGTTCTCGTTTAGGAAGGCGTTCATGTTATCGCCCAATGCTTTGTCGCCATTGAAGAGATTGGTAAAATTATAAATCAAGCGTTCGGGATCCGCTTCCACCTTCAGATTGGTAGCTTTCATGTAGGTTTCGCCATTTTTCTCGTACGCTTTACCCGTAAATACGATCACAACATTACAATTGACTGATGGGTTTCAACGAGAGGAAGAGAGAGAGAGGGAGAAGTTAAATCGCTTTAGTTTTAAACAAATATGTAATGCTTACCAAGCGTCAAGTTGCTTATCCCAGAACCACTTATGGGCAGTATCAAAACTTTGCCTTTGATGTTGTAAGGACCCACCAGGGAGACGGCATCGGACTTCATGCGTAACTCATGCTTTTTGGCTAAATCGGTGCCGAAGCCTCTGAGAAAACAAATAGTACAATTTTGTTGCGTTTTGTAATTAATTTTAACTTACCTGATATCAAGCAATTTTAAGGTTTTTATTCCGAACACTTCATTATCCGTAAAGGTCAGATCAATGTTTACAGGACTGTCGGCGCCTTGTTTAATATTCATTTTGGCGACACGCAGCGGATCAAGCTTTACCAGATTTATAGAACTATCGCCCACCACAGCCTTCTCGGACAGAAGGTGGTTAACAATGTTTAGAAGACATTTCTTATCTGCATGTTTACAAGGCTTCGGATCATCAGCTGTGATTAGGGAATACGCTTGATTGGTTCAAATAGGATAGGTTTTCCTACTCACGAAACTTTGCCTGACCGGCCACAATTAAGCAAAGAACCAACAAGCCTACAACTCGGAACATTTCTAATCCTATTCTTATGCATGCATTTGCGAAACTAACAATTTCTCGTGCTGCTGCCTTGTTTTTATAGAGCGCTTAATGATTTCAATGCAACAATAATAAACTAATTCGAGTACATATATAGTATTTTAGTACTGGCAAACGCGAGTGCTAGCTTAGTTAACTGAACTTTGATATTACTTAACCTTTTTCTATATAGTAGTACATAAATAAATTATTTAAAGTGCGAGTCGCAGCATCTCTATCTGTATGTTATTCAAACTTAAACCTGTTCCGTTTGATTCATATTACATATCAGACCCCATTTTAATTAATTAATCTATTTATTTACGCTTTGGGACTGCAATTAAGCCTTTTGAAGCGATTTAATTGCTTGTATCGATCTTAACAAGGAGATTGCTGAGATACATTTATTTGCGATTTTCTCATAAGCCAACTGTGTAATACAGCGGAATTTGTTTTGCATTTAATATTAATTAAGTAGAGTTCGATCAGTCGCGAATACTATTGTAATTATTAAGGGGCTATTGAACCATATTAGGGCGTCAAATTCTGTTCTTAACAACAGTGATTTCCATCTAATTGGCCACATACGTCACTTATAATGAGTAACTAAAATTAACATTGCATTTACATACGTTTTTTTTAGTAAATTAGAATCCAATATAAGTCACTTTTAATGATTAACTAGAATTAACATTGCATTTACATATGTTTTTTTTTAGTAAATCAGAAGTCATTAACTAGTTTTAAATTGACTTCAATTTTATTATAATCGTACTATGTATAGTATGAATAGTATATACAATACATGCTGAAATTGATTTCTTTTCTTCCACAATAACAGCTAAAAGGTGTATTTTTATACTCTGTACATGAAATGTACAGAAGGCGTGGCAGACCCCACAAAGTATATATATACTTGATCAGCATGACGAGACGAGTTGATCTAGCCCTGTCTGTCTGTCTGTCTGTCCGTCTGTCCGTCCGTATGAACACCTGGATCTCAGAGACTATAAGAGGTAGAGACATCAAATTTTGCACAAAGATGCCTTATGTGTGTATTCTATACGAGCTTGTTTTATTTTTTTGATTCCCCCCCCCCACTTCCCCCCTATGGGGGTTTTCCCGAATTTCCATTCGTATAATCGCCTATATCTCGGAGACTATAAGACCTAGGAACACCAAATTTTAGTCCAAGATGCCTTGTGTGAATACGCAGAAAATGTATATTTTGGAATTTCCCTCCCTCCCCCCTCTCCCATGCAAATTGCGATTTTTTCTAACTCCCGTAATTCTTGGAATTTCGAACTAAAATTGAAAATTGATGAAAAATATTTAATACAAAATATTGTGCTGCAGTTTATACTTCAATTTTTTGTATTTCAATTTCAAGTATGAAATTAGGAATAAGTCTGTCAGTTTTGTTTTGTTGTTGTTAATTACTACAAATGACACCATTTTAGATTTAAGAAGTGCATCCAAGTATGTATTAATGGGGGAGAACGAAAAGACGAGAATAAGAACACTTTCTTGACAGGCAGTATTTTAAGTATATGCTAAAAACTGACTTGTAGGCTTCGGGTCGGATAAAGGCTTAATTTTTATTGTCCACTTAACCAGGCGCCTGTTATTAATTAAAACTATTTACATTATTCAGACAGGTAAATTAAATATGAAATATCTTTCGAAAATCAGAGGAAAGTAAAGAAGTATAGCATTATTTGAATAGTCTTAAAACTGGTTCTTAATTTATTGATTTTTTATATTATTTTCTAGCACTGATAGCTTTATTTAACGCCATTGATAAATGTCAACGGTCAGATTTTAAGGCAATAAGCAGAAAGGTGTTCTTTTTTTTCATAATTTCTAGTATTTAAAGGAGGGATTACTGGGATCACTGGAAGGTGAAAAAAAAGAGCGTTGGCCGACAGGGAATGTAATAATTTTTTCAATTATCAGAGCCTACAGAATACAGTCAAAATGTAATAAAATTTTAAAGGTACATATAAATAACTTAAGTATCTGAGCTTGATGTCCGTCTGAAGTTGGATGATCTGCCCAACACTATACCCAATGGCTACTCTATATTTCCATTAGGGTATTATTTCCAAGAGTCTACAGTTTAGTAGTTTAGTAGATACAATAGATTATACCAACGCTTAATTAAGCATACCGATACCGTTTATAAACAAAGAATAGCTATCAACTAAGTGTATTTAATAAGAAGATAACAGATATTAATATCAATATTGCGACCTAACAAAGTATTCTGGAAAATGTAAGTTATTCCATCTAAATACAAAATAATACGTTCATGTAATGTTTTTTATGTATAGTACATACTTGTATATAGGTACAAATGTATGTATAAATGTGTATAATTCAAAATCAGAGCACTCTCTTATTTATAGACTCACGCCCTCTTGCATTCAAGAGTCTCCTAATCCCACTGTCCCTCTTCGAGAAGCTTCCGAACACTTAACATGAATACAAATCTCAATAACTTGTTTAACCTGATCTTTGTATGACAAGCAACCTATACATAGATCGAGGATATAGAATAGTTAAGACAATGGCAACAGTCGCACAGTAGACTGGCGAACCAAAAATGAATATAAATTAATACACTTGTATTTATTGAAATCAAAATAATAGATTTATGCCCAGATGGTTCATGAAAGCCGTGAATTAGTGAATATAAAAAATTAAGTAACATAAAATAATAATTATTATCTCTTTGTTCTCACCAGATAACAAACAAATTGTAAATGTAGACCTTTCGATGCCTAGTTTTGTAACTCTAGTTTTAACTTTTCCTGCAGACAGAATACCAAGGGTATGTGGATGCCAAGCATTATTCCGATTATAATAAAAAAACCAAATTTTTATAAAATTTAACCAATACATAAAGTGGTTTTATGTGAAAAGGAAAATAAAGACTAATTTGTAAATTAAGTAGCGCACAGAGTTTAAATGTTGAAACGCATTTATATTTAAAATTCTTATCTTCCACCCCATTGTGCAATGCCGCTCTCACTGTTCTGATTGCTGATTCATCTGACTGGCATGGAAAATCTCACATTATATAAAGTTTACACTTAATGGACCATCATTTTTGACCTGTTCTTTAAATATAGAAGCACATAGGCCAAGAAGAAGTTAAGTATTTCATTTCAGGGGGAGATATTTTTTTATAGCAACATTCATTTTGATTCTTTGCAGAACGAGTGCCGTTCGGAATGATTTGAAATAATTTATATTATTATTATATACATAGGATTCAGGTTAAAAGGGAATTTTCGCTTCATTGGGAATAATTGCTGCTATAGGTTTATGGGGTCTATAGTACATAGACGAGCTTATTTATTAATTATTTATTAATATTGCAGTACAAAAGGGTATTACAATTTTCGGATGATTAGCTATCTTTCAGATCAAATATTTCTGTTATTCTCCAGAAACTTTATGAGCTGTACGATTTGTTTTTTTATAGTATTTACCATAGAATCATTAACTGGAATTGTATTAGCAAGCTTATCAATTCTTATTAGTCGTCTTGATATTGTGTTTGTTTTCAATCCCAAAATCAGGCCTTAAATATGTTATATTTTTCGTCGAGTGTATGTACAACAAACATACTTGTATATAATATTAATGCCACTGGCTAAAATGCTGTTTGTGTGAGCTATTTATTATGGAAATCGGTTTGCTCACGTGACTGGCATTATAAGCGTTATATGTATGTACTATATATAACTAATTTTCGCAGCACAAATTAAAGGTCGTAACAAAAAAAAAAACAATAAAACGAATATAACAAATCTAAAAGCTTAGACAAAAAGCCGTATACTTGTATTTTGATTATTTATTATAAGTAGTTTAATGCTACGATCTAAACTTAAATATAAAGAAAGTATTTTAAGTGTTTTTAATTGTTATTTGTTAAACGGGAAACAGTCCATTGTTGATGTATTGATTGGTTGGTGTAAAATGAAATGCTTGTGAAGAAATACTCGTACACTCGTACACAAATGCTAGCTAAGACTAAAGCTGCTACGCGAGACCCATTTAGGACTCTAGGAAGAGGTCCTCGTAGGCGAAGCGCTTGAACAGGGTAGACAGGATGCTTTTCATAATTTCGGCAATGGCCACATGAATCGAGGGCTGAAGCTCGCCCCACACATCGGACCAATTCTCGTTCAGGAATTGATTTAGATTAGTGCCCAAGGCCTGATCGCCATTAAACAGATTGGTCAGCTTAATGTTCATTCTGCGGAAAAGATTAATGAAGAGCGTAAAATATATATATGTATACATGTCAGGTGTGGTGCTGTGGCACTTACAATTGTGGCTCCACCAGCACCTTAAGCTTGTCCACCGTCAGGTAGGTGCGACCATCGTGCTGCTGAACGCCCGGCTTGAACTTGACCGAGAACTTCGGACTGTGCAGAGTTATGTCGGCGTCTCCATCACCGCGTATGGGCAGAATCAGAATTCGGCCGTCGGCATTGTATTTGCCGCGCAGCACAATTTTCGGGAACGAGCCGTACATCTCGAACTTGGTGGTTGCTGGATTGGCGCCGAAGCCACTGCATCGAGTACGTTTAGAATTATTGGTTTCCAAACTCTATTCAGTACTTACACCGCACGATCGAATTTCACGCCCGACAATCCCTCCACATTCACATCGCGGAAGGCCAGTTTCAGGTTCAGCGAACCGGTCCGTCCGTCCGAAATGTCGAAACGCTTCACCAAGAAGGGCTCGACTTGGGGAAAACCGGCCGACGGATAGCCAGTACGGGCATGTTGTCGGATCAAAGTGTGCGAAACATTTATGATGCAATCGGTATCGCCATTATGACAGCGTGGTATTTCGGCAGCTAACAGGGTCCAGAACCAGGAATGTTAATTGATGGCATAATCAAATGTTTTTGTTAAAAAACGGGGAAGGCAAGCAACTCACGAAAATTTGAAGCCGCACGAGCAGTGAACACACATAGCGCCAAACAGATCAGGCTCAGGAGGCTAAATGATGTTGAGGCGAAGGCCGTTGCCAGCGCTTGAGGGCACAATTTGGAAGCGCGCATGTTTAATTCAAAAGGATAATGATGGCCCGGTTACAATGTTACCCGCACACACACACACACACACACACAGAAACACTCAGAGCACAAACACACACACAAATTGTGGAATTCGAATTTTGCACTGCACTTTGCGGAGGTAAAGTTATTCTCAAATTAGTTTTGCTCCTTCGCGGCGGGAGCTTCGCTTTTTGGCGAACTCTAGTCCAAGTTCAATGCTAAACTGTAAATTGGCTCGGGACATACGCAGCCATTTATAACCTTTTTTTCGTTGCCGTTTTGCTTCTTTTTTTTGTTTTTTTTTTGTTTTTGAAACGTCTCGCATCTTTCGGTTTCGACTCACAGTGGCGTCGTCGTCGTCGTCGATGTCGCTCAGAGACGGCCGGCCGGTCCGTCAGCCAGCCACGAAGCTAGCCAACCCATACATTTCATAGTTTATTCATTCTCAACTTGTCTCATCGTCATCGTTGGCAGTGTGGTCGTTATTATGGTAGTGCTTGGTGTTCCTGTTCTCTGCTAGCTGTTGTTTTATGATACCCTGCCCAAAAGATTATTATGAGTATGTCGTACAAGTATCAGTCTTATAATTGCATCGTAGTATCGTTGAAGAAGCATTACTTACTCATTGTATAAGCTCTGTAGCAGAAGTTTCAAAGTAGAAATAACGTAATAGAGTCATCGCAGTAGAAGTGCCATAGTGGTAGTAGTATCGTAGTAGCAGTATCGTCGCAAAAGTATCGTATTAGAAGTATCTTAGCAGAAGTATCGTAGATGTATCGTATACTCGAGTATAAGTACCGCAGTAGAAGTATAAGTATCGAAGCATCAAAAAGATTTGATCACTGCCCGAATACTACGCTATTAGACACATTTAAAAGAAATTATTAAAAATAAATCGATATATGTATATCATCAATCATATACGATAAGTTATTTTGATCCAATATTCATAGATTGATTATTATTAATCCTAATTCATGAGCTGTTCCGCACAACAAGCCAAGAACGAGAGTTGTCTTTTCATTAATTATTTAGCCTAACATTTAACTTGAAAGTAATTTATCAATTTTAAAAATCTGATAATATGTTTCTGAAATTTTGATTATAAGACTCAGCTAGTTTTTCTTTCCAGAGTTCGATTCCTTTTCTCTGTTCCCTCACTTAATAGTTGAATAATTTGCTTTTGATGTTGATTGATTATTTCTATCAGGTTGGTTTTTTTAAAATTATTTTTATGGCCGCTGTTTCCTTAATTATTTATTATTTCTAACCATTCTATCCATTTTGTTTTTCTGTTAAAATTCCTTATCGCACACATATTTTTTTACGTTTTTTCTGGTAAAGAGTATTTAAAAGTTGTTGTATCCACATATAAGATTCGCTCTTGTTTTCTATATTTTTTTACTTCTCAGCATTGGCCATAAAAACTGCGAGTAGATACAATGTTTATCGGTTTCGATTTCGCAGTTGGCTCAACAATAGCAAACAACACAACAACAAAGACAACGACAATGTTATTAATTAATATTATTAACAGGTCCAAGCCCAACAACACCGATAAAGCAAAAGTGATTCTATAAATTTTAATGCTCGTTCCTCAGCCAGTTTTGGGCGCTTTTGTCGCGCCTTTGTGTTGTAGTGCGGTGTACTTTTTTTTCCAGACTTGATAGACATCTACTATTATAGGAATCGGTGCCCGTGTTACTGTTTTTAAATGGGCTTTTTATAGAATTTTAAGTCGCACTCATTGTGTGCGTTTTGTCCACTCGTCTGCCAGTCTGTCTGTCTGCCTTCAACGCCATTATGTTATTGACTTATTTGTTCCAAACAATTTTTTTTATAATGAAGTGCTAATACTGATTTATATATAAATATGAGTAGAACTTGCAATTTTTGCATTAATTCACATTTATTTACATATATACTTTATGAACTATTTGCTTTGACATCACCACTGCGATCAAGTTTTGGAAGAAAAAGCTTTTTAAGTCATAATTATTTATGCAATCCCGCACAAATTTTGGAATTTCCGGAGAGGTTGTGGGGCTACAATGATTTTTTATGGATATTTTCTGAAATGCGAAATCTGGTTGGCTTAAGTTTTAACAAACAAATGTGCAGTTAGGTTGGCAGCTATAATAAGCAAGCTTAATTAGATATTTATTGACATTTGCCATCATGTATGTCATAATCCAGTAAAACAGTTTATAAATGAAAATTATCGTTAAGAAATAAAATCAATGCTATACACACAAAAGTAATTGCTGAGGCAGTCTATTCAGCGACAAAGTTTCTCTGATTATTCACATGTTGTATTCCTGAATTCGCTCAGTTTGTTACTTGGATAGTCTTAAAATTTATTTAAAGCCAAAAAGAGATCTTTTCTATAGCCAAAGCATTTCCAAATGACTGTTTTCTTTTTCATAGGCCATCATTTCACACATTTTTTGAGTGCATTTATTTTTTATACAATTTTGTAGTGGCAATTTAACCCAATTACGAGTTGAATACATAACTTTGTTAGTTTTTTTCATAGGACATCATTATTTGAAAGTCCACAGTAATTACGAACTAGGAATATTTAGATGGTTTTTTATTGAACATTTCCATACTGTTTTTAGTGCCATTTTCACCCAATTAGGGGCTGAGTTATACTGAATAGAAGCAATTACATATGCAAAAATATATCTCTAGATTTATGACTTAATTTCTTTGCTTTATTGACCCTAAAGCTAAAAGCATTGATGTGCATATGTTTCACATATATCTACTGATCAGTTTTTGCAGCTCTCGTGCTGGCGCCATACGGCCAACTTCAATGTTTAACGGATCGCATGCTTGTGTCAGCTCAAGGTGAAAAAGCATGCTGATCACAGAATTTCCGATTGGCGACGTCATTGGACCATTAGACAAAATTCGCCAACAGCTCTATTTAGCCCCAACTGATGCTGCTCAGCTGCTGCCCCAAGCTTTGGCAATTGGATATAATGAGGCATAGGATGTTAAACTGGTTCCGCATGTCGAGGCGCTTGAATCTATAATGGGTATGTGTTCAAATTTGTCCATTATGATAACGAGGGAAAAAGTTGTCGCATAGCCAGTCAGACCAGCGTCATCAGCATCTGTGCATTTTTGGTTTTACTATTATTATTACTACCCTTAACTCACTATCTACTCTTGTGAGATTTTATATCTCAAATGTTCTGCAGCTCGAATGGTATTTTGCGTGCAAACACGAAAATCATTTGCCTGAAGTTTCGAGCCATTCGTCATCGCCAATTTGCATATCAGTCGCGTAAATTCGGTAAAGTCGGTTGATTTACGTTGTTTGGATGTCGGCTTCTTACTCGTTTGTTGTCTGTCCGTTGTCTGTTTGTGCCACAATACAATACAATATGTTTGTTTACATTTCCAATTGACGCCACATGATTTCATACAGACCCGTATTTGAATTTAGTTTCGGTTCGCTTCTGGCATTTGTTTTGTTTATATACAAAATTCTTAGCCGCTTTCGTAGGGAAAATATTTAAATGGCTGCCGCTTTTAAGTTTACGTTTATTACAAATATTCGACACACGCTTTTATTGTTGGCGCCAGCCATATGCCTACCTAAGGTTTATAATGTAAATACAACAAATACATATTTTCGTACATATTTAAGTCTATAGTAGAATTTACAATTTGCTGCTTCTCACAGTGACTAATGGATTTTAAACGCCAGCTACGAGAGGTAGCTGAGTGACGTAAACATATTTAACGTCTCGAAGTCTCATCTAAATACTCGCATTTAAATAATATGGAAACATGACGTTTTTAAAACTGGAACTGAATTATTTATAATCCATCTGTTTGGCAATTTGAGGTGGACTTTGAATCCAGCAGCCCGCTCACCTTACAATCGTATACTGTAAATAAAGGAAAAATGTTTCGTAAATTCGACACCCAAGGAAGTAAAAATAGATAGAAGATTAAAGTGTGTGTTTTTTTATACTCGTATAGTTAATTTATAATTTAAAAAATAAAATAATTATATTAAGTTAAAAAAAAATTTGCACAATTATACATTCTTTGGAAATGAAGGAATTTGCCGAATTTGGTTAAAGAGCTATGTAAAATCAATAATAGCTTGGGAAAGGGAGGAAGCAGGAACTTTTCAAGTATAGAGTATATTAACAAAATGCAATAAAATTCCCAAAATTTTTTTTAATAAGTATCCGACATGTTGGGGGAACTCTTCGGCTAGCTATATTAGCTATAAAACAAATAATAAACAACTTTCAAAAGTAAATACCTACGATTAAAGGTTGATGGAGGAACAACACTTGATATTAATTAATTCTTATTAAATTTAGGTAAGACTGGTGATTTATAAAAAAAATATATTTATCTATGTTGAATTGCAGTCAGTAAAATGTTTGTAAACATAAAAAAATAAGAACAAATCAATAATTATATTGGTAGGTTGGAACTTACCAAGAGGTCTAATAGGAATGGTGATTGGTTTTACGCAGCGTTTTGGAACAATCTCGTGGTATCAATAAAAAGGCCTATATATAAAGGAAACTTCTAGAGCGATTTGTGTTCAGACTCGTTGCTTTTTTTTTTTTTTGTCTACAAGTGCGATTTCCAGTAGTCATTGTCGTGAAAATTGGTTGATTATTCTAAAGTACTAGTATATAATAAAAATGACGACAAAATTGTCAACTATTTATTCGCTTGAGCACATTAAGTTAGTACTTATTATTCGAATCATTTTTTCCATCGACATTGTAGTTCTCATCATTGCAGTGCATTGACTTTTTGTTATTGAAGTTATTCGCACATTAAAAACAAATACGCGAAACAAAGCTCAAAACTAAATTCATAAATTAATACTAATAGCACTAGTCAATGCGGTTGTTCATTCATATATGTATGTACGAGTATGCAAGCTCGTCTGCCCGTCCATCCATATCCATATAGTTGGTGTATACACTTATCTGTACAGATACTAAGTTTATGGCAAATATAAAAGCCCCATTGAATGACTATATGTAGTTGCCATAAAATCCATCTGGTGGCGCAAGCAACTATTACTTGTAGAATTAGTAAACAAAATCTAGATGGCTGCCATGCGAACAAATTGTTCTCAGTGTTACCCACAAAAATTCAGATGAATGATTAGATATGACGATTCAACATATTCAAAATTTATTTCTTATCAGGGATGCTCTTTGGCACTAAAATGTTTCTTTCAACATATACAAAGATATCGCACTACGTTGTACGAAAATTGTTTTAATAAACCACTGCCACAGTCGTTTTCCTGATTTCAAAATTTATAACGTAATTTTTGATTGACCTGTAAGTTTTATTGTTAAATATGTTTCTATATTTTTTATTTAAAAATATAGAAATGAAAAAAAAAACAATTTCGAAAACATAGCATTTTAACTAAAAAACAAACTAAAATTTTTCTGTTAATTATTTTAATTTTTTTTAGCTATTTTTAATCATTCATTTCTGAATGATTAAACTTCCTCATTTGTCTTATTTTTATCTTTTTTTTTTAATGTTTTGGCATTATTTTTTAGCTCTTAATGTAATTGTTCTTTTGTTCGAAGTAAATTCTGTTCTTTCCAAAGTATAGTAGTTTGAATGTTCGATAAAGATAAAATAAAACTGAAATATTTGCCTTTTAAAATATTTTCCAAAACGGGCCCATTACAAATATCATGTGGTCTTATTTCCTAAATTATTTCTTTTTTTAGCTATTTTTAACGAAGCCATTCAGAAGTGATTAAACTTCCTCTTTTGTCTTATTTTTATCTTTTTTCTTTAAATGTTTTGGTATTATCCACGTATCGATTTTTGTTATCGAAAATGCTGCCAATAACGAATTGTTATCGGTTTGATTTTTTTGCTTTTTATTTAATTGCATTCGATTATTAATGACTGTGTCGCAGAATTGAGAAATGTCACATACTTTGCGGCTGTCGCTGTGCGGTATCAGCAGCTAGAGGTGGATATCGCAACTAGCACTGAATGGTATGCTTTGCCATTTTGCTTTCGGGTAGGCAGATGATACATATTTCTGGAGCATCTCCGTTGGCACTGAGAGGCCGTTATCAGCGTTTTCTAACTGAACTTCCACATTTGGTCACATTTGGAAGCGATTGCCTTCGCCCCATCTGAATTTTTATCAACACGTGATGGGTTTTTTGAATAACATTTGCCTCAATGTATGTATGGGTGTGTATGGGTGTGTGTCTTCATAGAATTTGTATTTTATTTATTTATTTTCAAATGCTAGGTTCAAAAACAATTCACGTTCACACAGAGATAAGAAGTGGGGTAGAATGAAATCATCATCATTTATAGCGTCAAAGTCGAAATTCATAGCAACAAAAGCGTGTTTTTTCTATTGTTGTTGTTGTTGTTGGTGTTTTGTTTTATTTTATTGTATGTATAAAAATGTACTTTATTTTAAATTAATATTACAAAATAGTTTATGCATTACGATTGGGGAGCGTTTAGTATAGTATTCTACTAGAGCACAACTTAAACATATCACACACAAATACCACGCAAGAATTTCTATAACTGAAGCGGCCTCTACAACAAAATCTCGAATGTCGTGTTACCAAATAAATCTTCATCTCAACATATTCTTGATTAAGTTTCTACCGTTCTACGTGCTTCCATTTCATCCGGTCTAGCATCTAAGGACACTCTTTGTCGCTTATCTTTTGAAAGTCTGTGTTAAAGCAAATTGAAGAGGAATTATTAACTGAAAATATATCGACTTATAGATCGTTTAACGCCCACTCACTTGCATTCTGTAGACAGTTCTCCGTCTTCATAACACAAACATTCAGGTATGTCTTTGTGGTACCCTTGTCGTCTGCTGCACAGATCTTCTTGTACTCCTGCGTATCACACTCCATGGTACACTTCACATTCGGATCGGGCAGATTGAGGCCCTGCACCAGCGTCAAAGCATACAGCGTTACTGTAAATAGTTAAAAAAGATCGTCACATCAAAATAAATTAGACTGCAATCTCATCATTAATCACTCTCCAATAACGTGCCCGGCACACGAATAAGGCAAATGATATCAGCGCCACAAATCCACCACTACCACCAATAAATGTGCCATAGCCACCTATCTTGACACTCATCGTATTCGCTCATCGTATACGCCCATCGTTTGGCGACGCCAGAGCGTCTGGCATTTTATTTGCCAGCACGCGGTGGCGGTGGCGCTGGTGGTGATGATGGTGGTGGTGGTGGCGTTAGCTGTCGTTCTGGATATGGTGGGTGTGGGTGTGCCAGCCAATGGTAATTACTCGTACCACAGTGCTAGCCCACCTAGCCATTATTATTCACACCGTCTGCCTAATTAGTCATGCAAGCACGCAACGTTGGCATCGTTCATTTATATGGCCATAAAAAACATTTCAATTTATTACCGAATTTTCTCTAAATTTCCAAGGAAACGATTAAATTATAATGCTGTAGAAATTAGCAGGAATTTTTTGGCTTAGAGTAAATTTTCCATGAACTGGATAGTGAGTATATCAAGTGGAGTATTTAAGGAAAGCTTTACTGAACTAATTTGTTTTATTTACTTGTTGGCATAAACTACTCGGATAAACGTAAGTTCCTGAGTGTAACTCAAATTTTAAATATTCCAAGTACACCTTTAAATTTACTCTTACTATATTTTGCAGTAAAACATATTTTTTAATAACTTTTCTAAATTAAAATTCGTAAAAAAAAACCAGTCGTTTTCTAATCATTAATAATACCCTATTATATTTCATAATGTTATTCCTTCAATCGAATACCCAAAGAAAGTTGTAGATTATTATTAAAAGCACTAGATTTTGAACTATTAAAATTGAACGTGTTTAAACAATATGATTACCGAATTTTTAAAGTGTTTGTACTCAAGGTTGTTAAACAATTTGGTCTACAAGGAAGAAAATATTTGAAAAATCAATTGATATAAAGCAGAAAAATATAATCGAAAATCAATTAAATTGAAATAAATTAAAGCTTGTTTAAAATTTTTCTTTTCTAAAGAAGTTAAACATTTTAAATTAATTTTTTCAAAAATAAATTTTTAAAAATTTTGTAACTATCAGAACGTAACTTAAATGATAGAGTTAATCTTCAAGAAAATCATTTTCGAAGCACATTCGTTAAAAACAAAAATGAACAAAAACTCAATTTTGAAACTTTAAACTGAAAATTTATAAATAGTATTTTGAAAATTTTCGGAATTTAATAAATTATTTCAATTCGATGTAAACATATATTGCCATAATATTATTAATGAAAAAAAATTATACTTTTAAGAATATTACTTTAAATTTAAAAATGCATATTTATTGTAAACGAAAATTTCAGTTTTTCATAAATTCATTCAATTCAAAATGTTCTATGCGAAAAAAAAAAAAATGAAAAGGGCTTTGATTATAAACTTAAAAGAAATATATTTTTAATTTTAAAGTTGATAAATATCAAATTGAAAATGGTCTGGTTTCCACAAATTTTTCCAAACCGGGCCAAGGTATTCTTAAGTAAAGAACAAACACATCAAGTGATGATTTTATTAAGAATTTAACTGGAGAAATGTTCACTTCTTTTAAAAATACACTAATTTATTGTAACTACTAGTACTGCTTTCCAATTAAACATTTATTTTGTGCACTCTACGTACATGCCAGCAATACTGCAAACAGCTTCATTTTGTTTTCTTGTAGCTTGGGATTTTCTCCAAATATTTTCCAATAATTCCAAGATATCGCTTTCACAATGAAACACCGGAAATGTTTCGAACACAACTGCAGCACAAAGTTAACTCAGTTGAACTGCAGGGGTCAGACAAATTAATCAACGTAGATTTTGAATTGGATTTTTTTTTTTTATAAATTTTAGAACAAATTTAGTTGCTTTTTTTTTGATTTGTTTATTTGTATTGTTTTAGTCAGCGCGAATGTCGGGCACGTGTGTGCGCAAATTGTTTGAAGAGATTGTTTGAAAAATTGTCACACTCGAAATATTTGCGATTGAATTTTTTCGCGCACGAATTTCTCTTGCACGCGTCCAAATGCGAACTGAAACTAAAGCGTCGCACAAAGATATCCTCTAGCCGGCGAGCGGAGAGCGAGTGCCAGTTAGTTATTGACTGACTGATGAAATGAGGCTGGACGATGCTGATGACTGGACTGGACTGGACTGACTGGGCTGCTGCTGCTGCTGCTGTTAGATATGGAACCAGAGAGCCGTACGATTTTTGTTGTTGTTTCGAGTTTGGGTTCAATAATCAATCAAACTGATTGACTGATTGGTTGACTGGTTGGCTGGCTGACTGGCTGGCTAGCTGGCTGGATGGATGGCTGTCGTCTGCTGTCGTAGCACACACGAATGATGTGCGACCACACAGTGCCTGTTAGTTTTATAGAATTTTTTCACGCTAAAAAGATTTACGCTCGTGTCGTCGTCTTCAGTTTTCTTGTTGTTGTTATTGTTGTTGCTTTTGCTGTTGCTGTTGCGGCTGCTGCTATTGTTGTTGGTGTTTTTGTTTTATACATTTTGCCTTTTGTTAGCTTGGCTGGAACATCGACCGAACCATCGATCGATCGATCGATCGATACACGCTCTGAGCTCTGTATATATTTTGTAGGCGTGCCACGTCACGTTCTCGGACCTATGCACACATCTGTAATTGTATTTGGATATGTATTTATGTGTGCATGTACATACATATGTACATATGTGGTCGTGAATTGGTGAATTCTGTATTTGAAACATTTATGCAGTCACACAGAACATTATTGCTAAAATTCTCGCATCTCTCTTCTTTTTTTTTATTTATATATTTATTTATTTATTTTTTTGCTACGCGACTGCTGACTGCTGATGTTAATTGATTCACGTTCCGTTCAATACTGTTACTGATGCCCAGATTCCTCATGAACTTTGTTGGCCGCCACCGCCGCCGCCGCACGCTTATCACCCAATTGAGAATTTTGTTGTACAAGTATGCGAGAAAAATGTGTGTCTCGAATTGTTTTATTTTTATTTTGCGGCCGCCACGAGTTCACTCCACCCAACCACCTCAGTGTATTGCCGTCTACGAATTTTCTTTGATGATAAAATATTTGAATATTAATTCCATACATACATACACGCTCATAATACATAGCATACTTTCATACATATACATACACATACATGCATATGTATGTATGTACATATGTACATAGCGATGTATGAATGTTTAATTTATGAGCGCGCGACGCTTTTGATTTGCTTCTACACTGCTTTTCCTCACATTTTTGTGCGCTCGTCGTTTATCAGTTTCGATTGAACATGCATATAAAAAAGTGCTAGTATATGTACATATACTATATATTGCATATGTACTTATAATGTATGTATGTATTCGCAAATATTGTGTCATAATTCATTCACACTTTTTTTAATAATTGTTCTCTGTACCTACTTGTATATAGAGGGTATTTAATAGTGCATGGAAGGATAATGTCTAAGTGAATGAAACCTAGTATACAGGTATTATTTATTTATGAAAATATGCATATTTTAAGCTGTTTATTTTGACTTTAATATTCTTGTCTAGTAGTCTGCTTCTCCAAAGGCACCTTTTCCCATACATTACTCTTTCATATGTCCAAATTAATATTATAAAATTAATATTATAATTAATTAATTAATTATATTAATAGCATATACTTTTATTTATTTTCCGTTATTCTTATTATGCTATGAAATCCGTGGTATGGATTTACATAGTACATATAATTATTATAATTTGTTTTAATAATAATATAAATATTTCTTTTAAATATTAAATCTTTTATATTGAATAATTTATTATTATTGCTTTTATTGTTGTTATTATTTGATATATTCTCATTTTCTATCACAATTATTATTTTCGCAATTTTTGTTTACAATCATCTGTTCATATTGTTCCTTCTACAAAGAGCATTTCCTAGTCTGGTCCGTTTTATGATTTTGTTTTTATTAAATTTGTATTATATACATATATATATATATATATATATATATATATATATATATATATATATATATATATATATATATATATATATATATATATATATATATATATATATATATATATATATATATATATATATATATATATATGTATGTATGCATTTATATTTTGCGGTTTAGTGACTAAGCGCACCGTTTTATTTTCCATTTGAGGTTTGCTGCACATTTAAAATTAATATAATTTCATTGGGGTTTTACCTATTGGGGACAGCATGTTAATTAAATGTTATAAAGTAAACAATTCCTGCACAATTAATAAATAACAAAAACAGCATTTAAATTGGCAAAATGTCTCCTCAACACAAAAGCAAACAAATTACGAGCACCACTACTGATATGGGAGTTCAAGATCAAAGATGCCGAAACTGGGTCATATAAAAGATTGAGCTTCGAGAGATTGCTAATTAAATGGAGTTACCTGTCATGGTTCAGCAGCTAAGGCCGATCTCTGTATTGAATAATAAATTACGATTCTGCTTTTGTTTTTACTGCTGGTGTGCCTAAGGCAAAGCTACATAAATGTGCTATTTATTTTGAAAAATCATTGCAACAATAGGAATAAATTAAGTAAAGATTGTGCTAGAATTTAATTCGAGAAAAATGAATTGGAAAAATGTCGATATAGGTATATTCCAGCTAAGTTTGTAGCAATAATGCCACGCCGGCCAACGTCCATTTGCCGGGCTTATCTTTGGTCTTCAAATTAAATGTCCAAACATAGGTTGGTCCACGTGTGCGTGTCTTATAGACGGGGCACTCGTACATATTACGCAAATCCTGCTTATCTTGGGTAATGGCCTGCAAAATAGAAATAGAAATAGAAATAGAAATAGGAATAGCTTAGATTTATGCAAACATGCGCCGCTTCATAGACGCCACAGATCCGTTCCAAATTCAAACAATTTTGCATACAGATTTGAATACGTTTGCATTCGCAACTCACCCGAATATTGATGACTGGCATTGATGGATAGAGCTCTTTAAGACGCGACTCCATTATAATACCCTGCTGTATGTCCCATCTGGCGCCTTCCATAAATATGCCATGAACGTAGGCGCCCTCGCGCGGTGCCGTTCTGTAATTATTTTTGTTAGTCTCTATCATTATTTAATTGTTTCCAACTAACAATTAGAGGGGCGGCGACGACGCTCTATTGTTTGCTTTAAAGTGACGCCAAACGAAACGTGCAGCTTTTTGTCGGCCCGCGGTTAGGCGCCACTTAATAAGCAATCGGCAGTCGTCAATCAGCAAATAACAAATATGCAATTGATAATTACATGCTATTATTAGCAGCTACTTATACTTTATGTGGTGTTTTAAATTTAGCTCTTATGAAATAGCTTTGTTGCTATTTTTAAAGTCAGACGAAGCCGTTGCCCATAACACGAACCCGACAGTGCGTTGTTATCGACATATGTATGTTATAGTATGTACATATTTATATATGTACATACATCTGATTATGTGAACATCATCGGTACATAAAATTACATCATTCTTTTCACAAATGTCAAAACGCTTAACGAAATCGGGTGCATGAATTTTTTGTTACATGTACTTATATGTAATCCCTTTAAAGAGAGTATTTGTTACGATTTAATAAAAATCTTCACACCCACTAGAAACAAACAATATCAGCAATACCACCTCTAAGGTGTAAGATATAAGAAATGCCTTCAGAAGCTACTGTCATGGGCAAGAGCGAAGGGCAATAATGCTGATGGCAATAATGCAAATAACTGAATCGTTGATCCCATCACCAGCGCTGGAAAGTCCTTTGTGGATAAGTGTGGATATCTTATCTGTACTTAGTTGCTGCTAAAGTTTACTGATAATTCTACTTAAAAAGCCATAAAGATAGCCTGATCATTGTTTTTATTTAACATGCCATTGTACTTTAGTTCAATAGGTTGAAGAAGATTTTCATAAAATTTGTTCAATATTTAAAAAAAAAAAAAAAATAAACATCACATTATAAAGAGTAAGGAACTCTTACTAATTGTCTTTGGACTAACAGTTTTCCAATGATCTGTTAGAAAGAGTTCGTGGGAAGGGCACTAAAGAAAACAGTGCAGGTGGAAAGAAGTCAATTCCACTATTCAACAAAAGTCCTAAAGATAATACCCATATTGGGCATCAGTCCCTTAAAGAATTGTATTGTAAAGTGCGAACAGAATTCAAGAAGAGCCACCCATGCTAGTGACGCATAAATCAAATGACTTGTACATACACACTCATATGCAGATATTTCTGGTGGCGGGGTCAGCGTTAGGGTCAATTAAATTTGCGACTCAATAACAAATAAACATTATACTCGCATATACTCGTATGCATGCCATTGTGGAACTTACGTAAAGTCCTCCTTCTGCTTCTTAGTGACATCGCATTGCAAACACATCTTGTCCAGCGGCAATTCGTTGCGACGCGCCGTACTCTGCATAATGGCCGTTAGCAGTGATTGGGGATTAAAGAATCCGGCTAACCAGACGCAAGACGGAAGCTGCAGGAATGGCGAGGTATGAAAAAAAGAAATACTTAAACACCACCTTTAACTTACCACAAAATCCGTTGACCAAGTCTCCAACTCCCGCAAACGCAAACATAAGTCAATGAACCAATTGTTTAGACCTAAGAGGGATGGATAGGCGCGCGATGTCCAAATCGGCGGCACTTGATCCAAAAATAAAGAGTTTTCCAGCACTTCCATATCCGAAGTTATGGTTAATTCGCCCTTAAGGCCGAGGTCTAGCTCCTTCAAGCTACGCTTCATTTCGCTTGTTAGGTAATTCATGCGCTCGCATTCCTGAAAAGCCACAATTACATATGGCGTGCGCTCCTCCACTTTGTTCATTATCTCCACCATGTTAAATTCCTCGGGCAACTTTTCCAGTATTTCATCCACGATTTGTTTGACCTTGTCCTCACGCGTCACAGTGGCGCCGCCTCCAGCGCCAGCCTCCCGAGGTTGCATTTCGAAGACGGTGCGGAAAATGTTCTCGGCACGTGTGGTCAAAAAACCTATCTCGGCATTCGGGTGTAAGCCATAGAGATAAGGCGACTCGGCGGGCATCATTTCGTCGACATATGTGTGATAGCCGAGATAATCGGTATTTGGTGGGGCGGGAAATGATGGCGCCAGAAAAAGTTCACCGTCCACCAAATCAGGTTGCATATACTCCTCTAGATAGGTGATGCATAAGCGTCGATCCCAATCGTCAGTTATATGTCCACCGTACATAATTTCTCCAAACAGATAGCGCAGGTCCTCCCACGGCACCTTTGCGTTGGCCTCCAGATAGTTGTAGAGAACCGATACGCTTATGTTCAAGTCACCCACATTAAACGGATATATCTTATTCCAACCTTGTGGACCAAATTTACGGCGCTCAGCCACCACAGCATGGAAGTAGCAAAGCGAAAAAAGTATTGCCTTGAATTCGGCCTCCTTGCCGGACATTTCCAGTGTTTCTTGTGTAAAATTATCGAGGGCCTTGTGCAGATTCGCCAGCATGCCCGTGGGGGGTTCATTTGTGATCTTAATCGATGACTCCAAAATTCCCTGCACGCAAAACAGCAAATAATATATGAATTAGAATTAGAATTAAAGCTTACCTGTGGTATAATATGCGCCGAGGGCGTAGATGCGGGCTCTGCACTCAGAAACATGCGATAATCTTTATGTGAGCCCTCAGCATAATATTCCAGCTTCTTCTCCAGGGCAGGCAGCCATTTGCGTACCAGATGTATGTTCTGTAGTATGACCCAGTGTCCATTCTTTGCTGCTATATCCATGGCCGCTTCAGCAATTGCCTCCTGACCCTGACCCAGTGATACATTGTGAAAATTGCCCAGATCCATGGAAAAGCCCAGCTGTTTTCCCAACGCTTCCACATCCTTCAGAGGATTGACGCCAGGCGATAATATGAAGAAGATGGGTGTTGAAGGACTAGCCTCTTCGAAAGATTTTGCAAATTCCATTGCTCGACTTTCCACATATTTGGAGCCCAGTTTCTCCTCAATAAAATCCCTGTAATAGAAATAAAGTAATTACGAGTTTTTGCATTTTGGAATCCACATACCCTAGAGCATAAGTCATGCGATCAGGTCGCAAAGCTCTAATCATGCAAAGACGTTGCAGAGCCGTTTTATTCTTCCACTCCTGTGGGAACTTCTCCTTCTCCGGCAGTTCCGATTCCACCAGTTTCTTCCAACGCTTCGATGAGGTCTCTATGTCACGGTCCAAATTCCTAAACTCATCCTTGGACGCTAGACTGCATATTCCGCCCCACGATTGGTTTGACAAAAAGTCAACAGGACTTGTCACATGCGGTTTGATCGGGAAGCGGAGTAGGAAGTCCAGTTCCACAGATGTTACTTCCTCGTTCATAAGCAGTATCTGCGAAAATATTCACAAAACATCTCAAGTTGAAGCTATCGCTATAAATGCTTTCAGAATAGACCTACCTGAAAAGTCATTTGAGATGCGAATATCAGTTTGTCGCATTCAAAAAGACCACGCGAAGTATACTGAAAGACCGAGTACGTTATGCAATCGATCAGATTGGAGACACGCAAATCCAAGGATTCGCCTGGTTCAGCCTTAGCTATGGCCTTTTGGAAAACTACACTAAAAGCCTAAAAAGGAACATTCATTAGTATTAAAGCATTTTCTATGCCTTGTGCCTTACCTTCAGGGAAAACTGATAGATCGGATTTATAGTGTTTAGTTCATTTAAGATGAAGTAAAGCAAGCTGGCTCTGGTCGCCGCTGGTCTGTAGTATTCACGCGCCTTGTCAATCTCCTTCGATGTGATCTTGGCCTCAGCCACTTTCTCCTCAATCTCCGATGCTGTACTCTTTGTGGTCTCTAGATTTTCCACCAAAGCGGTGTCACCTAAAATATTCTCACCAGCAGACGATAAGCGCGACAGCAAATCGTCCTCCAGTTTCTTTAGCATGATTTTGAAGTCATTCTGTTGTTTGGTTAATTCGGCCTTGAGATCCTCCAGATCGGGACGTTCGGCCTTCACAACTTCCGCCAGCAATTGATCTTCTAACCCATCGCGGGTAACAGTGAAATTAATAAGTGTGGTTTGTGCTTGCATCTCGGGCTTATAATGTGGATTTGCTAGTTTCGTGTGCAGGATCAAACGGAAGTTGGAGTTATACTCGACCTCTTTGTCGCCGATTTTAATAGCTCTGTGAAAATAAACCGGGTTGAGTCTTACTGAAGTCATACTGCGCTCTGCCACTGTACGTACTTTCCCTTTTTGATGAGATTACGACCAAGCAATGAATCCAAAACAGGATCCAAGTTCTCATCTATGTTCTCAATCAAGACAGTGCTACCCGTGTTTATGGCCTTCTCTATGATGTCCAAATAGCTGCGCTGACCCAAACGGATAACCTTAAGTTCATCGCCATATTTCTGTTTAATCCATTTCACACCCTGCAGCTGGGGATCTATCATCAGTGGCCAGCGATCAGAGTTGGAAAGAATGGTTGCATTCTCAATGGACATGCGATCACTCGGCAGGCCCTCGTTTGTCCAAACGGCGATGGTTGTGTCATCTGTCAGCAGCGAGAGTGGATCGAGATTTTCGGTTGTGGGTATGGGAGGATCGATGCCCTTCAGGAAGGGTGTCCACATCTTTTGCAGCAAATCGATGCGAAATCCTTTCGTGAAACAGCCAACATAGGAAATGAAGGCGGTAATCAGTAGAATGTCGCCGGGAAGCGTAATGCCCTGCTTGACAAAGCTATTGGAAAATAGAGATAGTATTCTTCTATGGAAGAGCTGTCTAGCTTTCTTACTTATTGACAGCCTCTGCCCAGCGCACATTCTCGCTGGCTAGACCACCTACAAGACGATTAGCCAATGCTATGGTTGCTTGCGTGGCATCAGCTTCCTGCTGGCAACGCAATTTGTCCGCCGTGGCCTTCTCAAAATCGGCTGTTAGCTTAGCTAGTTGTTCCTCCAGACTCTGCAAGAGATATGAGCAGAATCAGAAAAGTATCTCAGAGAGAGAGAGAGAGAGAGAGATAGAGAGTATCTGCAACCTACCGCCACTTTGCGTTTAATGCCCGCAAGCTTATCCTGAGCAGCAGCCAACTCTGCATTGGCGGCTGCTAACGCCTTACGTTTGGGCTCCACGTCGCAATAGACTTCATAAAACTTGATAATGTTGATAACCCAAGCACACAAACCGGCCGCTGCACCTGACTTGGAGCGCACGAATTCGGGCTCAAATTCTGGATCCTTTAGATATGGTTGTATAGCCTTAATGATTTCAGGATGTATGTTTTCTTTGTCATAATTGATCAATGCGTCTAGAAAGGCGTCGACTTTTGCCATCGAAATTTTTGCAGCTTTCCAGGAGCGGTCCTTGGGCAGTTTTCCACCTGGAGCCAGCAATACCATAACGGCGGCTGTTACGTTTGTGACCGCACCCGGGGGCGAACCAAAACTCTTTAATTCCGTTAGATTCGCTTTGTTCAACGTGTTCAAGGCTTCCTGGGCTGCGAGAAGCGCCGGTTCGGCCTTTAATAGATCCTCTTCACAATCACGTTGTTTCTTGCTGACTTCGTCCGCTATCAAAGCAACCTTCATTTCCTCCTCATCCGCCACCGCTTTCTCCGTCTGCACTTTCTCCGTTTCAATACCCACAATTTCAATTAAAGCATCGGCCGCCTCGTTCTTCTCTTTAAGCTCGACCTCCTGAACGGCTAGCTTAACTTTTAAATCGGCCACCTGGACGGCCGTGGAACGAAGCTTCTCCAATCCATTTTCCAGACGCTCGATTTTGCTCTGCAAATCCTGGTTTTTGTGATTCAGTAGCTTTAAATAGAGATTTATTTGCTCGAGATAGCTCTTGGGAGTTGTGTAGTTGTAACGGCGCTCGTTCTGCAAATAAACTTTGGATGTGGAATTTACAGCTGTGTGGACATATGCCATGAATTTAGCAACAGAGTCCCGATGATTGTCAGGCAGTACTTTGTTCTGTGCCAAAAAGTTCATGGCAACCGATATGAGTGCCTCTTGAGGCCATTCGTGGAACCAATTGATGGACGTTGCATTGATGATGGCAGGGAATTTTCTCGACCGAACACGCAATGTTGAGCCCACTGGTGAAAAACACAGAACTATCTTCAGTTGCTTGCGTACACGATCGATGAAGAATTTCCAGCAGTTTTCTCGCGTATCAACCAGCCCCGCACCTTTGACCTCATTACGCACGCCAGCGATTATGTTCTCGATTTCGTCGTCCGGAAATAGATCTGGAATCTCGCCAGTGGCTAACATATCGTTGATTAAGACAAGAAAATCCTCACTGGGAATTTGCGCATCCGTCATTAGGAACATGATGCTGACGTTTTTAAGTCCCGCTTTCAGATACAAACCGGAAAACTCAATCTGTGTGAAAGGAAATATGTAATATTATACGCATATATAGTATAGTGCTTTACCTTCAAGTCGTTGACACCATAGCCCTTCTTAAGCTGTATCTGCACGACCTCCAAGCTGGATATGAATGCTGCCAAGCGCGCTAGAGATTGTTTACCACTGCCACCAACACCAACCAATAAAGCGCTGCCACGCGGTGATTCTAATATGCGATTGATTCTGCGAATTAATGAGGATTATTTCAATCATAATCGGGCGATTAGGAGTTGAGGGCTTAGCTCACCTGCACACATGCATCATCGCATCTTCGAATAACACCAGATTCATGGCAGCGACCAGATCATTATACGATGACATTGCTTCCTGAAGGAGTTTGTGAAGCTCAGGCCAGCCCTTGATGGGCATGTACTTAGGATCACCAATTCCTCCAGCGAAATGACAATAGATATTCGGTTTGTCGAATATTACGGATTCGTCAATTTCCTCGAACGATTTCTTAACAATGTCATGCTGCATTTTAGTAAAGCTATCAATATCCTTATCATCGGTTAGCTTATCGGCGTAGACACGCTGTGTCTCATGTTGCCACAAACGTATAAGATCTGTAGAGCCCGTTAGGCATTCTGTTGAACTGAAGAGTAAACCCTGAAATTAGACATATAAATATTGTTTTAATAAATAAGAAATCGTTGAGCTTAATACTAAGTATATTGAATTTATTAGTTAGACGTCAAAAACAAAAAAAAAAAACAAGAGAGAACGGTTTAGTCGAGCAAGCCCGACAGTGTAATATCCTCGCGTTCATCCAGACGGACGGACAGACGGACGGACATGTCTAGATCGATTTCTCTCGTCATGCTGATTCAGAATATATATACTTTATTGGGTCGGAGATGCTTCCTTCTGCATGTTACATACTTTGCACAAACCTAATATACCCTTTTTACCCTATGGGTACAGGGTATAAAAAGAACGGGCATATCCATACAAAAAGAATTCTGGGAGAATGTTCTTTGTCCTTCCTATGGGGTACGTGTAGCTCCCACAAAAGCTTTGATTTAAAATCCCAAAAGATTTTATCTACCGTTTCGTTCTTTTGGGGTCTGATCCGCAATCATAAGTATGTGGAACTTTTGATTACTATTTAGAAAATACTAGAATATTTTGAAGAATATACCCTCCTATTCTATATAAGAATTTATCTGCCTTCTTCTGTCTGTTTCTCAATTCGGTAACAGTCGAATTTGTTGACAATTTTTTTTTTGACAATGGATACATACTCACTTGAAATACATTGCTGATGTCGCGCAAATTGAATATATAGTGTGACTTTATGGCCGTGGGCAGGAATATCTGGAGGCATTTGTTGTGCAACGCTATGGTTGCGGCCACAATATTTGGCGTCATGCGTGTTACGATCGGAATGAATTTCTGCTCGGCATTCGCAAAATGTTGAGACAAGATGGCCGAGTACATGACGGTTATCGAATCGGGTCCCGGAAAACTGACAGCTAATACGCAGAAGTGGCGTTGGAGTCGCGGATTGATGGTAAAGCTGCCCGAAGTTGGGTTCATGCACGCCACATACTGACAATTGTGTATATCCTTGAGAGTTAGTTTGTTCCTATCGTACCAATGGCCATAATCAAGATGCTGGCGCATTAGAGTGTGGGGTTGTACGGTGCCGTAGCAGTCTACCTCCGACATATTGATGTCGTCGATGAAGTATATCAAGGTTTTATTGCCGGGCGGTCCAAAGTTGCGTCCCGCTTTCTTCTCCAGCGGCTTCTCCAATATCTTTTGCAACATTTCGGACGTTGTGTAGTAATTGAATGGTATTGTGGTGACAGCGAAATTCTCAGAAAGCGATTGAAGCTTCTCGTTGACCAAAACACTTTTGCCGCAACCGGCATTGCCGACTAGCATCACCGGGTGCTTCTTATCCATAAGTAAGTCCAAAAAGAAACGCAAGCGAATGGACTCGGAGGTGTGCACGAGTACAGCTTGCAATGGCAGATCAGAGTCCAGCTCGAATTTGGGTGTCTTCTCGATCCAGGGCAGAAATGTCTTAGTCTCGCTATCCAAAAAATAATCGAAAACAGTGCCACCTTTTTGCGTTGCAAGTGCAAGGTGTTTAAGCTCTGGGATAGACATGGACAGAGGCGCCTTGGCGCAACTACTCACCTGCTGGGAACTTAACTGTTTTGAACTCATTTACCCACCATTTGCTGAACTCCACACGATAATCAATGGCTTGATCCTGGAACATAGCCGATCCGAAGGCCCAAATGCAGGCAAACACGAAGTAGAGCTCATGCCATTCCTTTGGACAATCGGCCGGTGTGTTCGCTGGTATTAGAAAACAGTCCAATAGATGGCACAACATTTGTATGTGGGCCATTTCGGCGATAGGCGTGATCTTTTTAAAACGCACGCGTATCGTCTCCAATGATGATGGTATGTACTTATCGAATAACATGACCAAATTGGACTTTTCGGCTGGAATTTTGCGCGTCTCAACCCAACTGGTTACATAGCTACATAAAATATATCAAATCGAATGTTTCTCAACCAAAAATAACTTGTAGTAACTGCATACTTACGGATTCCAACCCAAGTCCTGCGGATTGATATACAATATGCCGGCTCTGGATACAGTTGCCGGTGTTGCTGTTCTCAGATTGGAGATTTCGAAAAGCAAGCGCATTGAAGGCGTCAAAGCAATACGTTCATTGCTCGCCAAAGTCAAGACCTTATTATCATCCATGACGGTATTTAAGCTCTCGATCCACATGGGATCTGCGAATATATATGTACTTGTATATTAGTTTGTCACATCATGTAGTAAGCTTGTTTTTTTTTTTACCAATATCACCATCTAGGACTATCCATTTTGGTTGATCACCCGCGATATTTGCCTGATCCCGCATCAGTACCGAGAAGAGGCCGTCTTTCCATTCACGCGTAGCTGGGTTTATAATGCCGAAAAGTTCGTCATTGGTCACGGCTTTCGGGTTCAAGTCATTGAAAATGGGCTTGCGCTTGATGTTCTGATAGGTGCGCAGCAGCGTTTTCCACACTTGTGTCTTTCCAGTGCCAGCATTGCCAACGATGAACACAGAGTGACGTACCTCCAACAGTTCCTCCAGTTGCACCACTTTCAATATAAAATTATCTTCGGGTTGTAGTAGCAAATCGGAGGCAGCTTGTTTTACGGTGCGTTCAAAGTCCTGATCACGTTTGCGCGGCACATCCAAAGCGGGAAATAAATCGCTGATGAGCCCCATGAACACGGGCATATCATCGGTAACTATTTTTGGTATATTGAAATCGCGCAAGGCACGCATAAGGACCTCCTCCTCAGGACGGCCAGGATCACCACGCTGCATATAAAATGTATTATAAGTATGTAGCTCTTTCAATCTCTCTCTCTCTAGCCATGAAGTTACCTTCAGCGATCCAGCAACGACCAATACAGATTTAATTGCGCGCAATCCCCAATCATAGTGATCCTGTTTGGAAAGCAGCTCCTTGCAGAGTGTATAGAGTGTGATGAACTTACGCGCCAATATTCGTGCATCTTGAAAGCCCTCGGCGACCAACATAATCTCGCAGATCAGCTCAAAGTCTGGCACCACCATGGCGCACGGCCTAAAAAGTGCCTTCAAATTCTCCGGCAGCTCTGTGCGACCCGCGTAGCCGGGATTCATGGTTATAAATATGCCAACTGTGGGCACACAGGTTATAATCTCGCCCATAAAATTAAACTTGTCCTTTTTGTCACGTATCGCATCCTGCACAGACTTCACCTGCACTGCCACCACAGACAACACCTCGACAGTAATGCGGTTGAACTCATCGAAGCAGCCCCAGGCCCCTGTCTGGGCTAGACCCTTGTAAATATTACCACACGACTGATAGTCCATTTGCTCTGAGCAATTGAACACGTACACCATTATTCCAATGGCACGTCCTAAAACAGTGTTACATTCATTGGAGAAAGGTTTCAACTAAATTCACTTTCAAGCCCTCATTACCCAGATCCTTTGTAGTCTCTGTTTTCCCTGTTCCAGCTGGACCTGCAGGCGCACCGCCCAAAATTAAGTGTAGACTAATTCAAATATTCAAATATACATCTGAGTTACTGTACAATTGGGGTGTATGTTAATATGTATGTAAATACCTCTGTGTTAGTGTAATGTAGCAGCGATCTGTCAGAGGCGTGATGACCAGTCGTGGCGTATTGCCTAAGTATTCGTGACAATACTGGAACTCAGCGTCGCAAATATTGGCAAAGCAATCCTTCTCTACATCGTCGAAGCGATGCCTTAGCTGCGATTGCCACATAAAAGCCGAACCTGAATCCAATTTGGCCTGAATCATCTTAGCGACCACGTCTCGTGAGTGCACATCAATTGTGCAAATCGTCATTATTTTTTGACGATCACCCTTGGTCAGCTCGCCCAGCAGCAGTGTTATGAGTAAACTGAGTTGTGAGATCTGTTTCTTATAGTAGTCCTTGATGGCATTATCGTAACCTTCCTCTAAACGGCTGAAGGCAATGTTCACCTCTGTCGACCACCAGATTTGTGATCCACAGAGCGACACCTGTGCAGGATAATCGAATAACCACTGTTCGCGTTGCTTTTCCTCATAAGCGACCACAGCTTCTGTGACATAGTGTCGCAGGGTGGCTCGCATGGCCGCTTGTATACGATTCAGCCACACCTCAACCGGCCCGCGTATGCTGGCCAGCTCGTTGAACTCAACGTATTCGCCATCTTTGGCATACATGCCCGAAGCTGTCTCTATCTCATTGGCCGTATCGCGATTGAATTTTAAGCGTGCGATCGAATCGAATAATTTTGTTAGATGTTTGGTCACCATTTCCGGTTGGATGCCATTGCTTAGGACATCGAGAAGATCGGCCGATGATACAAAGTAGAAACGAGGAAAAGCCAAACGCTTCGTTTCCAAGTACTCTGCCAGTGCCTTTTCGCAAAGTGTAAGCTCCTTCTGCAAATGCTCCAAACGTTCGATTAGCCCAGATCGATTAGTCGAGGCCACAACATTCGATGAGACGCACATCTCATCCATGAGTATACGAAATTCGGCGTCGATATTATCGAAACGATCCGAGTCGACGGGCAGCTGTTTGCGTATGTCTTCCGAACTCATGAAGATACTCTCAAGATGGGTCCAAGTGCGTTGCACCTCGAACCAAACGGTTATCACTTGATCGGCGATCATTAATTTATTTTGCCAAGTTGAAACTTCTTCGAGAAAATGGGCGATGTACTTGGATGTTATTAAATTTTGTAGGCAAACCTGATTATCTTCGAGCGTCTCTATGAGTTCTTCCGATGCTTTAAGGAGATTACAGCCAGTGCGTGGATGGAGTTCATGATCGAATTCCATCGCAGACCATGTTGTGTTTAAATCACGCAATATTTTCTCCATAGACATTTCCTTAACAGCCTTATCAACAATGTTTTTCACCTCCTCCTCGCACTCGTGCAGGTTCAAGCCCAGAAGCTCTGCCAACGTTGTCTCATGATCCATTATAAATTTCACCTGTAAGAGAGATACCAAATCCGTCAAAGAATATACCGATATATGCATTAATCCACAATAGACTACACTTGATCGCTACGAATACTACTTGAGACATGCGCTCGCTACAAATATACAAACGACTTACGGTCACTTCCTTGGGCAAGGCGGCAAGGCTCTGCAATGAAATGGTATTTACAAGAACTGTACAGTTTTGCTGAGGCACAACAACATAGATAGGCCTCGTTGCAATAAATATTATACGAAAAAATAAAAGAGGAAATAATTAAAATGCTCTTTGCTATACAATTCTTCGAGCAGCCTAGCCTATCTCTAGAGCTCAAGTGCTGGGAGAATATAAAGAAATTTGTACACATTATTTACAGTATGCCAAATATTGCAATATGCAACTAGGGGAATTGAGAAAATAATTGGTTTGTAAGGCAACACAAAATAGACCTTTGTCGAGTTCATCAGCTGATTCCAGTGTCTCTCACGTATGGCAGGATTCTGTAGCTCTCCCACAGCGCGCAATGAGGTTAACATATTTTTCACCGTCGACTCGAGATTTATGAAAGTGTCCCAGGCACGCATTTCCTTATCCAACAAGCGTATATCCTTGGCAAACTTCTTGCACTCTATATCCATATTCTCCACATCGACTTTACGCCATGGCGTAGTCTTCCAATCTTCGATGCTGGTCTGCACAATATTAACATAATCCCAGAGTTGCTGTGGCAGATTGAGGTAATAAGAGAATAGGAAATATTTTAACAACTAATATAGATATTTCAAACAACTAATATCGATATGATTTATAAAGTTAATGTACTATATTATTAAGGGAATTAATAACTTCCATATGTAGCATGCAGTACGGAAATTTAGTCGATTAAAAGCCATGCAGATAGGAAACGCATAAAGTGGGCTTATTATCTGTCTCTTCATACCTTAAGCATGCGTAATTCCTTGCGACATTGCCTCAGCACTTTGAACTCTGGTATATTGACCTCGAAGAGACTGCCCGACTCTTGTATGTCGCGCATTTCGCTCTCGCACAGAAACATGTCATCGTTAATGCGATCCATAAGTTGGTATGGCTTATGACAATCAAAGCGAAAGAAGTCGTAATTCTTGAAGACCTCCCGGAAGAGCTGTATGTGGGCCTCAAATAACGCTATCTTGTTCCGTATGCTGACCACCTCAGTGGCTTGGAGTGGCGATACCTGTTGCTTAACCGTTGAAGCAATCTTCTTGGTGTTGGCCCATTGTTCGGGCAATTCTTGAAGCAACACATTCACCTCCTCAGGTATATCCATGTCATAGTATTTTAGCAGCTGTATGGTTTCCTGCATCGGCTCGAACATATCATCTGTCTTGATGGCCCGCTCCTTAACCTGCATAAGATAGGCCATTAGATTAACCAAGCCCTCGTAGTCGCCCTCCTTCACTGTTTGCAGCAAACCCTCGTCGGCCTTGTGTATGAAGTGACTTAAGTCCATTAGATTGGTTGTGACGGTTGTAACCAAATGCTCCTTGAACATATTTCCCCATTTGCACACTGTATTGAGCAGCGCTTGACGAAAGGGTCGCACATCCACTTGAAACCACGAGCTAAACACTTGAAATGGCGATATATCCTCAATCTCATTGAATAGCGACTCATAGTTATCGATCTGCTCTCGGAATGCCTCAATGGTTGGCAAACAGGGCTTCGGTGCATTCGGATCGTTCATCAAAACTAATTCGATTTCGTCGGGATCCAAAATATGACCATATTCCAAAAAGTATTCCATGCATTCCTCGCGATCATCCAGCCATAGGTACGAGTAGCGTTCAAACTGGCGACAAAAACGGGATGCCTCCTCCATTACCAAGTCCACACCGTTCAGAATTTCACGTCGCATATCAATTATGTCCTGGTTCTCTTTAATAATCTCAGCATAGCTGCGCTTCTCGTGAGTCAGACGCTTGATTAGCGAACCCATTTTCATAATATCGCGCATTAATTCAATCAGCATGTTGTTAAAGCCCATCGGGTCTTCCGGCTCAAGGGAGGGCACAAACACAAGATCGGGTTCGACTAGCTCCAGACGGGACTCAAAAAGTGGTGCATAATTGTTCTCCGGATCCATGTTCTCGGCTAAATACCCAACACTTACGCCCACAGTGCGCAGCAGGTTCTCGTAGACGATGTTATCGACAAAGTTCACATAGCTGAGCCAGACCTCATCCTGCTGTTTATCCTCCATGTCGAACTGCAGCATATTGTCGTGCAGTAGTTTGTGTATCTCAACGGAGGCCGCTTGTATCTCAGCATAACGCTTGGAGGTGCGATCAGGTCGCTCGTCAATAGACAACACCGAATCCTTTTTGCAGTCCCGACGCTCAAACAACGGCTGCTTGGCCCACACACTCATAATTTTGCGTATTTGCCGCAAATTTCCCTGCGTATGATCCATGCGATATTGGAGAGCAGCAACGGGCTTACGTAACTTTTCCAAATACGTCAAGATGTCTAAAGAATTAACTCAATTAATTGTAATGTATTGGAGAGTCAAATAACAGCTCTACCTTCTGAATTCCAGACTAAGTTATCCACACCGATCTCCACAAGGTCATCAATCATTTTTATTTCGGGTCCAATCAATTGCAACTCAACCGGCGAGCTAGCCTCCTGTATGCTGTTATACCAATCGATAGTCTTCTCCAAATTCAACGTATATCCACGAAAGACATCGCTCTTCTCAGCGAACTCTATAGCTATATCGGGTATGCCTTCGATTTTCATTTGCTGCATATAATGAACCTCACGCAGTATTGAGAATAGGGCAGCGCTAAAGTTTAAAATTAACGAGTTGCCTTGGGGACCGCGCGCAATAAGCGACTTCTTTAGATTCTCCTCGATTTGTTCGGCTAGCTGGGAGCTCCATTCCTCAAAACACTGTGTCTTACAGGCACCCAACTTTTCGATCAAGCGATCGTAGCGTTCCATTATCTCTAGAGCCTTCTCACACTTTGATATTCTGTAATGCATTTGTTCGTTCATCATGGAAAGTCTATATACATATAGTATTGATGTGTTCTACTCACTCATGCTGAAGCGCCTTGAAGTTCTTCACAGGCCCTGTAATACGAGTCTCCAGCTGATTGCACCAACGTATGAAGGCAGCCACAGGTGGACAGTTATAGTCCGGATAGAGATTCTCGCCAATCTTTCTCAGTTCCATTTGCTTCTCGTAGATGGCCTCACACATCGTCATCTCATCGTTCAGCATCTCAAGAATTTCGGCATAGCGTTGTGTGAATTCTTCTCTAATTTTGGGTCTATCTAAAACGCTACCCACAATGCTAATGAGCTGGTAAATACAAGAGAGACGAGTAGAGTGTTAGAGTCAAGCACAGGCGACTGTACCCTGACCTCCCTCTTCCATAGTTTAATAACTGAAATGAAGTGGATCGTTCCTGTGCCGGCTATAGAAAATAATGAAGCTATGTATGATTTGTAGTAAACTTGCTCTGCACATCGATAATACAAGTCCACACGACTAGTTTAAGGTCTCCAGCTATTACTACTCAAAAGCTCTCGATGTTCATACAGTCGAACAGAGGCACAGACGGACATGATTACAGTATGAGGTACACCACATGTGTTTGCTGACTTTGTAGCTCATATTTTCGCCCGTGGTGTCGGGTTTAAATTTAAACAGCAATTATCCCTCTACTCACCTTAAAAATGCTCTCCAAATTGTGGCAATCATCAAAGGCCTGGCACAATATGGCGGCCAACTTCATATCTAGTTCAAGTATACGGGTTTGAAAGCCCTTAAAGTCATCGTCAAAGTCATGATCGTCTGGGTCCAGCACATCGTAGCTTTTGGACGCAAAGGCTGTAAAATATTGATTGAACTCGACATAGACATCTGTAATGCGTGTGCTGAGCTGACGACCACGCAAGCCACCGATTTCGACTTTCTCTAATTTCAGGAATTCAATCACAGTAAAGAAGAACCTAAGCCATAAGATAAATGTTAGAAATAAAAGATCCTCATTTGGCTGTTTAGAATATTGTACCATTGTATGGTTGTTAAACGCTCTAGGAATGCATTAAAGCGCTTGAAAACTGAATTTGGATGAAAAGTCCAGAAAATCGGTGGCCGCTCCTCGGGCTCTGTAAAGAAATCGGCCAAACGTTCCTTATAATAATCGAAAAGCTCCCGAAAGAACTTCAGTATCTGTATGGAGAGAGTGAGGCGTTGCATGGCCTCATCGATGTCGCTGTGAAAAATTGACGAGGGATCCAAATAGCGTTTGGCCTGCAATTGTCAAAAAGAGCAGTGGCACGATTCAAAAGCAATACCCATAACGTGAACATGCAACCCACCTGATGGATAATCAGATTGCATATCTCTTGCAACAGAATCGTTATTTTCGATGACTGACAATAATAGCGCGAGTTTCCCCACAGAATACAGACGATATTCATGAAGGGGATGAGCAGTGGCTTGCTTTCCGCAAAATCTATTTCCTCCAGCTGTTGCAATGGACGTTTCAATGGATTTAAATAGAGTGTTATGTCCTTTGCTTCGGCGAGTGCTGGAAAAGTTCGTTCAATCAACAGTTATTGCAGTCAGTTGTCATGCAAATTAAATGGCATGTTCCCCTGTCATTAAATTGCTATTCACTCACCCGTAACGACGTTCTTGAAGAGCGTTTGAAAGCACGGATGGTAGGCACTTAGCGAGTATTCAAGTATTATTGCCATGGCACGGATACGTTCGTTGCGCAATTGGTCGTAGATAAAAGATAGGTTCTTAAGGCGATTATTCCAAAATGTAAATTCTGTAAAATAACAAATTTAATTATAAGCAGGCAACAGATAACAGTAAGTAACGAATGGCTTTAAGATACTACACAAAACTTAAAATAAAAATAAATAAAATTGAAATTCCAAAGAATACGAATTTTTACTCTTCTTCTTTACAACAAAGCCTTTTCGTGAGTAGAACTCTGAACTTGCTCCGAGAATGAATCTTTTTCGAACACTATTTGGCGCCCTGGCATCTCCAGTTTCAAGTCATGGTAAAAATTATATTCTACTTATGATAGCATTTTTTAATGTTTCTCCTAAATCTGCTGCTTCTTTCTTGCGTCTGCGAAAGGTTGTCAATTTCTACAGACTTTTCTTCGTCCGGTTGAGTTTTAATGTTAGTTTTGATCATTCGATCTCATCCTTAGTAGCTCGTCTGTTTATATAATGGTTTGGTGTTTTAAGAAATAACACTTTCAACCTGTCCGAGAAGTAAATGGTAAATGGCTCTGATTGTGGGAGTGATAGGATTCAGGTAATAACGTTCTCAATTAATAAACATATAGTCGGCTTCTTAATATTTTAAATATTACTCAATGCAGAAAGTAGTTTATAAAATAATTTGTATTTAACAATCGGAGTTGATAAATCTTTATCAACCAACTAAGCATGATAATGAATGTGGGTTTGATTAGAAATGTGAGTGGAAAAGGCTTTAGTTAGAATTGATTATTATATTTTTTGAATAAATAGGAAAATATATATAAATACGAGAAAATATAAATACTTGAACAACACAACTGATTGATTGATTCATTCATTCATTCGAAGGAGAAATTATTTTGATTTTTTTAAAGTCACAAAGCACTTTAAAATTGTGTATAAAACTCCTAAAAATTGAATTTTTACTCACAAACAAACCTAAGGTCGGGGTGGAAAAGGCGGAATTGATTATTATATTTTTTGAATAAATAGGAAAATCTATAGTTGTATAAATAGGAAAAAATATAAATACTTGAAAAAAGCGCGACTGACTGATTAATTGCATTATTGCCAAATATATAGTATGTACATTTATATCTGAATAACGTTGTCTTAAAAGATATAGAATAATATAGTTTCAATGTAGTAGACTGGAGTAATGGAACCTATCTAAATTGTTATCTGAAATAATTGGTGCAACTTTCTTCGATGTAGTAACATCGAAAAGGTAATATTTGTTTCATTTAACAGGTTTATTATTTTGCGTCATTGTATAAATTGGTAATACAAATTTGCTGAAGAACTCTTTCATATAAACATGTTACATAATTGCAGCATTCAGCACAAGTGACTTATATGCTCTGAAATTTCTTTAGCTTTCGATTGAGGCCCAAACGAGCCAAATCGATGGCATTTTAGGCAAACCTTGCTTTTGATTTTCAGCACACATGTCTCGGCCCCAAACCACTATCCATCCCACGCATGTCATGCCATATGTCCCGAAAGTGAGGCCATAATAAAAGCTAAATTAAACCCCTTTGGCAGAAACATTGCATGCAAGTGGCGCGTCTTTCGTGAGCAGATAATAATAATAAAGGCACACATAGATATGGAAATTTGTACAAATCCAAGCGAACGTTGCTAGGATATGGCAAACAAGCGTGCAACTCTTGAATTTTGTCAATAAATAATAAATAAAATGTTACCAAAAATAAACAACGTCTACGGCAATGCTCACCTGTGTGGGGCGTGGGATTCTGGCCATTGGCGAAGGCATTCGACGGACTCTCCTTGATGACCTCATGGATCTGTGTCGCCCACTTGATGACCACACCCTCGATGGCGCTCTTCAGATACAGATCGAACTGGCATTGTTCGGTTTCGACCAACTCCTTGGCGGCCTTGACAATTTTCTCGACGCCCACAGGCATGGCCAGAATAGTTTCACCGCTCACCTGACCCTTCACCTGGTGCACCGTACTCTTTAGGCTATGCACATGCTTCTGCACATCCTGCGCCACCATAGTGGGCCAGGCCCTGTAATTGTCCTCGTTGGAGAGCAGAGGCACAACCACCTCCTCCACCAGGGCGGACAGTTGGTCGATGGTGCGCGTTGCCAAGTCGCCGAAAATAATGAAATTCTCACAGAGCTCGCGTGGTATCGGCTTGGCGTACTTCTTTATGAAGTACACCCCCTTGCTCTTGAGCTGCGACAGCGGAAAGGTGGTGGAGGGCACCAATTGGGCAGCGGTTGTCAATATAATGATGAGCACTACCGGTGTATTTCGATCCAAGAACTCCTTAATAATGCCCTTGTGCTCCTCCACGGTGATGACACGCGTCCATTTCTCCGGCTTCAGTTTGAGGGACTTGATGACAAAGGAACCCATCAGCTCCAAACGTGGATCCGGCCCACCGCCGGCAGCGGCTGCAGCTGCTTCGGCGCTCGTGGATGGCTCCATGCTGGTGATGGGTTGTCACCTAGGTGCCCGTTTATTTGGTGTTGGTGCTGCGCTCTGCTGCAGTTGTTTGGTCGCTTTGGTTGCGCTGTCATAAACGTGAGGGAAAATCGTGTACATGTTTTCAGTGACCTTGTTACCAGTAACAACTATGCCATCAATATACTTTTCAAATCAATAAAATGCATTATATTTTACTCGAATTGGACTAAAAAAGGCCCTGAATTGCAACACAAAAGGCATATCTTTCTCAACACATGCAACTGCCACAAACTCTTGTCCCTTTGCCGCATTTTTCACAATTATGTAATCAATATTCGCTTTCAAAACTAAGATTTTTCATACAACATTTTACAATATTTTACACAAATCACTACGAAATGAAACAGCAATTTATTCTTTTACGCATTTTCATTATTTTACACACGCTATTGCAATAAATTTCTCTAATTTTTTCACAATTATGTAATTCACTTGAATTTCACATTAGCTTATTCTTCAGTTTCCACGAGAATATAATATTTGAAATACTGTTTACATTTAAAAAATAACAGTTTTCTCATTATTAGTTTTCTTTTTATGAATTTTTCAAATTTTTCCCAATTTTTTACAAAATTGTTTGTATTTTCTCCTAAATTGTTTATCCGACCAACCAACTGCTTACCTTGGCTGTTGGCACGCAACTGAATGGTAACCGTTCGGAAAAGTGATCTTGGTTGCTAGGCAGTTGTTGATTTTCCACCGCGCATGCGCACCAACCCACCACTTTCGCTCGAAATCGACCTTAGCGCAGTCCCACTGTACTTTTTGCCACCCATTCAGCTCCCCTGCTATAAACATTTGTTTATACCCCGTTGCCATGTTATTGGCAACTTGTTGCGCAGCTGAAGGGCTAAAAATAATATTGCCAGGACACGACAAGTGCCGACACGCAAATGCTTCATCGTGATGTGTGATTTTTGTTGACTTCTGCAATGATTTTATTGAGTGATTAGGCGCTAATTGAATTTATTAAGGCGCGTTTCCGAACTTAATGTATACCTTTAATGAATAATAACCTGGCAGCAAAGTTGCAGGTGTAAGCTATTATAATAATTAATTGGCGTATTGGAGGAAATTCTGTCGCAGCTTGTGAAAATATGCAATATTTTTAAAGCATATTTACAATATTACAATGATGTGATCTTTTATTCTGTTGGATTTAAGTAGCTACGAGATCAGAAAAGCAACGGCTATATCATAAATAGGTTGGTTAAGGCTATTTATATATCGAATTAAAAACAACTTTACTCACGGTTTTCTTATTTTATTCAACTGACTTCTTATTTTATTCAACTGACTGAAACTATCCTATAAGTAATGTTCTCTTAATTGAAATATAAACATCAGCTTCTTAATTTTAATTAAACTTTTAAATACTCAACGTTAGTTCACTTGTTCTTTCTTTTCTTTTGTGTAACTCCAGTACAGGAAATTGTATTATTTTCCATTGAACTGCGCAGTTTGTCTCTAAAATCACTTAACTCAAACAATCCTATATGATATTCATTTGCTATGTTGTAATTTAAATTTAAGTGTCGAAGGCTTTTCAATAAATATTATAAAACATTATTGGCATTATTCTTTTAATTAAAAGCCTGAAAAATGAGTTCCGAAGCCGAAAAGTATGCTTCATTTTTAAAGAAACTCGTTACAGCGTTACACTTAATTACAATTAATTGCACTTAAGAAGAAATATAGCATTTAAAAATATTTATACAAGTACTACACACATAAATATATTTATTATTTAAATTAATGAATAAAAAATCCAATTACCGGTTAAACACATACATTTTTCGTATGATAGCGAATTTAAGCATACAATTATTATTTTAACTTAAAAGAGACTATTTTTTAAATTCAATTATTGGGTCATGGTGAAACTAAAGAAATTAAAATAAAAGTTGTAACAACTGTGCATTTTTCATGTCTGTTAGTAACAAAAGCCAATGTACATAAAACAGCATTTTACATGCGTTTTTCATATTTACTTGTCACAATAAATAAGTTAGGCAGATTTCAGGGCAATCGTTGCATTGCAAATAAACTTATTAATTCTAGACACGCAATAAACTGTTGCATATGCGCAACAATGCTGCAGAAACCTCATTGTCGCCCACTTTTTATAGCAACTCGTGAGCGCAGGCGCCAGCCGTTACCAAGCGCAACAAGTGGCTGTAAACAAAAACAGTCAGCTGTTGCGCTACAGTGCCTAGCAACATTGTTTATCAACAAAAGGCAGCAGCACTTCCGCTTTCAAACTTTGCAACTACTTGTATTTATAGCTTATTGATTGACCCAGGTCTGGTTCATTCAACCAATGCTATTGTGCAACTGTTGCTTCCGTGGTGCAGGTGGCGTATAGCGTGTGGCATGTTGCCAGCCCAAGTTTATGGTCAAGGTAATTGCGAAGGTAACCGCAGTTATTTGATTGGTGTTGTGTTTAAACGAAATCAGTGAGGCCTATCATTGAGCCTTTGGGTGTATAAATTGGCAATTCAAATCAAGGCCGGCAAATAGTTCAAACTCAACTATGTGGCAGCTTGTTTTGGGCTTGTTGCAGCATCTAACTGTTGCAACTGCCATAGTTGTGGAACGGAACATGTTCGCTTACTATAAAGTGCCGCTTCATATGTTAGATATGGACAGCGTTGGACACACAAATACAAACGACACCAGCACCAGTCTGTACTTCATTCTACAGTGTCCACCAAAGTTAAACGACACCATACCCAAGCCAAAGGACATGCAGACCTGCAATGTGGTCGACCAGTACAATGAAATGTGGCGCGAAAGAAAGCTGAAAAGCAAGCGACTACACATGGTGCCCTTTAGAATTGTGGTGCGTCCATTGCCGCCACCAACACCCCTACAATTGAGTTTGTCTCACAGGCGTTCGAAGCGACATCACTTGGCACGGAATGGTGGAAATCAGCTGTCGAAATCGGACTCCTTTGAAGGCACGCCGCTTAAATATCTTGGCCTGCCGCATCAAAAACAGAAACTTTTAAACTTGACTGCCGATCACAGAAAGTTTAAGCGTGGCAGTCGTACCAAAGGATATCAACATATGTATCACCGGGACGAGAGTTACAACGATCACATATTCTACGATGAACTGAATCTGGATGGCAAATTCGATAATTATGGAAAAGAAAATGCCGACCCTTAAATCTTTCTAAGAATAGAATTAGAATTAGAGAATAGGCAAAGAAATAAACATATTTAACTCGTATTATTATTCTATTATTCAGAACATATATGATGCTTTAAAGATCGCTTGTACCGGAAGCTTAGAGGGATATTGTTGTTTCAAATAAGATTTTACATTAATTTTATAAAATTAATCATTTAATTTAAATAACAAAAACACGTTAATTAAGTATTGTTACCAGCTCGTCTCAAACAATAAGCTTGCCCTATTCTTCATAATTATGATCTGGCAGGAACATATCATCGTAGGCAACATTTTGAAAGACCTCATTTAGGATGGCGGTGAAGCATGCTGAGAGTCCATCTAAAATGCCCGGTTCAAGGCCATTCCAAAACTCCACCCAGTTCTCATTGAAGACGCGAGTCAAAGCAACAGTAAGATCTGTATTTTCATTATATAAATTATCTAGCCGTATGATCCAGCTGTGAATAGCAGCTAATTAATAAGGTTGATTGTATATTATTGGCTACACTTACCGATCCAGCTCGACGAGCGGCACAAGCTCGTAGATTTTAAGATAACGCCTATTGTTGCGATATTCCAAGATGACCTTTAATGTCAGAGCTATGGAAAAGTTTTGGAAGTCCGATTCCAGATCTCCAGTTGTATTCGCCTGAAATAGCAGCCAGCGGCCAACAAATTCATAGGTAGCCTCATGTACTAGACGTGGTATGTGTGCTTTGATTTCAATTTTTCTTTTTGTGGGATCGCGATCAAAACCCTTCACATGGGTAACAGTGGAATTTTCAAAGCCCCTATTCACAAAATCTCTCATATAAAAATTGAACCAAACTGGTCCCCGATATGTTGAGTTTAAAATGGCCAGATCCTTCAGTTTTATTGCGTCAAGCGGAGGCAGCCCTATTTCAGGTATACCCTTGGTATAACTTTTAATGACATGGTTAATGCTATCCACAATGCATGCTTCTTCCCCATAGTGGCACTTTTTTATATCAGCGGCTGTAGAGAAGACATAAATTGTTAATATTTAAAAGATTTATTCAAATATTTATAACACTCACGTAGTTCGACACCAAATGCAGACTTTCCCAGCAGAAAGCACAAGAAAATTATCAAACATTTTTCCATTTCCAGAGTATTACTTAGTATTATTGATTTTGGCTCCAATAGTTCAGCTCAGACGACGGCTAGTTTGAAAATAAAATCTAGAATGCAGCTGGATTGTGCTTGAGCTTAGAAAAGTGCAATTGAAAAATAAACCTGTTCATGAGCTTTTACTCTATTTTATCTATTGTGGCATATCCGACAATATACAAACATACAGAATCAAGTTTATTTTAATCTAAAGCTAATCAACTAACAACCTATGCTTGCAACTAGTGCTGAGCGTGATAGCGTACGGGAGCGTTCGTGATTTTTAAGGGTCAACAACTACTTTGTACTTCTTGAACATGATGATTGCCAAAAATTATAGTACTAATTAACCCATCAAACAAGAATTGAAAACTTTTATTCATAGAAATAGAGATAATTGAACGTATAACACAAGCAAAACTATTTTTTTTTTTATATAACGCATAATTCCGAAGAAACAAATATTAACGTAAAAAATAAGAATTCATGCCAAAAAGAAACCAAAAACGATTTGATAAACATAGAAAGCTCCAAAAAGATTTGTACATTTTAATGTTTCACACATTATAATAGATTTTCAATATGTAATATGTAAAGAAAGAATTCATAAATTCGATCAAATTTTGATATTTGAAAAAGCTTAACTTTATTGATATGTTAATGTGCGTGATTGTGATAGCCATATTTTGTCACGCACACACCTCTAGCTACCACCATGCAGTCTAATCCTCATGTTATGAACATATCATCATAAGAAACTTTTTCAAATATATTATTAATCAAATCGGTGAAAGTATTGGCTAATGTTGGCAAAACGGTCGGCTCCAACTCATTCCAAAATTCCAGCCAGTTATCATTAAAGACTTTATTCACCGCAATAGTTAAGTCTATATTCTCGGGCGAAAATTCATCGAGCCAAATATTCCAACTGTAAAAGAGAAAGAGAACAAATCTAATAATGGTTTAAGTTAACGTTTCACGTTACTCACCGATCCATGTGGATGATTGGCACTAGTTCATAAATATTTAGATAGCGCTTATTATTACGATATTCCTGTATGACCTTCAATTTGAGAGTGAAACGAAAATTTTGAAAATCCGAAAACGATGGACCCGTTCCATTTAATTGAATAAACCAGGCACGTCCATAGGAAATATATTTCCCCTTGTGTACTAGGCTGGGTATCTGGCCATGAATCTCCATTCGTGTAGCTGTTGGATTTTTGCCAAAACCTTCAACTTTGGTTATCGTTGTATTCTCATAGCCATAAGCGATTAGATCATACAGCTTGAAATTAAACCAAGTGCCTCCGATTTGTTCATTTTTCCAGACTTGCGAGAACCCAGCATCCACAATATCGATGGGTTTCATACCGATTTCAGGCAGTCCTTTAGGATAATTACGTATTACAGCATTCATTGAGTCGACGGTGCACTTTGTATTGCCAAAATGACATTTTTGTATATCCTTGGCTATGGACGAATTATAAACCCCTCTAGTTATTTGATGAGCTTTTTCTTGATTAAACGGAGTTTACCCACGTATTGTTTGACCTTGCAGCGTTAAATACATTATCGGACTGAGGAAAATGAATAAATTCCATCGCACTTCACACATTTCTTCAATCGTATGGGATCACTTGTATAGCGTTCGGTGGACCTTTACGCAATAAAAACACTTTATTATGTCAATCGAACTTTTATTAAACTATTGTCACTAAACTTTGAGAGAATCTGAATAGATTTTGAAACGAGTTTCCTAAGAGAGACAGAGAGCATTTCGTACTATACTTTTCTATAATCGGATCGAATCACTTGTGCAGTCTTCGGTAGGCGTAAACTTTATAATACTGTTTTAACTAAACTTTATGAGAATCCGAATAGGTTTTAAAAGAGAGACTGCAAGCTTTCCAAAGAGCACGCTATTCGTTTTCTCTGGTCGGTGTAAAAACTTATCATATTTTTAATAAAATATTGAAATATTTCTAATCAGCATGTTGTAAGAAACTGGAATTGGAAAGTTAGTCTAGTTAATGAAAGAAGAGGATATTTATGAAGCTCGCAGAGCTTAGCTATTATTAGGTGTAGGTATTGACAATAAGTCAGAAGTAAGTGGTCTCACTTTTTTCGAAAACTGCAAAAGAAATTGTATAAATCATTCGTAAAGTTTGATTTGGATTAAGTATAAAACATATTTGCATTTAATGCAATAGCTGCTAAATCATCGATTTTTGTTTACGTAACAGTTGTATAATCAATTTATTTTTATAATAAATTCATAGCACCTGCCTTATGAACATTAATCATCTGGCAAAAAAAGATCAGTGTATGAGACTTTGTTAAAAATATCTTCAACAATATTATTAAAGGCACTGGCGAATCCTTCCAATAGAGTTGGTTCCAATTCATTCCAAAATTCAAGCCAATTTTTATTGATAACATGGTTAACAGCTATAGTGAGATCACTGTTTTCAATAAAGAAATCCTCCATCCATAACACCCATCTATTAATAGAGTAGAGACAACTAGGGATTGTGAAAATAAACGATAAGTTACTCACCTGCTGATCGCCACTAAAGGCACCAACTCATATACCCGTATGTAGAGCTTGTTATTTCGATACTCCGGTATAACTTTGAACTTCAAATTGAAGGTGAAATTTTGAAACTCGGTCGTCATCTCACCAGTGCAATTCAATTCCACTAAATAAAGTCGTCCATTTGCAAAATAGGTACCCTTGTGCACTAAATTTGGTATTCTTCCACTAATTTCCAGTTTGTTTTTGGTCGGGTCCTTATTAAATCCAGATACCTTCGTTATGGTTGTGTTTTCAAAGCCGTAATTCACATGGTTGAAGAAATGAAGTGTTATCCACGACGAAAGATTTCGATCTCCATTGCCAAAAGTCAAATTCTTGATATCAACAATATCGATTGGTTTCAAACCAATTTCGGGTATACCCTTTGGATAGTTTTTTATGACTTGGTTCATTTTATCAACAATACAATCCGAGTCGCCAAAGTGACATTTTTGTACTTCTTTTGCTGTTTAAGATGAGTTCAATCAGCATATACAAGTAGACCATATATAGTAAATTGCTTTACTTACGTAATGTCTGCCCGTTTGCAAAGATTTGTATTTGCAAGCCAATAATTATTGACAACAAAATACGCATTTTGCATTGCCTTTATCTCACGAGTAGATTTAAAGGGATGGAATGTGGCACTTGTGTGGCCAGCGGCAGCTGTCAACTGAATGAAATCTTTAAAGAGTCAACGGAGCTTGTAAACCAATTAAATTAACACATGTAACCAGTTTAAACATTTCTTGATCCGATCATAGATCGAATAGAAATATACATACTCGTATATGCACTTACTTTACATAAATCTGCACCTGTACTCTCATGAGCTTTTTAGTTACTAAAGGTTCAAACTACTTTTAATTGTTATTAGCAGATGAGAAAGCTTTGTAGTAAGCAGACAGCCATTTCTATTCTATCCTCTGAGCCCGGCTAAGACGACTTGTAGACGTGTCTTAAAACCTCAATAATTTTGAAAGCCTCAACTTCTTTATGAAATTGTATCAGCACAGAAACAATTATTTAGTTTTTGTAAAATTATTTAGTTAGTTATTAAAAATCTTATATACCTTTTACTGACTGTCCAAAAAAACCAATAAATATAGCTAAACTATTATTTAAATTAGCCAGTATTGTTGTTAGTTGTAAAGACGTATTCTTTAATTATTGGTTATTACTCAACACTAGTCTTCTTTTTTGTCAGCTGCCAATTGGCTGTTATATTTATTTTATTTTGTTTTTTACAAGCTGATGGATATTTAGTTAATAGTAGTCTCTTCATTCAAATATTTATACTATCGTTTGTCTGTTCATCAAGCAAAAAAATTAATCTATTACTTAACCATTTGAAAATTTAAATTAAAATGTCTATTCTATGTATACCCGTATATAGCAACTGTCTAAGGTTACCGTAAGACTACTTCGCCTGTTTATCGTCGTGCAAAAAAAGATCGTTATAGGATACTTTGTTAAATATATCTTCAATCATATTTGTAAAAACTGCAGCAAATGTTTCCAGTAGACTCGGCTCGAATTCATTTCAGAACTCCAGCCAATTCTTATTGATCACACGATTCATAGCTATAGTCAGGCCACTGTTCTCTTGAAAGCAATCTTCGAACCACAGAATCCAGCTGGGCCGATAAAAATCACTTTCGTTAGACATACAAATAGTATGGATTTCGTTTACTCACCGATCTAAACTGTAGGCACCAATTCATAGATCTTTTAGTGCAGCTTATTGTTCCGATATTCTGGTATCACCTTCAATTTCAGATTGAAGCGAAACTTTTGAAAATCGGACATACATCGACCTCTCATATTCATTGACACATAATGAATCCGGATCTGTCCTGCAATTTCCAGTTCTTTTTTCGTTGGGTCTTTCTGAAATCCAGCAACCCGTGTTATGGTTGTGTTTTGGAAACCATAATACAGATGATTATAAAACTTCATCAAGAACCACAATGAGTCCCCACGATCTTCGTTCCCTATAGTCAAATTTTAATATTCACAACATCGAGAGGCTTTAGGCCGATTTCAGGTATTCCTTTCGGATACTTTCGAATCATCATATTCATTGTATCCATAATGCACTTCGCATCGTTGAAGTGGCATTTTTGTATAATTCCAGCTATGCGAAGAACTTCTGTTTAGCTGTTATGCTCAAACATATGATTTTAAATCGAAAGCTATATATATTTACGTATGTTTTGGGCCACACAAATACTTAAGCAGAACACAATTAAAAAACAGAAATACATTATTTACAATACACTTTATATTTTGATCTAAGTCTAAAGACACGTGGAAGTACTTCGAGAGCTGAACGCTCAATAAGTGCATCCATATTCTGTAGAGCTTTACTATAATAGTTAAAAGTAGTAGATAAAAAGTTTACATAACTTTGTTCAATTGGACCCTGATTGAGCATTTTATAATTGTTATACATATTTATGAGCATTTTTATATTCAACAGTGAGCTTTGTAAGCTACAACAAGTATCTGACGGTATAAATCGTTCTATATGTACGCTAGCGTGAAGGTGGATTAGCTGCCTGGAACTCGAATAATGTCTTCATATGTTTTCACTTTTTTTTTTAACAAATAATACATATTGATATTTCTATGGAAACAATAAACAAAGCTTAGCTGGCTAGAACTTGGTATTGGAATTTTAAGCTGTGTTCTCAGCACTGATTCTAATTATTCTGTAATTTTGTAAAATAAAGCCCGTTCTTAAACATAAAACAAGATATAGTTTAGATTTTAAAAACCCAGTCAACCTATTCCAATCTCGATACAAAAAATTCAGGCCATTTATTGATGAATTTTGGTAAGCTTTTGGGATACTTTCGTATTACTATACGAGTATGTATGTTGCAAAATATAACTTCTTGATTTTTATAGTATATGCATAGTATATAAATCGACATTTCCAGGTTGAACATCAAGTTGTACCTGAATGGTGAGCTTATCCATACTGGGGATCGTTATGATTTTAATGCTGATTAAATATTGGTTAATACATAGTTGAAAGAAAATCTTTCATCATACCATTGAAGATGGTACTTGTAATATAATTGTTTTCTTTTTGAAATGTTGTTTATTGTTTTATTTTCAATTTTCTTGGTTCTTCACATTTCGAGTCGAAGGCAATAGCAGCTATTGCTCGTTAAACTATTATTAAGTTTAGTATTGTATACTAGATTTAATTTGCTAAAATAAAAAATACTTATATTTATTCTACACATAGGAACAGAGTATTTTAAAGTCGACGCATCCGACTTTATCTTTCCAGTTGTTTTTAATTTTGCTGTGTAAACAAACATTAAGATTAGTTGAGATTACTGCTTATTCTAAGCTAATAAATCCGGCATTGCTTCAAGATTTATGATCAGCATTATCGAGTACAATAGACGCGTGACGTATTGATGTAAATAGAACACTTTGTCCGTATTCTTTGAGAATTAATCTAACTTGAACGATAAAACTATATGCATGACTGGTTTCTCTCTCTCTCTCTCTCTCTCCATCTTTCCCCTTTTCTGCTATTATCATAAATAAAATAAGCCTCGCAAATTTAGAGAGTGCAATAATAGTGGAAGAGAAAACGTTTCGAACTCTCTTCCGTTTTAAATATTCAGAGAATGCACTCGAAAGATAAAAGGGTATGCTATGCACTGACAAATTTATTTATAAGCCCATTGCCTCTTTTGAAGGTAGAAACATATCATTATAGGCTACTTTTTCAAAAATATCGTCAATTATATGCCTAAAGACGCTTGCAAATGTGCGTAATATGCTTGGCTCCAATTCGTTCCAGAACTCTACCCAGTTCTCATTAAATAAACGATTCATGGCAATGGTTAGGTCAGTGTTTTCGTAAAAGAAATCATCGAGCCACTGAATCCAGCTAGAAGAACGATTTCGATGAAACAGCATGGATAAGATTTAGAACCCAGTTTGTAGCTTACCGGTCTATATTTATGTCAGGCACCAGCTCATAGATTTTTATGTACGTTTTATTATAGCGATACTCTGGTATGACTTTCAGCTTCAAGGAGAAGCGAAAATTCTGGAAATCCGATTCGGATTCACCCGTCGCATTCACATCCACCAGCCAGAGCATACGACCGCGGGCAATATATTGTCCCTTGTATGTTAGACTCGGAATTGTGCCGTAAATTTCCATGCTACTGGAGGTGGGGTCCTGATCGAATCCTTTAATCTGCGTAATAGTTGTATTTTCGAATCCATAATTGATCTGATCTATTAATTTGAATTGAAACCAAGCGACACCAACTTGGGCATCGTCGACCAGTAGAACGTCCTTTACCGAGACTGCATCGAGGGGTTTCAAACCTATTTCCGGTATGCCTTTCGGAAAATTACGTATGACATAATTCATTGTGTCTGCAATACATATCGTATCACCAAACCGACATTTTTTGATTGATGCAGCTGGAAAAAAAATGAAAACACAATTTTCACAATTTGCGAATGGCTTTTATTTCGACTACCCACGTAACATTTGGCACCAGAACAGGGGATAGAAGTTTAGGAAAATTATAAGCAACGAAAATGTATGCATCTTTTTAGAAATATGTCTCTATATTTAATTAAAAAGATTCTAGACACTTGCTTCCCCATTGAAAGTTTATTTTTCAATGAGAGCGCAGTTTATTGTCAATTCGATATTTATATGTGACTTTATAAAAAGACGCGCATATATAACCTGTTTCTTGATTAGAAAAAAAGCTTTGCCAAGCCGCATACAACTTTTCCCTACTAGTCGTCTATGGGTGCAGTGATAAATATGATATGCACTCTCAGATTAAGGTTCTGATCTCTTCTCGGAATACTGCAATTCAATTTTGTAAACTTTTTCTGCTAATTTTTTGAATTAAATTGCACATTTTGAATTCATTGGTTTTTTGAACATTTTTGATGTTTTAATTATATTATATTATAGTTTTTAATGAAATATATACATACTTGTATATATACAAGTACATACTCGTTTATACATATTTTACATAATTGGCCTCATTGCATTTACAATGCTTCCTTTACATCGATATACCTTAGGCGATATCTTAGCTGCTAATCGATTTAAATATTAATATACATATTACGAAATTCATTCAAATTCAGGCAATCTGACTATTGATCTCCATAGATTTATAAAAATAGCGAAATAGTTATATCTTCAGCCAGCAGCATGTTTAAATAAATTACCCAAATACTAAAGATTATTTAAGAATAATCTTTCTGTGACACTGCTAACTTGGTCAAAATTTTGACTGCAGCTTTTACGCTAAATTCATAAAATATCATTTAGATTTAAATGTGTTTTTCCTTATAAGATCAAAAGCTTTCATTTAATACTTCTGAATAACAGTTTTATAATTGTAATATTTATGATTCTATTATAATATTGATTACAAAATTTAATCTTTACCTAAAAATGTGTTATTGTATATATACTTGTAATAATTTCAACGTCAAAAGTGATATATTTTCTTTAAATAATAAAAAGCTCAACAGCAGTTTAATATACATATATATAAATTATAATAATATAAATAACATAAATTTAATATATTTATACCCTGTACTCAAAGGATAAAATAAAAAGAGTATATTAAGTTTGTGCAAAGCATGTATGTAACAGGAAGAAGGAATCTTAATCGGCATGATGAGAGAAATACATAATATACAGACGTGTTCGCCTTTCCGTCCGTCTTGCCATCTGTCTGGATGAAGCCTGTATTTTGGAAACGTCGTTGTATTTTTAATGGGTTTCTAAAAAGTTTTGTCTCATCATAACTCTGCAATTCTAATTCAAATAAAAGTCATCGTAAGGCAATTTGAGTGCAACTCGCGATAGAAGGCTATATGACACTTGATCGACAGCCTTGTTGATGCCTTTGCCCATGGTGTGCCAAACATCCTGCCAGTTGATGTTAATGAGTTGGTTCATCGAGTCGCTTAGCGCCTGGTCATTGAACAGATTTTGAAAGTTAACATGCAGGCTGAAATAAAATATTACATTTTAATAATTTTATTAATTCTTGAACATTTTTTAATGTAGCTCACCCCTTTACGTCCACCACGCACTTGACCTTTGTAATCTTGGCGTATAGTTTTCCACCATTGCGTTGGTCCTCGGCCGCCCTCACCTTGCACTTGAACTTACAGTCCTTCAACTGGAGTTCTGCCTCACCTGTGCCCTGCACCGGCAATAACAAAACCCTGCCACTGGCCTCATACTCACCATTCAACTGGAGCAGTGGTATCCAACCACTTAGCTCGAATGGCTGCTCCAGGTCCTTGTCGAAGCCCACAGCATGCAAAATCGTAGTGTTTTCAAAGCCCCGCACTGTCAGAGTGTTGAATTTTAGATTCAGCTGCACGGGCGTGCTCGAATCCGCTTCGGCTACGACCACATCCGTGAAATGAATGACATCGACTGCATCCAATCCAATGCTTGGCACCCCCTTGGGATAGGTGCGTAATATTTGAGTGATGAGTGTTGAAATGCAAACCTCATCGCCGGCAGGACACTTTTTTATTTCAGTAGCTATGCACATATAAGGGGATTGAAAAGTATATAGTATATAACAATTCCCTCACTCACGTAAATCGCCTTTTATGGAAAAGTAGTTACTAAAGATGCTTAAAATAAATATCATTTTAATTATGTTCATTTCGAATATAAAATTTTCCAAAAATTCTGATTTTATTGCACCTTCTACTTCTAGCAAAAATGTTGTTATTAGAAAACTGCACCTATGGCTTACACCTTTTATATAGCGCACATTTAATTAATCATTTGTGTCAGTCTAATCAATCACGCTACTAAATACTATAGCTAGAAATGTTACACTTGGCACCTATACAGGTGATCGCTTTGTGTGACTATTAAACGCCTCATTGAATGGATTTTGTTTTCACTTTCGCTCAGAAAACGTTGAATTCCAGGTAATCATTAGTTAGGCAGTTTTACAATGGAGCAGTGATACCAATCGCTCTTGTTATTCCTTTTATTTAAATCGATTAAAACGCGAAAGTTATGCCAATCCGACGCTTGAATGCCTCTATCCACCACATTGCACTATATTCAATAAATGAAGTCGCATCGATATTTACAAGTATATGATATAGTGCACCATTTTTAAGAATAGCCTATAAAATTATTCCTATTTAAAATATTGAGGCTACAAATAATTTGTCAAAAACTTGACTTACATATCGAAACCAAAAAGCCAAAATGCCAAGCTGTGTGTCTCTAGGTGTTATGGTTGAAAAGTTATCCATGTTCATACAGTCGAACTAAAGTACGGTGGTACGCTTTAGATTTTTCAATTCACCGATAGCAGCTGTAAACTGTTTACTAAGGTGGTAAAGAAATGAATATGAATACGCCCCTTACTTCTGATATTTAAAGTCTTCAATTTTTAAATAATAATTTATTTGCTTATAACAATCGTTATGTTTATCAAAAATTTTTAAAAAATCTGTTCAAAATAAAAATTTCGTTTTGTGTTTCTTAAACTATAATTGTTTTATTTTTATTATCAATTCAATATTCTCACATACGGCAATAATTTAGGCAGTGTGCTAAAAATGTACACATAATTTGAAATCGTTTAAATTATCTTGCACAAAAATAAAAAGAAGCATTTATTGTATATACATTTTTTAAACTACAGTTTACTACAGTTTTTAAAAGGTTTTAAGTACCTAACTACAAATATTAAAATTCTTGTGACCATTAAGGTGGCTTAAGTAAACAAAAATTTCACAATCAGCATAAATAAGTTTGGCATAAATACAAATAATAAGTGTTATATAACTAATGTACACAAACATTGTTGCGTTTACAATACAAACATAGACAGTTTTGAAAATATTGTTATTTTTCATAAACTCATATTTATGGCATTGTAAGTTAAAGATTAAAAACAAATTTATAAATATTGCAATTTGATGAGAACTTTGAATTTATGGAAATTTGCCTTCTTAATGTGTTTCGATATGGGTTGCTCATAAAAATGCTCACAGCCTTATAGTTATAGTTTCGAAAGGTTTTAAGTTATTTATAATTAATAAGTTTTTTTTTTTAATTAGAGCTAATGTCTCTTATCTCAATTCTTCAGTTGTTTTTTGAAATCCTTTTTTACTTTTTGGTATGCGAAATAGAAAATAAATATAGCAGTACACTGATCCCCTAGAGTTCCTTCGCATTGTAAGGAAATACTAGAAATTATCCGATCCAACAATGAACACACACACTTCCAGAACATTTGTAACATTTCCGAACATCTTACTAGAGCCAAGAAGTGTTGCCACTTTGTGTTCCATGTTGACAAGTTTGTTGTGGCAACATTGAAGCCACTGCTAGCTAATGACCACATGGCCATTCGCGGCAGCGGGACCGAGCTCAGGATCGATGTTGCTGCTCGGGCAGTCGCGGATATTGTTGTTGCTGATACAAACCTCTTCACCATCTTCGGAATCAGTGCAGCACAGTAATGGCTACGCATCCTCGCCGTCCACGATGTCGGCATCGGTATCGCCATTTGTGGGAATTCTGCAATAAGAAAAATCAGCATATAGTGAACTAATAATGGATGAATGGATGTGTTTAAAATTATGCAAATTAAGCGTTTTATACTGTGCGGGTGTGAATAACTGATTATCATTTGTTTTGGGTCTAAGCATGAGTTTGTTTCAAAAGCGGGCATGAAACGGAATTTAAATACGAAACAAAAGTAATGTAAAATTTTCGTTTGTTTCGAAATTTTTAAAATTAAAATCTAGAGTGGTTCAAAAATACCCCTAGCCAATATTTAATTACTATCAGCCTGAATGTAGTATTTTTATTTACAAATTTAAATACAATTTTTAAATAAAAATTCAATATTAGAAAACCTTAGAACCTATTGGAAATCCTTAAATATTGTATTAAAAAAAATGTACTTTTCAAATAACGAAGATAGTTTTGAGACTTTAAAATGTTGTGCTTTTTTAAATTTTAAAATAAGCATTAGCAATCAATTATTATTAAAAATAATTTCCACATAAGTTAAGTGCTTTGGTATACAAAATATCAAGCAATTACCATATAGCTTATACTTAAAACTATGTCTCTAGAGCTATGGGACAGGACATGCAAATAAATGTTCATAGCTAAATGTTATTTCAAATGAAAGCAATAAGAATTGCAATACAGTTTTTGGAAAAACTTTTTGGGATCTACAATTTTTAGCTTACATGTAAAACAGCACTAAATATGCAAGAGAGTAATACTTTCATCAGAATTTGTATATTCTATCAGTATAAGAGATAAGAAGCAAAGCCTTCACTGTCTTTGAACGAGTTTTAATCACAAAATAATATACCCAAAAATATTGGGAACAATGCGCAAATAGAATCATTGGTATTTGATTTGTATTTAAGATATTTGTTGGTAATATTTGCCGCAAAAGTGGATTGAAAGATACGTTTTCTACATATAATCGAATTAAATATATTATTATTTTCAAGAAAGAAGAAGGAAGAACATCTTAAATTGATTTCTTACCAAAAAAAAAAGTTGAATGAAAGACATAAGGTGATATTTTCCTCAAAAGTAGTATAAATACTTCTTTTTTACTACTTTAAATATATTATTTTCATAATTAAATCGAATCCTTCAGATATCTAAAAATCGACCAATTGTTGAAATTGTTTTACGGCAACACAAAAAGAGTTCTGTTTTGTCTATATACACTATGATATTAGTATGATTTTTGTTAAAGATATGTGAGCCTATTTTCCTCCAAAAGGAATATCAATGCTTCATTTTGCACATTTTAAATATATTTTATTCAAATGTAAAGGATCTCAAAAAAGGCACCAAATATGGAAAGAAAAACGACGTTAATGAAGTCATAAATGCAATTGATGGGAAAAGTAGTATGAAAGGTACCTTTTCTTTAATAGTTTAAATAATACATTATTAGCTTAGTATTTAATTTATTACTAGCTTTAATAATGATAACAAAATACTAAAGATGATTCCCTCTAGCATCAATAAATGTAAACTCTTCAAATTTACATAATTTGTGGTTTTACTTTGCAAAACTATTAGCCAAGTGGGTTAGTTTTATTCACAGCTACTTAGTGGTTAAATAATGGCATAATTCAGTGATTATTTAAATATTTATTGAATATAATGAATATGATGATTGTGGGAATTTCAATAAAACAGCAATAAGAAATGCCAATCAGTTTTTATTGTAAATATTTCTTGTTTGTTTGCAGTTGAAAATTTTTTATTATTAGAGCTAGAATTATTATAAAAATATACAAAGAGTATTATCTACGATCTACGCGATAAACAAAACTAAAAAAACAGCATTTACAAAGCCTTCAACATATAAAGATATAATACGTACATCAATTTTATAATAATAAATACTATGCCGAAAGCATTAGGAATATAGATAGGAGGCACTATTTTACTAATAGTAAGTAAGAAGCAATATACAATTTTTCATGGGAATATCTTTCAGTTCGTTTTAGGTTGACTTTTTATAGAGTATATTGAGATTCCATTATCGCTAAGCGTCAGCTCACTGGACGTTTTTTTTTTTTTTTTTTTTTTTTTTTGTATAAACAAATGGTAAACGAGTATTTTAGCGTCATGAAGCATCCACATGTTGTTTTTGGTTGTTGTTGTTGTAGTAGTAGTTTTTGTAGTTGTTGTTGGTGTTGTTGTCGCAGATATTTGTTGTGGGCGTTGTGGACCGAAAGCGAAAAATTGTTTGCGGCACGTGCAACAACACATTTAAAATATTTTTGCGCATTATAATAACAACAATATAGTATACATGTTTACAAATTTTTGCAAAATAAATGTCAAATGGATTTTTACGTAAAACACAAATTATAATAATAATAATTTTCCTAATTAGTTCCATTCGCAAAATTTCACGCTGTGCTCAAACTTTGCATATTTTGCGCGATTCTAAAGCCAATTGGGAATTTAGTTTATTTTGTTTTGTTTTGTCAAAATTTTGTATCAATGCCAAAAAATCCATTTCCATTTCCAGTGTACGATGTGTTTAGATGATAATTATTTTTGTGTATGCGTCAATTTTTAAATATGGTGTACAATTTTTGGTGTTTTTTTTTTTTTCAATTAGCCAAAGATTGTTGCACGTCAAGTTGTTGTTGTTGTTGTTTTAATTGTAGTAGTTGTTGTTGTGTTGGACACACATATGCATATGTATGTAACACGGACAGTGGAGTGATTTTTGAAAATAGTGGAACAGTTTCAGTGCGTGGTTTATTTGAGAGAGTGTGGCACACAGTGTTGGGGCATTGGTTGATTGGGATTCACACACACACACACGTATAGAGAAGAGAATTTAAAATACATTTAGTTATTAGTCACAATTGGTGTAGGAAATAATAAATTAAAGTTATTATTGTAAGTAGTATGTATGACAACAACACCAAGCAGCGATTTGCAAATGTAAACCAATGCACTATTCATGGTAATGTTTAGTTGTTATAACTAAGTTCAAGCCATTGCTTAAGTCAAATGCTGTACGCAAAAGGGTTTCAAATTTTGTTCATCAAAAATCTTATTCTACCGAACTTATTTTCTATAACAAATTAAACAACAAACTTCAATTTTCGCTAGACACTATAAAACAGTAGACTTGCTTTATAAAATATTATTTTCCCAATTCACAGTTACTTCATACTGTTATTTCAATTGTTATATCTGGGTTCTGAAACTATTTTTCATTCTCAGAAGTAATAATTCATATTTTTGTTAAATAAATAACAAATAATCTCTTTAGAAGTATATGTTTCAAGCTGTCACGAACATTATTTTTATACTTTAAAATATTTTTCAAGATATACTCGTAAGTAATCTCTTAAGAAAACAAATTTCGCCAAGGAACCTGAATTGCCTGATGGAGCTACCCCCTATAGTTTCCTTGATTCTTTTAGCTTTAACTCTAAGTTTTATTTAATTAATATGCGAACATAAAATATGCATAACTCTCTTTTTATCTGCAGCACAAATATGCTGATCTGTTTAAGAAAACTCATGATTTTTGCGTTTAAAGAAAAACCGCACTCCCACAAAAGTAAATAGATCAACTTAAAAACAAGTCAGACAATCCAAATCTTTGAAATATTTTTTGTACTATGAATTAAAACCAAAAATCAAACAAAAAAAAGCAAATGCTTTCTGTATATATTTGTAAGACGAAAAATAAATATTTGATAAAGTATTCGTAAAGCTGTGGCTTACTTTGTCAACATAACTCATTATCTAATACAAATAACCTTAGATGATCTCTAATATGATAAGCTACAGAATATGTTTTAGTTAATATTTGATTCGAAAATAATATAAACACAGCTTCAGGTATGCTGTAAAGTCCTTAAAATTCTTAAAAGCTTAACTTAATTCTTTATTAGGCTTAAGGCTAAAATAAATCATTACAGAACTAAATTATAGCGAACGTATAAAACGCTAATTGCAGGAACTGAGCCGGCTGTAGCTTCTTCAATGAGTCAATTTATAGCCGTTCCATATTAGATTGAAGAACATCGGGAATTCCATTTGCCATTCTATCATCCAGTTGCCAAGTAGTTTTATCTATACAAGTATATGCCTTGGTGGGTACTTAGAAATAAGCCCTAACTTAAAGGTATTTAGTAGAAAAAGTCTAGCAATTGTTATTTCTGCATCGTACTTTATTTTCTTTTCATTTATTTATCGAACTAGCGGTAAGCTCTGTGGCTTAGGGAACAAAATGCCGTGCATTAAAATAATATATATAATAACCATTTGTGAGTATTACGAATCTCTATCCAAACACATACCATAAATACCTTGCAATAGGTAACTCAAATATATCATATTTTGTTGATGTATGTATATACAAAGTGTTCGCTATAAATTCTTAGTGTATATACTATATATAGCTTTAGTATTTGTTAATTGGTGTTAATATCACAATTGTGAGGAGCCTAAATGAGGATGTCAATGTAGGTTTAGGTGTAATTGTAGGTATGGAGTAGGGCTAAGTGTACGTATATGTAGGAGAGGGAAATAGCAAATAACAAAATGAGTTACTGAGGCACTTTCTCCGAAACTGTTTCGATGTCTTTTGCTGTGTTAGTATTGGCAGTAATGTCGCCTACACCTAAGGTTACATCACTGTGAATAATTGAAAGAAAGAGCATAGGAATATGCATACGATTAAGTATTAGTTGAGTTGAAAGTAAATTACGAAAAAATAAACCAAATGGTAGCGCAGCAGAGTTGGAAAATAGTATTAGCAGTTAGCAAAGAGTAGCAACCAATTAAGAATAAAGAAGTAGAGTTTTGTAAATATCAAAAAAAAAAAACATATGTTTCAAGAATTTCTTTAAAAAGATGTGCGTTTGCATAGGCTGTATGTGTGTTTGTGTGCACGGGTGGGTGTGATTGTGTGTGCATATATATACTATATGTGTGAGTTTTAATACAATTCGACATACCTGGCATACGTTGAGTTGGCATTCTTTATCGAAAAGCTGTTCTGGCTTGGCAACACCCAGCGCTGCACCCACTGTGAAGTAAAAATAAAGAATGGAGAAATGTAGATGGTATAGGAATTAATTTACCATTCGATGTTGATACATAAACCATTTCAAGCCACTTCAATGCCTGCACTCAGTCACGTAAACTGATAAAGTCGTCATGCTAACATTTATCTGGGGTATTTAAAGGTTGTCAAACAAATTTGTGACAATATCGTCAACAACTTAAGCCCCCTCCGTGCCCAACAAAATGAAGACCTTGCCTTTGGTCATGGTTCTGTAACTGTCCGTGCTATCACATTTATTGAAATAGACGCCAAATTCTATTTTGATATGACTAGAACGCGCCTCTTGTATATCATTACTCGGCCTTTCCCTTAGTGCGACAGTCGTTCAACTAAAATAGGCTTTCATACTCAAACCGTTTCAATGTCTGCTGCATGATATATTGCACTGATTTTGATAAAGCTTCAGATTTAAAAAAAAAACCCATGATGAACCAGTTTGATTACGAAAATGTATTCTACCAGAGATTGCTTGTGCCATCGGCCCCTCTCTTAGCGCAACAGTCTTTCAACTGAAATCAGATTTGGAAGATTTGAAGAATGGCACTGATTTCGATAAAGCTTCAGATTTATTATAAAAAAACTCGTGATTTCTTAGTTTGATAACGATATCTTTATAAGCAAAAATGCAATTTAACTAAAGATTGCTTTTGGTTTCATATGGCGGCCATATAATGCACCGATTTTAATTGAACTTCAAATTATGATGAGATATAATAATCAAGCCATTAATAACCATCTTAACCACGATGTGATAACAAACAAATAACTGGTGGATCGTTTCTATGGCAGGTATATTGCACTGATTTTGATACAGCTTCAGATTATGGTAAGGCATTATAAAAACTCATAATTACTCTTAATAAACGAAGCAGTTATTCTTCTCAAGATTGCTTGCTCAATTGTTCCTATAACAGGTTAATCATATAGGTTGAAGTTATAAAAGTTAAAATAAAAAATTTATTCTAGAACGATATGACAATAAACCAAGAACTTGGTAGTAAGATTTATTTTTAGATCGTTGCTATGGATGTTATATTAGACTTTGATAAAAAACTTCAGAATATCACAAGACATTATTTAAAACGTTTGAATAGCCACTCTAATACCGCTATCTGGTAAAAAACCACCAAAGTTATTCAACAAAGTTTTAAATTTATGACATATATGTATATAAAGTAACGTGGCTGTATATTATTTGTAATAAACTGCCCCTATATATATATAAAACCAGCCCACATACCATGTTTGATTAGAATTGAGGGTACTATTATATATCTTCTTACTCACCCGACTGTTCATAAGACGTTGATTGCCCATGCATGCGGCCATATGTATCACAAGGTATAGATTAAAAAGTAAGTATAAAATAGCAAATATGCCTGTAAAAACAACAAAAATGAGAGGTTAAAAAAATGCATTCGTACGTAAAGACATTTCTAACTCACAGACTAGGGCCAGCAGGCCGCCTGTTATGCTGAATTGCTCTACTTGAACGACCACAAAATACAAATTAACTGCAATAACGACAACGGTCAGCAATATGGAAACAATTTTGTTGCCCAGCCCATTGACAAATTCGCCCATTATGGCCGTACAGGATGTAAACGCAATGGTGGGTATGGCGGCGAATGGCAGTTGGAGGGACATCACCGCATTCAATATATCGTTCATGTTGGTCAAGTCCTCCATTTTGGTGAACAGTGCCAGACAGAATGTGGGCACAATGGCAATCAAACGTGTGACCAAGACACGACGCCAGCGCGGCCACTGCAGATTGAGGAAACCCTCCATGGAGAACTGACCCGCATAGGTGCCAGTCATTGTGGAGCTCTGACCCGCAGCTAAGATTCCCACTCCCCAAATATACATGGCCGCAGCCCCAAAGGTGCAGCCCAGAAATAGTCCTCCCTTATATAGATCCGCATCGATAAGCGCATTGCCACCATCGCTGTCCACAAACGATGTCTTCGCATCATCATACATCGATCTATTCACGCACACTTCCAGCTGCAATAAACGAGATCTATGTGAGTGAGATTTTCAAGGTTTAAATATATTTGGGATTACTTACCACATCATTGTTTGTTTTGCCATACATGCCGTGCGCAAAAACGCCGACCACAAACAAATTTATGATAAAGGACACAAACAGAGCAACCGATGCCTCAATAAAGAAATAAAAATTCGCTTCGCTAACTTTCTGTGGCTGCCGACGATCTATATCACGAGACTGCAAACAGATTTTATTATCAAGCATTATAACAGATGTGACTTAAATGATATGTTTCTATCTCACCTTGACCAAAGCTGAGTGCAAATATAGATTGTGCGGCATAATGACGGCACCAACTATGCCCACAGCCTGCAGCAGCACATCCGAATTACAACCGGAACACCAAGGCACAAACATGCCCTCCATAACTTCAGCCTGATTGGGCGCAGACACAATGTACTGTAAAATAGGAGGAATCGTGGTATTAATAATTGCCTTAGGAGGACCTAAAGTTCTATCGAAAGCACGAAAGCAAACCCAAGGACACAGGAAAAGAGACAAAAAACTTTATATACAGTATAAAAGAAGTGCCCCTCTACTTCTGCTCATAATTTAATCTTCATAACATTAACTATTATCTTTATAGCAAAAAACCCCCCACAAAATCAGCAGATATAGAGCTGCAAAAAATCGTTATATCAACACTTACAAAGCAGCACAAATAAAGACTTACAAATCGTTAAAAAAAAAACAATCTTAACAACACTTCATAATTATAAAAATTCCATCTGAGAAATAGATATTGTGCTGTAAAAAATTGCTATAAAAGCAAGACTCAAAAGTTCCCCCGAAAGAGCAGCAGAAACAGATTGCAAAACATCTTCAAAAAAAAACTTAAAGTTCCCCCGACAGAAAAATCCCCAACAACTACACTTAGTATGCATGTTTTGTACCGACAGCATTTTTTATTTATCCAACTGGCAAAATTTTTTTTCATTTATGATGTGATAAGCTAAATTTATAGTATGAGTCTAGTGCTATTATTTGCATACGTGCTGAAGCAATTTATACTAGAGAAGGCGCTGATACAAATGTCTGGTAAACTAATTATTATTTTAGCTTATCTTTTCACATTCTCGACTATACTCGGACGGATACAATTGTATTTTCTACTTAGTCGTAAACATGCCTCTTTCAGCGAAAAGAAACCCTTACTTATCACAATTATCACAATTACAGCAGGAAATTTTCAGTTAATTGTTTCAGTAAAACACTGTCGGATATTAGCAATTGAAATACAGCGCACGTTTAATCTATGGAGCCTCTATATCATTAGCCCTGTTTCTTTTTCCAAACCAAATGTCAATCATTACTTTCGTTCGATAGGTAAATAAGTGTGCTGTTTTGGGAGTGATAAGACTTTGTAAAGGTACTTGAAGCAACTATTTATGGAACTTGTAATGAGAACAAAACACTGTACTGTATATTTAGTTTTACTCAACTGCTCAGATTTGTTTTTGGACTTTAGAAATTATATAATTTTCTACAGTCTGATTGTAAGATCTTTATATGTATGTAATGACAAAACAAAAGAAACAGAGCTAAAAAAACCCATTGTTGTGTAAAGAATAAGGCTCTACAAATTGTTACTTAACCATTAGTAACTAACACTTAACAGAGGTTCTAAAGTTTCCTAAATTAGTGTACATTTTTTCTTTGTACTCCTTGAATCACAGTATGATTCCATTCGGATTCATCTAAAAATTGGTGAAAAAGTATATGACTCGGTTCGAATCATCGCATAAAGCATGATTTAAAAATTACTTGCAGTTTTAAAAATCCTGTAAAAGTGGTCTCATATCTAAAAACAAAGTTATGCTATGGCCAAAATCTGCAGGCCAAACCATCAAAAAAAAAAAAGATTGATCAAAGCAATTTAAAATAATTTACTGTTCACTAAATCGTACAAACACTATATATACTATATATCTATCCTGGTGTGCACGCCCCTCTCGCACACACAAATTGCAATTTGAGACAGAGAGACGACAACAGAGAGAAAATAAATTAAAGTGCAAAAAAAGAGGAAACAAAAGAAAACATTTTAAATTGAATTGTATAAGAGCGTAAAAAAAAAGTAATTTAGTTTGCTTTCTGTTTTGCAAGCAGCGTTAATTGTGTAAATATTTTTTCTGTATTTTGTCTGGCATCAACAATTGAGTCGAAATTAAAGCGGGGAATTTTTTAGGACAGTTTTGGGGAGTTTCGTGCAACGTGCTGATCGGCTAATTACGGACTTACCTCATAGCCAAACGTCACTGCCATGACAGTGATGAGAAATGCGAACAAAAACTCTAGCTTACGCAAGCCATATTTGTCCAGAAATAGAAAAGTAAACGTATCTATAATGGTTATTAGTACGCCACCCCATAAGGGAACTCTGAAAAAAAGAGACAACCATTAAATAAGAACTATTTTTAAACACAACTTTTAAGCCAAAAATTATACAAGCAAATAGAATTATTATTCAAATAATAAGATAATAATAAGATTTATACTCACACTTTATTGGATAACAAATAGATGGCTATCGCAGTGCCTATAACCTCCTGCATATCGGAACCAATGATAGCTATCTCTATCATAATCCAAAGTATCCAACGTGGTAATCGTTTGTATTGTCGATAGCACATCTCAGCCAAATGGAGACCCGTCACAACACCCAATCTAAATAGTGATTGTAGATAGTTCTAAATGTGATATTGGAGCGCAACAAACCCAAACAAACCTTGCAGCCAAGCGTTGCATAAGTAAACCCAATACTGTGGCCCATAATAGAACCCAGAGTATTTTGTATTTGGCGGCTGCACCCGATTGTAAATCGGACTCAATGTTGCCCGGATCTAGATAAGCAATGGACATGAGAAAACCGGGTCCCGTGAAGGCCCATAGTTTGCGAAAACTGAAACGCACCTGCAACATAATGAAATATATTGTATTATATAATTTATTTATGCATAAATGGCTTACGACTGCAATGAAACTCTTTCTGCTTGATTAGTTAACTCACATTTGTGTGTTCATCGTCGGGTATGAGCACTTTTTCATCGCTGAAGTAGGCCTGCTTGCTGGCTGGCTTCAGATATGTGTTCTCATTGAGAATGTTTGTTTGTTTGTTATTCCGACTGCTATTGCTGCTGCCGCTGGCCGCCGGATTATAGCTGTCATCGTGGCCGATCCCTCCCGCGCCCGCATTTCCACTCGTACTCGCTCCCGAACTCCCGCTTGTTTCCATGTTTCTGCTTCGATATGCCTCATTGGAAGACATGCTGTAAAAAAAAGAGACGATAATGAAATCAGTAATTGACGTCAGGGGAGTACAGCTTACATTCTATATAGGGTCATGCAACAAAAAAGCACGCAACGCGATTATTCCAAAAAAAAAATCATACTCAGCAAATATTTTCTTTTCACTAAAAGTGAATATTTTCAACATACACAAGTAAATATTTCCGCAAATATCTACAATGTGAATAAATAAACCAAAAATAACCAAATTCAATGGTATTGCTATCATTTCTGTCAATTTAAGTGAATTGAAACATAAATCTAATTGTTGAGTTGATTTATAAGCTTATTGAAATCCTTAGTTTTTAAAGATTTGGAACGTGGTTTCTTTACCCTTAATGGGGATTGATTTGTCATGCTGTCTTTCTTAATATTTTACCCTACAAAGCTGTATTCACTTCCTGCCCCAAAGTTATCCACCGGATTCAAGTTCGTTGATGTTGTTCACTGGTCTCTTAGAATAAATGCAATCTGGTTTTTGTCCTAAACTAAGTTTTTCCTGATACTGGTTATCTACTGCTTTAAAACTACAGCAATTAATATAATGGGCTATTTCGCAGCAGATATACATATGTTTCAAATTTTCAATTTAAATGTCCCCATTAGCTTTATATGAGCAATTAAAAGTTACGGCTTTCGTAATGCAAGACTGCAAATTCAGGCAGTAAATTGAAAATTCAAAAGGGCCCAGCCAGACACGTTCTATATTATAGAAAAGTATATTTAGAAACCTATAGCGGCGGGAATCTATTGTTGTGGCAGACATGCTTATGTAACGACTTTAAACAACTATTAACAAAGGTTATTTTTACGAGCATTACACGTCGGCATAAAATGTAGTTTTATATGTTGAAAATTATTCATTATTAGTGGTATTATACTCGATTTATCGTATATTTTACATATACGTATATTCTATGCAGCATTTGATTTACTAATTAAAGCAAATCAGTGAACGTGTTTAATAGACGGAAACAGCAAAATAACAATTGTGTTATTATCTCATTTTTGCCCTTTTTTATAAATCTAATTCAAATGAAGCGCAATTATTCTATAATCTGAATTATATGGGCACAGATAATAATCCATAATAATGAGCAAACAGAATGCTAGTGTCAGACGACTGGAATAATCTATGCTAATAATTCTAATGACACATTTATTGATACAGCCTTTGACGCTTTTATCATCATGAAAATTGAAGACAAATTTATCGGGGTTTTCTTAAATTGATGCTCTTTCTTTATGGCATATTAATTGGTCTTTCAAAGACTTTATTTAACTTTTAACATTGCTGAAAACAACTTTCGTAGCAGACACAAGTAATTGTATGGCTTAAAATTCCACAATCCCAACTATAGCTTCTTTGGCCGAAAAACCGATCTCTTGACTGGTTTTTTCATTCTTTAAATGCTTTTAGAATAATTCCCAATTTCTTTTTCTTAGAATCTTAGTGAAACTTTTTATAGGCAACAAATCTGTTTATAACTTATACTTTAGTTGTTTGCATTCTTATGAAGTAGCCTTGAATTGTTGACATTATTGTCTATCACTAGAGTCTTAAAAGCTCCAACGTTTAAGTTTTAAAGCCATTTTTTCTTTGAATTTTTCGGGAATAGCCACAAATGGATGAACTCTCTTTGTTTATTTTTTGTTTAGTCAGGTATTTTCCAGTTTTATTTGCAAAATATTGATGTGCTTTACTTTGATAAGAAATCTATTTTTAGCATTTTTAATGAATGCTTCAGCATTTTTAAATTATAATTCATTTTGCTAGGCATCATATTTTTTCTTTTGCAGCCACAAGTTACTAATTATTTTAGACATCTATAAAATTCAAATTACAAATGTTCAATTTCAATTTAATACACTATAATGTTTAAGCATAAACATAAAACAAAGTTGATATTTTTTTTAGAAAATTAATGTATATATAACAATAATTTAATCCTTTTTAGTACAAGTTGAATATTACTTTTCCATATTTTAATACTATAGTTATGATACGGATTAAACTCAATACTTATTTGTAGCTGCATTTCGTAAATTTTAGCGTTATTGTTGTAGATATATTTCGATGTTTTCTTACTATAAAAAAGCAAACCTAAAACAAAGTTGATTCGCTAAGAGTAAGATAAAATGTCTCTGATGCGTATAGACGAAAAGACGGAAATGTCTTTATATTGACGCAGCGATGTTAATGAATATGTTAAACATTCTCATGCTACACGTCTATAGAATTTTAATAGATCTAAGCTACTTTTTCTACTATATAATTGGTAACTAAAGTAATAACTCATTTCATAGTTCGTTTTGTTTCATATTATTTCATATGCTGCAATAGCTTTTAAGCTGATCGATATAATAATCCACATAGCTGGTTTTAGCTTGCATTTTCTGAAACACATTCATATTGTAGTCATTAATGTAGTCATTAAAGCGATTGCCGCAATGCTCTATTATTTCAGAAAATAATGAACAAAATTCAGCTGGTACAGTTCAGCTGTAGCTCTAAATTTCATTTTCAATACATAATTGTAGTATTTTATGGGAAAGACAGAAACAGCTGTTTACATATAAAATTATTAAAAGCAAACAAATACAATTTCAGCGCGTCTCCAAAGTGCAATGTCCAAATTTTAAAAGTGACCAGAAATATTTTTATATGCAAATTATTGACATTTTTAAACGAAATTAATGTCAACAACCTGCAGTGTTGGCGAAAATGTTGAACATAGTGATGATTGAATAAATATATGAAAATATTTTCAACTTTGCGAACAATGTAGGGCTCTTATAAGGTCATTGAAGCCGCGGCTCTATGCTATGCTCGCAAGCTGGTTCACCTTCACAAACGTTCGTTTGTTAACCACATGAGGTGGGGGATGGCATTAAAGCCGTCTAATTACTTTATGTTGCAGCTTCGGAAAGTTGGCAAAGTCAGTTAATGTGCTCGACATTGCCTTTTATGGCCAGGTAATGCCATGCCAACTGTTTCATTGGGCATATAATGTGTATCTATTTTCATTTTTATGGCAAATCGTTACGAATCGAATCGATTGGCCGACAACAGACGGTCTGTCTCACAAAGTTATTTCCAAAGTTCTATTGAATGAAAATATTTACGCAGTTGTGCGACAGCTAGTGGGACAAATACACAACTAGACTATATATAATGTATGCCACATATCAGCTAAATACGTGTGTTATCACAATAATAACAACAACCTGCATATACACATATGAATAAAAATGCGTGCGACACTCACGTATCTTTTCTGCTGAAGTACTCATAAATTGTAACAATATTTTTAATAAATATACAACCCCGTTGTTTTATATTGTGGGCTCAGTATTTAATTGCCTAGCTCACTTCCATGAACTCTTCGCTGCCAAATTTCAAATTCATAACAAAGCCAGCCAATGATTTGTCCTTCAAATATTATTATACGCTTCACAAAGAGAGCCTAACTGATTTGATACGATAGTTGGCAGGCGAATAGAAACATGAAATGTTTTCAATGAAATTTATACATTTCCTAAAATAATTCCAAGAATTCAATAAAATATTATAAAATCTATTTTTCTAAATAAGTTATATACCACAATATTGAAGTAGATTAGACAGGCAAATAACAAAATAATAATAAAAATAGATTTTTTCTTTGTTTTGCATGTGTTAAAAAATTTGGTGAAATGCCAAATTCAGTTGTTTTAAAAATTGAGTTTTTAATATAATAATGCGCAACAAAAAAGTCATTGTTAGCGTGGATAGAGAGCGTAGCAATCATGTCATCAGGTGAGTTTTGAAACTTAAGGCTAATTAAATAGTTAATTTTAAACGTCGATTCTCTTTTTCCATTATGCGGTACAATTTCTAGAGCTTTAATAAAAATATAATGTTTTGAATTAACAAAACCATAATCTCAAAATATACCTCAAAAATAAGTACACTTTTAATCTTGGAAAACAAAAGTGATTCTCAGCGTTTTTGTCAAGAATACATATGTACATACTCGTATATGTACATTATTTACTGAAATACTTGAGTCGCTGGTTAAGATTAAATATTTTCTACGAGACATGTATTTATATTGTTTTGTTTAAGGAAATGCGTTGCAAAATTTGTTAGCTTTATAAATATATCAGCTTTTTGAAGTCTCAACCAATTTACTGACATTTGCCGCATACATATATAAATTTAATTATAGACATTTTTTGCAAAATTGTTGCCTTCAACAACAAAGAACAACTTTAAACCTAGCAATTCTCATTCGCTTTTTCCCAATAGCGCTAATACTAATTGTTACTTTTCGCTGATAACAAATCAAGTGTGAGATTATCCCATTGTTATTATATGTACATATGTAGAATTTGTACAGACGTTAGAAATAGTGGCATAATAAATACTTAAATAGCGTGAAATTAAATAAATAAAGCCAATTGGCTTGGCAACCGACTGACACACAACAGAGCGCCAAAGCGCTATAAGTTGGGCCTTTGGCCGGTTTTTCACGCTCTTCTTCAAAGCTTGAAGGTACACCTGCAAGCGAGCTATTAAGTTATTATTAAATGGCGCATATTTTCGATTTTGTTAGTTGTAATTCGTTAAAATACATCAGTTAAAAAAAGTACACATACTTGTGGTAATGGCGGCAAAAATGCGGCTGTTTCTTAACTTAAAAATGTGCAGGTGCAAAAAATTAAAACAACAAAATAGTTGCTATTATTGTTGGCGTCTGACGACTAATATTATATCACAAGAAGCACGAAACAAAACTCAGCACGCAACACACAACACACAGCAGAGAACAACTCTTCTAAATTATATCAAATGCATTATGCATATACATACATATGTATGTATGTATGTATATGTATTCGTATTCTTTTATATTACGCTGACGTTTGACCACGCCAGCTTTCCGATTGCCAACGTCAACTCTTCTTTGCGGTTTGTTGCAAGTTAATTTTTCAATCAATCAAACGAATCGAGCAATTTACAATGTCTGCGGCACAGCACGATAAACGCGATATGTTTGTTTTGTTTTTATTGTTAATTGTTCTTCGCAAACACAATATTGTGGTTTTTGCTTCTTCTTTTTATTATTATTTTCTTTCACTACGCGCACCAGGTGCTTTCTTTCACGCTCGCTCACACACACACACACTCACACACCGCCGCTGACGTACTTTTATTGGACAGGCTCTAATCGTACGATGTGGCAACTCCAAAACAGCTGATTGGCAAAACCAAAAGCTAACACCGATTATTTTCTCGGTGCTATTTAAACAAACCGTTGCGCGCGCCTTCTCTGAAGCACAACTGCGGAGTGACTGAGCTGGGCATTCTCGTCCGCTATATATTTGAATCATTCGTCGTTACTCTCATTGGCCAGTGAGTGTTATTAACTGATAGCGTCTGAAACTTTAAGAGCGACCAGACATGTATGTGTGTACACACACACGCATATGGTAAGTGCTACTATTGTCTGATAGGGGATTTTCTGATAATGTCAATGTTCTTATATACATAAACACATATGTATGAACATATCTGGCTAGTAAACTGATACTGAAAAGCAGGATAGGGCTTACAATTTTGAAACCAAAGGGACTTACATACATTCTACTACCTTGCTACCTTCATCTTTTTAAAATTCAGATTCTCTTTTAACACAAAGAGAACATTCATTCTCTTACTTTCGCACTCTTAGGAAGTCCATAAATGTGTAATTACAAGTATAATCATTTGACAGCCAATTGATGTTTAGAATGCACGTTTGGCAGAACACGCACCTGTTATCATAACACCACGAAAAACGTGGCCGACAACTGCAGATAGTTCGGCTAAGCATTTAAATTTTTTGACACTTCTTTTCATTTCTGATCATTTTCGTTTACGATAAAACCGCATAAAAGATATGGCTTTGCAAACTGTCAATCAGGGCCGACTTATTTTCCACTGATAAGCACAAAAGGAGACCGCCCATGTATTTATTCAGTCTTACACATTTTTAATGAGTAGAATTACAGATTTTCTATGTATTCATACACATGTATAGTATATTTTGCAGCAACCGTTTTTTTTCTTTGTTCTCTGCAAATGCACAATTTGAATAAATGAAATGATTCATGAGCATAAATGAATGCATGTATGAAATATACACATATTTACATGTGTATGTATGCATACACTTGTTGTAATTGAACGTCTTGTCCTTGTGTATGTGTGTGCGAACATTCACATAACTGTAAATCTTCCGGCTTTGCATTCGCTTGACCGGCCTAAAAGCTGATAAGAAATGATGCGGACGCGCAAACACATTAATATGTAACTAAGGGCGGGGGATCATATTAAAGGATGACGAATGATTCATATACAGGCAGATAACAGTTATCTTATCATATCAAAGAGAAAGATATTTACTACATCATCCTTAAGATAAGAAGCCAAGTTCAACAAAATTTGAGGTTACGTTACAAAGTTCCAAAGTTGGGTAATAATTTATCTCTAATTTAAATGTTCACAAACAAATCGTCATATATTCCATATGTATGTATATATGTTTTATTTATATTTCTATTTAGCAAAAAGCAGACTTTTTCTTGTGACCGTCTTCAAACATTTTACCTGACGCGGCTAGCAAAACATTTATAAACTTTATTGAGTTATGTAAAGAGCAAAACATTATAAAATTGCAATTTTTCTTAACAACAATTATAATCAAAGACGACCCAAAACATATACAATTAGATAAAAAATTTCCACAAAGTGTTAGAGTAAGAAACATAAATAGTTTAGCATATTTTTTAAAAAAAATATGCGAAAAAATACAAAGAATGTAATACAGTTTTTCAAAAGAGAAATCAATGAAATGGAATTATTATATGCATGCGTCTGTGAGTCTAAATGTAACAAATTTTACATAATACAGTAATAATGTCAATGGTTCGTTGTAAATACATAAAGGTAGTGAAATTAAATGAATATTATTGTTATAATTAAAATAGTAAATAGAGTGGGTTTTTGTTCTATTTTTAAATTTCAAACGGAAGCATTTTGTTGTGGGCATCGAAAAATATTGCAATTTGGCAGCCAGAATTGTTTTCAAATATTTATGAATTTTGATTCACAACCTGAACATAGTTCGCCGGAAAGAGGCCATAACGATTCTTGCAGAGTCCACGCCACCAGCCCTCATCAATCATCTCGATATGCGTGACAGTATCGTCAGGATCAAAGGATATTTCATCATCGTCCGCTGCCTGATAATCATACAAAGCGATCGCATGCAAGCCCGTGTCCTCCAAATAGTCGGCCAGATTATCTGAATTGGCTAACATGGCTTCCTCGGATCCAGCAGTTGAGGGAGTCGCGGCAGCCGTGCCATTGGCAGCTGCAGCTTTCACTTCGGCTTGATTCTGATAGAGAGGCTCCGGATCGGGTTCTGTCACAGCCACAGGCACAGAAACTGGCCTTTCTATTGGTGTTGGCTCGACAGCGGCATGCACCGGCGATGTTTCGTTTGATGAAGTTGGCGGCGTGGCAACTGTTTCCACTTCGATTTGTGGCACAACATCCGGTGGCGGTGCGCTGACTTTTGGCTGAGGCGGCTCAACTGTCTCTGCGACTGCAATGGGCGTTGGCGGAGGCGTAGCGGGCTCTGCTGGCTGCGGCACTGCCTCCTTGGGTATGATAATGGGCTCCTTGCGTGCCGGTGGCGTATCTGTTGTGGGTGATTGCATTTGATTGAAGGCGCTTATGGCGTTTCCAATGCCACCAGCGCGTCCTGTTTGTATGGCCGTGCGAGTGCCTTTGGCTGGCGCCTCATCCGAGGGGGTGCGTGGTGTGTTCTCTACAACAGTTTTCTTGGCCGCCTCCTCCCGGTCGCGCTTGTCCTTCGCCTCACGCAGACGTTTTTGTTCGTCGGCTCGTTTACGTGACTCCTCCTCGGAGTTCTTTGCCAGATTCTCAAACTTTGCTCGCAGATTCGAGGGCTTCGCGCCCTCAATGTTGGGCTTCACTTTGGTGTAGCTGGTGCCCACCTGTTGCTTGCCGCTGTCATCGTAGCCTGTGGCCGATTTATCCATGCGATCTTTTTGAACGCCAAATTTTCCGCCAAATCCGACCTTGTGATCCAACTGGCTTTCGTGCTTCTGTGGCGCCTCTATGTGGTCCCAGCCGACCGCCGATTTATCCTTACGATCTTCCTGCACGCCAAATTTACCGCCAAAGCCCTTCGAATAGTCTGTGCATATTTAAAACTTACTTTTACAAATCTTTTACATTTAAATAGTGTTTATTAATTTACCCTTTTGTGACTCGTGCTTCTCCACCTTTTCTACATGATCCCAACCTACTGCTGATTTGTCCACACGATCGGATTGCACGCCGAATTTGCCACCAAAGCCTGTGGCATAATCCTTTTGTGATGCATGCTTCTCCACCTTCTCCACATGATCCCAGCCGGCAGCGGACTTATCTACACGATCGGATTGCACGCCAAATTTGCCACCAAAACCTTCGCTGTAATCCTTCTGTGAGGCATGCTTCTCAACCTTTCCTTGGTAGTCGTGGCCCATTGCCGACTTATCCATACGATCCTTCTCCACACCGAACTTACCACCATAGCCATAGCCGGCATTTTGATCTTTCAGCAGTTGTTTCTTTTTGTTCAAATCGGCCTTCTCCGTCTCTTCGCGCAACTTGTCCATACTTTAAGGGCAATGCATTATGCAGACGTCAGTAAACAATGAAATGATTAATGCTGAATGAATGACTCACTCAATGGCCCCAGCTGTGCGGCCACTGCCTTCAATGGTCTTCGATCCCCACCGCTGCTCCTGCTCGCTAACATCATTTATGAAGTCCGGGTCGGTTTCCCAATCATCGTCGTCAGCAGTGGTCGCCTGTATTAGATGTCCTGCTGAAGCCTTCCACATTGCTTATCCTTATCTGCGTTTTTCGTTATATCGGAAGAAGAAAAGAAAAAGCAGGTTACTATCATGCTTACTCTTTATCTCTCGAAAGTTACGGATAAGGCATTCTGACTAATCGAAGAGGTTTGTAATGCGTGGCATTTTGGGCTATTGATTGTATATTTTTAAAATGGATAGTTTAAACATTTAAGAAAATTTGACAGTTTACTTAATTGTTAAGCATTAAATATCACCACAAAGGGTATTCAAGTTTGAAATCACTATTCATTCTTTTTTATTATTCATGTTAGAGTATTGAGCTTCCACTCTAACGTTACGGTTTTCTTGGCTTGCAAACAGAGATAAACAAGGGAGGGGCCAATCTACTGATTGCGGCTGTTCTGTCACACTTACGGGTTCGTAAAGTCTAATGAATGCGACCACTTATTGAAAAAAATCAATATTCTTTGATCGATGAGTTATTATTACAAATGAATTAACAATTTAATAACAAATAGCGAACCAAACGCGACTAATTCGGCGTAGAGCTGGGAAACTACCGACAATTCTATGCAATCTATCGATTATTTTACATTATCGACCCGTAATCGATATGAATATAAGAGTGCAACGACTAGTGTTGCAAAGCGGTACCCGCTTTTTCCATTTTTGAATTCAAACATTCATTCAACAATTTGAATTAACAACATCTTATAATCATCTTACGCATTTAATTTATTATTTTGTCTGACGAAGTGCATTTACAAATATTTAAATTTCGAATAAAAGCCTGCAAATCTTAGATTGATTCTGTAAATTTGTATTCTTTTTGAATATTACTTATTATATATATATATATATATATTTTTTTTTTTTTAAATTGGTAATTCGAGTTAGCATGCCTGAACAATTGAATTTAGGTATATCTTCTAAATACGAATATAATATTTAATCAAAGATTCAAAACAAAATTGAAAAATTTGTAATACTTATGTGTTTTGTAAATATTTACATTTTTTTCACACACATGTGTTTCTACAAACGTACATACATATAATATGTATTACATTTCCATGCCACTCAGCATCTTGAACTGCTCTCAGTAGCGCTATGATTCATAGGCCACATAGTCTCTTTGATGCCAAAAGTTGTAAAAATCTGACTCAGTTGCACTAATTGCGCATTATAGAGTAATGCCTTTGTGTACTGCGCAAAGACAAGTTGTGTGTGTCAACGAGGACTATAACGAAACAAAGATATTCTAGAAATTTGTAATTCCTGGTGGTTTCAAAAGTTTTGAATAAGCGTCGTAAACTCATAATATTATGACGCAACGTTATTGAGTTACTTGCTCTCGCGCCCACCTGCTAAATTAGGGCTGACAAGTGGTGGTTCCGAAAGCACTAATTGGCAACTAGCATTTAGCTTATTTTGTAATTAATGAAAATTTGTTTTTACGACTTTGAATTGTTGATGCAATTCATATAGTAAAAAGGCATATTAATTTATTTTAAACAATATCTGAATATTTATTTTTTCGATTCAATTTGTTGATATCAGTGGGCAATACAAGTAGTTCAAATTTAGTGCAGTTCTATGTGGGAGGGAAAAGTCCTTCATAAAATTCGAGAACTTCGCTCAATTAAAAAAAAAAATGTCTCTATGTTTAGTTTTGAGAACTTTAAGCGGCAGCTCTGCAGCTCTCACGCCCTGGTAAAGCTACAGCTCCCCTCCATGGTATTTCTCTCATGTTTACGCTCTTTTGGATCCGAATACACCGGCTTTCTTACAGCAGAGAGCAACGGCCTATATATAAATGGAATGTTCAGTCGCCAATTTGTTCAGTATTTATTCACATCGCAAAGAGTGCGCTACGCTTGTTGGTACGTGCAGTGAGAGAATATCGGTTGGTAAATTTAAAAAAAAAGAAACAAAAAAAATTTCACTCTATCTCAACATTGTTTGTTTTTACTGTGTGTTTTGCATATTTATATATTATATACATACGTATTGTACATAACCGTATCTGTATGCCCAAGCAATAACAATTCCGAGTGCAAGAAAAATAAAACAAAAGTGCAAAAAAAAGTGTCCTAAAAAGAAATAAATTTTTTACAATGCCATGGCGTACATTTTGGGCGCGGCTGAAAGACGTGGCGCATAGTTTTATTAACATACATATGTACCATATATACAAGTGTATATGTATGTATGTATGTATATGTTATTTCAATGTTTTCTTAACAAACGTTTTGGCCTATTGAGAACACTAGAACTGTTTAGCAGAAGCACCAAAAGATGACATCATCAAACTGAAGCTGTGTCGGTGCCACACAAAATTGTTGTTGTTTTATTCCTCATCTAAAATGTGCGCTCTCTTGCCGCTTGCTCTCAGTTCGCCCATTGCTGTTATTCTAGTCATTCGCAGACTCGTGTGACTATCTACAAAAGTTTTCAACTTGAAAGAATTGAAAAATATTAAATTGCTCCCATTTTCCCCAGTTTTGAGTGGCTTCAATTTGATCTACTTATGCCGATCCTATTTATGAAGTAGATACATATATATATGTATATACATACATATGTATACACAGTTGCGCCAATCAACACAATTATCAGTGATTCTATAGCTAAACGGCACTAATCTGTTACACAGATGTGTATACATATGTATATCTCCACTGCAAGTTGCTGTTTCCGCCCTTTGTATTGCACTATATTCGTGGATATTCGTGTTACTTGACCACATTCCACTTATTTACTATATCTACTTTTTTTTTATAAATATACGTACATACATACATACATACTGGCATGAATGTATGTACATGTTTTAGAAAACTAATTGCATGCACGCTTTTATTAGGTGCGTCATCAAGGTTTATTACTGCTGTTAACTTGACTTTACTTAAAAAAGTAGTGGCAAGTACAGTCTACGCTTGTTTAAAAAGCGTGGCAACAGCTTCAGAAGTTTTAATAAACAAATTATATTTCTGTTTTTATTTCCCTCATGCTATTAATATGTATTGAGTTTTATGTACGTACATACATATGTTTCTAAAGCTCTAACTTATTCACACATTTCTCATCACAGTCACGAGTCTTAATTTCAGTGGATTTGTGTGGTTTAATATTTTTAGACAAAGTTTGTGAAGTTACAACAAATCTGCTAATTAAAAGAAAATCTGCGAAGCAAATCACTCAATTACTATGAATTTCTAGAGAAGGTCCCATTAAGCTCAGTCCTCTCTCTCTCTCTCTCTCTCTTGCTCTCTTTATCTATCTATCTAAGTCTCTCAAGCATAGCTGCGTCACCATTCAAGTCACGCTTCTAAGCCCCTCTTATTGACGTCACAGTTGTCAGCTCATTACAATTATGATTCATGTGGAATGAGTCTTGCATATGAATCCAAAATATTTGCGTTATTTGTTGTAAATCTATTTTTAAATGCAGCATCAGGCGTGGAAAAATTCAGCCCTTTTCTGTCTTTCCATTTTCAAAAGTTCTTTATGGTCTAACAATTTTCAAAAAAAAAAGCTACTCAGACGAACTGGTTTTGGCGGCAGTCACAAGAGTCGAGTTTTGGTAACATGTTTGTTGTTTCTTTCATACCTAGCCTGTTCGTTTGTTTATGGCCAACACGCAGAGGCGTTTTAGTTGCCGTCTTTCTTATTTGGAACACCGCCACGTCATGTTTTTTTAAATGTTTTTTTTTTTTTCAATGTGCTGTGTTGACTTTCTACTTTGGCGGCAACAGAAATTGAGGATGGGCCTGCCAGACATTCATTCTATGAAGGGTCATTTATCAGAGAGCGACTTAGACTCCATTCAATTGTGATATTATATGGGCTTAGCGACATTTCCCAAAGTGTTTTCTCCCACATAACAACATGAGCTCATCAAATTAGTTACCTTCTCTGCCTTTCTCCGCCTCGTCTTGTGCTTCTACTTCGGTTTCTAGTTGGAAAACCGTTTTAACACGCATACGCAGCGTCGCCTGCGCCCTCTAGCGTCGCGCACCCACACAACGAACGCCCTGCTTATCATTTTTTATGTAAACGCCTACAACTGTAACGGTTATTGGCCCAGCCCCAGAGAGCAGGCATGCTCTGTCAAAAAACTTTCACTATTCGACATGCCGTTGAACTATGGCACTAAAACAGCTGCTTAGAGTTAACTAAATTCTCATTTTTGGTCTGTAAACAAACAGTAACTGGTAGCTCCGATAAACAAAATCAAAAAATCAATGGGCAGCGCCTAAGCGGCTGCGTCGCCCAATTCAATGGCGCCACAAATACTACCACCATGCGTAATCTCTCCGCTATGCGACAACTGGCCTTTTCATAGTACGGACATACATACCTAGTTGTACATATGTATGTACATTTATACATACTCTACTCTCGAAATTTGTTTAGCTGATGATGTCATCCAGCCGGCAGGCTCATAAATACATATGTACATACATACATACATACAAGTGTGTTGCCATAGTAATGAGTTTGTTGGCTGGCCTTGTTGCGGGTTAATTTAAAAGCACTACGCAACCTTTTTCTGTAATAATCACATCAAATTATTCATCGTTTTTTAATTATATTTCCCACTCTGCTTCTTACAGATTTACAGATTTAACAACAACTACAAACCTAAACAACAAACAAAATGAGTTCCGCCGAGTACTATCCATTCAAGGTGAGTGTTTCTTGAACAATGCACTTTATTTCGACAATATTATTGTACGTACTACATTAATTATGGTTAATAGCTGGACGAGCTATTAAAATTCGTGTCTAATTGGCTTTAATCAAATGTATTTAACCTTTTCATCTATATATTGTACAAGCATATAGTATACACCGATATACGTAGTCTTATCTTATCACGCTGCTCAAACAAACCGAAAACAGCCGCGTTAGATTAGATGAAGAAATAACAAATATTAATAGGGGTGGGTAGGATTTGTGAAAACACATGCTATATTATCTTTTATACATATCTAGAAAAAAACTTAATTTAATGCTTTTTAAACCTTTGTGGACTAAGGAGTCATACTTTACTATAACATTTGCTTGTATACTTTCTTTGATATCTCAGAGATTAGCAAAGATCGAAAGCGATGAGACTGTACCAGTTGCTTAAGAAGCGTTCCCAATAGATCCCGGATACACAAAATTCTAATAAATATTTATCAAACAAGCATGCACTAATTGTGCCTTTTCAAGAACTCTTAAAACTGACTTTCAGTAACATTAAATCAGAAATATTTATTACCTTTTAGTAAAAGTAAAAACTCTCCAATTTGAGAACATTATTTTTTTAATTTCAAAAAAAAATTCAAATCTATTTTTTTCATTATATTTTTCCATAAAAGGTAGCTCCATTCACACTTTAGTTTAGTTATAAGGGTATATACAATGTGTATGAGCTGTCAGTTTTTCTAGGGCTTTGCGAGTGTCAAAAGTAAGCTCTTATATTAAATAAAATACTTAGAATGTCTTGCAACAATACAAATAAATAAAGTTTCTTATCATGACATTGTAAAACTTCTTTGCCACAAAATGGAAACAGAGCTGTTTCTTCTTGACATCAAAAATTATTTTGTTTTACACTTCATGACATAATATCTTAGGAAGAATAATACACTTGAATTAATAAATTAGACAGTTATAAATGAAAATAGTGTAGAAGAGGGTTGCTGGTGTAGAAAATTAGAGTTCCGTTTAAAATAAATATCTGGACCTTACGAACGCTCCCGAAAAACTAAAACCTAACGAGCCTATTGAAAGATTCTCTTTATCTACAAAAATTTATTAAATGAATAAATGTTTTCAAAAGCATTTAGATGCATACAAGAAATTAATTCTCTTGAGAACAGTGATTCAACTTTTATGAAAAGGTATTATTCTGAGCCAGTAATCTTAAAAATGTTGACCATTCATGCACTCTTTAAAATTCAAACCGAGTGCATAATGACTAATAGGGCCGCTATAGAAAGAGGTTTTATTTAGAAATGAAACGGTGGGTGAATTCTGAGAAGAATGAACTCAAATGGGTGGGGTTGTGTGAGTAGTACGTGATTGGAAGAAAATAAATAAATAACTTAGTCACAATAATGCAGTTACTGAACGATTCCCTTCTCGATTTGTTTCAACCGTATAGTGCACTCCCACTGTCTACCCCGCGGATCCCTTCGATCCCGTCGAGGATGCTGCCATTCTGCGTAAAGCCATGAAGGGCTTTGGCACCGACGAGAAGGCCATCATTGAGATCTTGGCCCGTCGCGGCATTGTACAGCGTCTGGAAATCGCTGAGGCCTTCAAGACTGCCTACGGCAAGGATTTGATTTCGGATCTGAAGTCCGAATTGGGTGGAAAATTCGAGGATGTGATTGTGGCTCTGATGACACCACTGCCCCAGTTCTATGCCCAAGAGCTTCACGACGCCATATCTGGTCTGGGCACCGATGAGGAGGCCATCATTGAGATACTCTGCACATTGTCGAACTATGGCATCAAGACGATCGCACAGTTCTACGAGCAGAGCTTTGGCAAGTCCTTGGAATCGGACCTGAAGGGCGATACCAGCGGTCACTTTAAGCGTCTCTGCGTTTCGCTGGTGCAGGGCAATCGTGATGAGAACCAGGGCGTGGATGAGGCCGCTGCCATTGCTGATGCGCAGGCGCTGCACGATGCCGGCGAGGGCCAGTGGGGCACTGATGAGTCCACCTTCAACTCCATCCTGATCACACGCTCCTACCAGCAGCTGCGTCAGATCTTCCTCGAGTATGAGAATCTAGCGGGCAACGACATCGAGAAGGCCATCAAGCGTGAGTTTAGTGGCGCCGTCGAGAAGGGATTCCTGGCCATTGGTAAGTAAACTAAATTCACGAAACTTAGACAGATTGTTACACCCTGTACCTGGAAGTTGTCATGTCCGTCTCTGCGTTTTCTCGTCTATCACTTTGTCCGTCTGTATGAACCTCGATCATTTTTGAACTATAACTGCTATGGACACCAAACTTGACACGCAGACTTGTCGTATACATATGCAGATCAAGTTTAAACAAATCATATATAAGGTCATTATTTGATATAGCTGCCAGTGAACTGATCTGTGCAATTATCGCTCTATTTAGAACACATGACTCTTTTGCGTATAAAAAAAATTGTGTATTTAGAATTCCTGCAGTATATTGTAAAGTTTTATCAAAATCGGTACGATTGGTGTAACAACGATTACTTAAAGGACTGCGGCGGATACAGGGTATTCATAAGACATTCTCGCGTGACTTTAAACTTCGGCTCGATTTCTAATTCTCATCCCAATTCCACAGTCAAGTGCTGCAAGTCGAAGGTTGACTATTTCGCCGAACGCTTGCACGACTCGATGGCCGGTATGGGCACCAAGGATAAGACTTTGATTCGCATCTGTGTGAGCCGCTCTGAAATTGATTTGGGCGATATTAAGGAAGCATTCCAAAACAAGTATGGCAAGAGCCTGGAATCTTGGATCAAGGTAAATATTGTTTTATCTCATATTGGGGGCATGTGATGGTGTTGGTGCACAAAAACTTTATACTACATAGCATTCACAATTTAATACAAGTAGAACACATTCCAATACCTGCACGCCTAGTGAAGTTTTTTTTTGTCTCTATATGTGCCTAGTATTATTAAAATACGTTGCTTACAAAGCTTTTGGACGAAGCTTTAATTTTAAGTAAAACTTCAGTTGATACAAAAACTTTAAGCTTAAATAGCGTTGCCACATTGAATTTAATACTCAGTCTGAATCCTACTCGCCATTTTCAAAAATCAATATTAATAATCATTATCATACTATAAATATTTCATTGTTGTGCATAAAACATTAAAACTTGCCATATTCTATATTTTTAGGGCGATACATCTGGCGATTATAAGCGTGCCCTATTGGCTATTGTTGGATTCTAAAAGAACTCTCAAGCACATGAAATTCCTTACAAAACCAACAATGCTATGTCACTGTCGTCTGTTCAATGCCTTAAGCCATTCATACCTATTGTTATATTGTACAAAATCCAACTATCGAATAGTTTACGACTATATATATATTTTATATCTACTATATGAACTAATTCAAAACTCTGGAACATGTTTACAAGCAACGCAGTGCATTTAAGGCCGTACATCATGTTTATTATTATACAAATAATGCACACACATGCACATAATTTTATCTATACATAAACAATTTTATGTATATAACGTTTAGCTATATATGTATTGTATAATTGAAATGCTTAAACGTATGTTATGTTTCTCATTTGTTTGTTCTCATTTGAATGAATTTAAGGCGCAAAATTTTACAATTGTTAGTAGAAGATAAAAACGCAAAAATAAAAGAAAAAATAAATTTAAAAAACAATTTGCGCCATTAATAATTTTGAAGCTTTTGCTATTTTCTGTAAAGCTGGTAGCTCTAAGATGCACAGAAGGCTTAACAGACATGCGCATGTCACTAACAGAGCCCTGTTAGCCATTTAACAGTAACTAACATGGGCCAGTGGTATTATGTAAGCTCTCATTCCCGCACTGTGCTTTACAACAACAGCAACTACTACCATACTACTAGTACAAGCAAAAAAATGTATACAAATTAACAATTCTTTTGAAACGCTCTCTTTACGCTTTATTTCTCTGACACACACACACCCAACCCACACAAACGCACGAAACGCAGGAGGATTCGGGCTCTGAGATCGGATATTTGCTTGTGGTAGTCGTCGCTTGGTAAAGCGCCGCCCCGCGCTCCCCGAAAACTGCAATAGAAAATGCCAAAAAGTTGCATTTCGAAGACAACAGTTAATAAATACAAAAAAGAAACGAATTCAAACTGTCAAAAAAGCAATATTTTTTAAATAATCTATGTTGTGATGCACAAAAGTGAACATTTCCCTTGGATATCAATTATTATTTCTCAAACGTCTAACGTCTGAATCATAAATTTAGTTTTGCGAAATTATTTATTTTAAAATATATATTATTTTATATTATTATTTGTATACATTTTTATAGCTTGCTTGTATGGCGTCGTAGTACTTGAAATGAGATTTTTTATAACAAATAAAGTTTTTCGCTCGAACCCAATGCCAAGATTTGCTGACTTTAAAAATAATTTAAAAAAAATACAAATTCGATTATTTCATTTACAGGACGACTTATCGGGCGATTACAGCTACGTGCTGCAGTGTCTGGCTTCTTACTAAAAAGATCAATTTCGATATATTTTATGCATTACACATTTTGATTGTATTTGTTTGTTTCCTTTTTTATAATACAAAATTATTTACAAAAAAATAATTATAAACCTTGTTATATTTTTAAATGTCTTTTTGCGTTTAAATTGAAAAAACCAAATGAACGAAATATGAAATCAAAAGGTAAGTTATAATTGGTTCTGAAAAAGTCTATAATAATACAAAAATATTTGTATTAAAACTTTTGGTAACCTGAAATATTTAATTTGTTAGTTCTAAATCTTTTGAAATGAGAAAGAGTGAAGAAAATTTGTAGAACAATTATTTTAATTTTTGTAAATGGAATTCAAAAGTAACGTTTTAATTGTTTCTTGGAAAGAACTATTATCATACAAAATTATTTATAGAATAAATATAATTAACAATTTATTTAGTTTCGTTCAAAAATGTGTCCCTTTATTCTGAGCCTAAGTATTTATATTTTCAAAAAATAGAAATTATTTTTCTACTATTATTTTATTTAATTCTTGCGCTTATTTTTAAAAAATTTTGATAAATTGTCTTTTATCTGGTTTTTTTTTTTTAATTTTAAAACAAATAATTTTCTTTAAAAAGTTATAAACTTATTTTAAATTTGTCTTTTTTCCTGTGCTTAATTTTTTTTAGAAATGTTTGTTTGTTTCTTCAAAATTTGTGTCTTTTGCGCTTAACTTAAGAAGTGAATTCAAAACTATTATTATTTATAAAAAATGTTTTGTTTTGTTAACAAATTCTTTTTTTCTACACTTTACTTTAGAAATGAAGCTCTTAGTTTCCTTTTCGTCACGTTCTCGCGCTTAACTGCAGCAAACAACTTTACGCAGAAGTTTTCTATAGCTTTTAATAAAAATATTGTTTATGGAATTCAAGAGGTAAGTTATAGTAGGTGCTTAGTGGTCCTACTTGGCCACACGCTCTGTGTATGCTGTCCAGAGGCGATCGCGATAGGTTTGTGCCGCCTGGGCCACATTCTTGGCCTGCAAAATGCCACGCCCCACCACAGCTATGTCGGCGCCACGTTCCTTGACCACATGCTCGGGGGTTTGGTACTGTTGGCCCAGTTTGTCGACGCTCTCGTCTATCTTGACGCCCGGCGTCAGTTGGATGAGGCCGGGAAAGGCAAAACAATTGGCCGATTGGCAGACGACGCCGGCCACAAAGTCTACATCGCCACCCTCGGTGGCAATCTTATTGCTGGTCTCCTTGTATTTGTCGTCAATTAAATTGCCGCTGGCGGACATTTCGGCCAGCAGGAAGACGCCACGTTCGGCTGCCACATCACCACCGGCAGCATCCTCGCCGCCGAGTGCCGCCTTCAAGCCCTGCAAAATACTCCGACCAGGCAGGGTATGCGCTGTCACCAGATCCGCCCAGCTGCTGATTTTATAGATTCCCTTGCCGTACTGCAAAGACACCGTGTTGCCTATATCGGCAAATTTGCGATCCTCCATCAGCAGGAACTGGTGACGTGCGGCTAAAGCCTTCAAGCTGGCAATGAAGCTCTCGCTGAAGTCCTCGACAATGTCTATATGTGTTTTCAGCAGACAAATGTAGGGACCGCACTTATCAGCGATATCCAAAATTTCATCGCCTTTCGTCAGATCGGCGGCCAAACAAAGATTAGTTCGTTTGCTGGCCATTAGACTGAATAGCCGCCTGGCTACCGCACTCTTGGCCAAATTAGCACGACTCTCGAAAGGTATTTTGGTGCGAACAAAGTCATTGACTGCAATGTTCGAAACGATTAGAACCGGTAGGTGGGCGATAAGAACGTATAGAATGATTTTAAGTACAGGTACATATATGTATAAATACGCATACTATAGCGTAAATCAATATTTTGATTTGTGATTTCTAGACAATCTATAATCTAGAGCGTTTACTTAACTGACCTAACACCGAAACGTGCAGTTGTGACTGACACAACATCAACAAATAAAATATATACAGCGTATAAGCATGGAAGTTATCAACGTCTTACCTAATGGAAGGGGAAGAAGCGGGCTGGTAAGATGAAGCTATATATTAAAGGCATGAATATACCTCGAATTGTTCGTCTGCCCCTCTGTTCGACAGTATGAACATCGACAATTTTTGTGCCTTAGCTGCAAGTAACTCTAAATTTTGTATGTAGACGCGTCTTCAACAATCACATAACTATAAGCTAAATATATATATTATTCAATGATTTATTTAGCTGTCATAGAACAATGGCGTGAGAAAGTCACTTTTACTAGGAGCTATTCCCAAAACTATCTTCATTAATGCCATACTACACTTTAATTAGATTTGGTTTCAAAACAGGTTAAAAAAAGCTGCATAATTTTCTTTTAAAATCAATCAAGAAATGGCAATAAAATTGCTCTCTGGTAATATTATAAGTGCTGATGTAAATGGTGGAATTGTTTCTTCGTTTTTGTAGTATTTATTTCAAATGAAACAAATTTGGTAATTTAGAAGACTTTTAAAAAATTACATACATATATGTATGTACATACTTATGGCCTATACATATCCCTACTTTTTGATAGCATTATATTCAAGACAGCTTCGAGTATGCCGAGGCACTTCGATATAAATAATATGTAGACTAATATAATTGAGATGTTTAATATCTTGAGCTCAGTTGTGTTCTTCTGTGCTTAGTTTTTCCTCTCCAGCAATAACTAATTTAATTAAAATATATAGTAAACTCAATTCTTTCAAACTGCATTTGAAACTGACCAAAAGATATTTATAGATAAGAACTTTATAAAATATTTTGATTAAAAATAAAGGAGCGGGTCCAGAAATTGCATATAATTCAGTTTGGAGTACTAATGAAGCTATCAAAAAATACTTATTATTTATAAACTTTCCCTTATTCGGCCTTTGAAGAACCTGCCTGGCCGGTTTTTCGGGTTGAGCGCTCAAATATGCCACTAAATTTGGAATTTGGAATTAGAGCAAGTAAATATATTCCAGCATTTGGATGGATACCCTCTAATTAACGTTTCGCTATCAGTTGAAACAATAAGCTGTCTGTTAATGAAATGTTTTACCCCTCAAATGACACGTCGTTGGAGCTCGAGTGCAAATCTGCTATATATCACATATTATTATGACCGCTTAACCAAATAAAAACAAATTGCAAAATTTATGACACGACATTAGTCCATAATTGGATATACCGGGCATGCAGACTGGGATTTATGGGTAAAGTGCCCAAACATATACATATGTGTACGTATGTATGTGTACCCGTATGCAGCCATTAATGGCGTGTTATCTAGTTGGTTATTATATACGCACCTCCGACCACATCTGGCTTATCGCCCACAAACGAGCCATCGCTGTTTATCTGTACGGCCGCAATATATTTGGCCACTGCGTCCACCGTGGCCTTCTCGATTCGGCCAGCCTCGCGCAGCGTGTTCAGCAGGAAGGAAAGCGTGAAGAGGGAATGCATACGCACTCCATGCTTGGCTATATTGGCCGATCCGCCCTGCTCCCGATCCACAACAACTACGGCATCGGTGACCACAATACCCTCGCTCTCCAGATCCCGCACCGTATCCAATATGCTTGAGCCGGAGGTCACCACATCCTCCACAATAAGGCACGTATCTCCGGCATGATAAATGCCCTCAATGAGCTTCTTCGTGCCATACGCCTTCGCCTCCTTCCTGCGCACCAACATCGGCGTATGCTGCTGCAATGAGACGAGCGTCGCCAGCGGCAGAGCCGTATAAGGGACGCCACAGACATGCTTCGCGCTAAGCTGTTGCTCCTTAATGTGACTAACTAGCAGATCAGCGACAGTTTGCTAAATCAATTCAAATGGATTGATTGCCAATTAATTTAATATTCACACATACACTAACGTACACTCACCATCACATCCGGATAACTGACAATAACGCGCAAATCAAAGTACACCGGCGAATTAATGCCCACCTTCATCTTAAAGTCGCCAAATTTAAATGCATTGATTTCGAAGAGCTTGACTGCCAGCGCCTTCATTTCATCGTTGTTTTGAGCAACCATTTTAAAATATTAAGGGTTTAGATGATGATATGTAAATCTTATCAATAACAAGCACGTTTATTGCACACGTGTGTTGCCAGCTTTGAAACTTAAAACACAACCGCTTTCGAGCAACTCAAAACAAAAACTGGCTCCACAGCTGGCCATTAGACATGGGCAACCATCTTACGCAGTCCATATATCGATAAGTGTAATTGTATTCGATGGCCTAAACGCAAATCGATATGTTTTTATGATACCGCTCACGCGTATCTGCATTGCACATACCTAAAAGCTCATTGGCAATGCAAGCATAAAAATTAATGCAACTTATTTCTGGCATTTAAAATTAAATCCAAACTCAAACAGAATTTGGAAGGTCAAATTTGGCTTCCTCTAACGATTTCATTTTAAATGTTGCTGTCTGTTTTAATTTAAAATGTTTAAATTTAATAAATACATGAATGCCATCTCATTAGCATTTATTTAATAAAAACATGTTTTTTCCAATTTAAAAAAAAGAAGAATGGAATGCTAACGTCAGATGGCCTCATCTCTTAAATAATAGCCTATACACCCACAAAATGTTGTACAAATTATTTTTAGTTCATTAAAAACAAAAATATTTTTTTTCTTCGTAATTTGAAAATAAAAATTTATATTTTCCAAGCTCCTTCGATACTTGATCAAATTTATTTCATACAAATAAACATCCATATTTCAAGCCCCAGGAAAAATTTCAAAAAACCATCGATACAGTTTTTCTTGAAATTCTGAGAGTATACAAAATAAGTTTGAAGTTGTTTGATTGAAAACGCAGATTTTTCATACAAACTTTGGAGCCTATTTCCCCCCTTTGGAGCTTGAATTTTTTGAATGAGTCAGGACAAACTGTTTTATAGATAAGTAAATATTTTATTTGGATATATGTATATGTGTACCTGATTAAAGTTGTATTGCGATATATATGTGTATACAGGTTATGTTGAATACAGTTCAAAATATATAGTAATTTTGCATAATGACCTCGGGATACATATGTGATCTAGCATATTGTCGTTGAAAGCCGCCAAAAGCCGGTTGACGTTGCAGCGACATCTGCAAGGAGAACCTCTGTGGAGCCATCCAACTTGGCTGAGGTGGATAGTGCTGCTCGTAACGTAATAGTCCGTCCATAGGACAGCTGTCATAACCCGAAGGTGACTGTGGACTTCTAGGAATATATTCATCATATGCTGTCATATCGTTAAGGCTTGTCCAATGTTCTGCATGCGGATACCGCTCTAGGATATGTTTTGTGAAGAAGTCACACTCTTTGCTCTTAACGGCCAAATGAAAGGGAGTATATCCCAATGTTCTTGTTTTAAAACCAGATATATCGAAGTTTTTTTTCTCGCACAATTTCATTAGCCATAAGAAGCTGTTCTTTCTACATTCCTGGATTGCCAAATTAAATGGGGGAAATCCTTCAGCATTATACGTTTGTAGGGCCAGAGCCAATTCCCCTATAGGCAAATGGGTATCCAGCATATTCAATAGATCTATGCACTCCTCACGTACAGCGTGATGCAAAAATGTGTGCCTTTCCAATTGGGTCAGATATTTAATATATTCCTTTGAAATTTGATCGCAGTTGAAGGCTTCTTTGAATTGAAGATACTGCCCAAGTGTAATGGCCTCATGGAATATAGTAGTACACTTTTTTCCAATCCAGTGGGTATATACTGAGTAGAGAGAGAGAGAGAGAGAGAGCGAGCATTATAATAATATTTGTATTTGGACTTAATGGATACTCACCATTACTTATTTTCATGACGTCATTCATCCAAATCATTTTTGTAGTCGTTATAGAGTCAGTTTTTCTCCGCAAATGCTTGCCTATAAGCTTAAGACCATTATGAAGCTCACGGATAATATCTTTAAAATCTAGCGGTAGAAGGCTAGAATTGTTTGATTCCGGGTTGTAAATGTTTTCAGCAGGATAAGGTTCCGAGCCATCACTTTCATGACCACTTTCTCCGTTTGGTTCTTCTTCATCCGTATTGGCCTCTGGAACCCCAACAGGAATCGAAAGGCCTGAACTTATCGGGTCTTCTATAAGCGACATTGGCTGCAAAGCAATATCCGCTGTCTGCTTTATCTTCTTAGTAAGTTTTTTACGTTTCACAGCTGTACATTCAGCATCAGAGTGATCCGATTGAGAATCAGCAGGAGAAATTGGAATCTCAATAGGTTCTGACCCTTCCTTATCATCACTATTGGATTCCATATCTATGACCGTGTTGTCCTTGTTTTTCAAGGGAAGCCGAACATACTTAATCGTCTTTGAGTCAGCCTTGACATTGCCATCGTAAAGTTCCAATTCACAATTAACGTAGTCCTTAGTTGAGGTTCCATCATATTTGGGTGCCTCATAGGTGAGGACGCCATGGCGGCTTTTCAATTTACTCTCTTTAATGGGCTCAATAAGTGCGGACTCCCAATTCCCATGTAGTTCACGAATGCGAATCTGATAGTCTCTAAGGGTATCAGATAGTAATAGGTCTATGTGCATATTTCCATCTATGGCTATCCAGGTATTGCAACATTTGTTTAGTTGGAGTTTTGCGTTTGTATTTAATATGCCGTTAGAGAAAAGTGTTTTGGAAATCTTTTGATACGGGATTGTGTCCATATTTAGAGCTGTAAAAGCCAGATATACCTATAAGAGGGCAGTTATTGCTATTGTGAATACGAGATTTTATTTGTTAGCATCATTATACTCACTGTTTCAACCTTGCTATACTCTTCGGTTGCCAACTCTTTTGTAGGCAACATAACCATATTGTCAGTAAGAAAGTTTTTCATTTGGTCCAAAAGCTTTGGTATATCATCTTTCTTGGTTTTAACAATGCAGTAGTTGATGAGTTGAAATTTATACTCCGACTTCGTTACGTCAGTGTCTATCTCTTCGATGATAGGTTTCAAATTAATAGCAATTTCTGCGCGAGTTCGTTTCCTTTTATTATCTTTATTTTCAACTGGCTGTAGAGCATTAGTGGAAACCAAGTATGTAGGACTTTGTGAGTATGGCTTCACCAATTGCCAAATAATTTGCATTCGCTTGGGTTTGGATACATCTTTCCCAAATGTAACTTCCACTGTCGGCCAACTGTACTCTCTTTCGCCATTCAGCGGGCCCCGTAATCCCTCCTTTGAGTACCGAAAATTATGACGGTTCTTGGGTTGTACCGTAAATTTCGAAAGAGCCGGAGCCATTATTTTTTCTTTTGTGCGCTTCTGATGACCAACTGAATGTGACTAATAATAATTCTATCGCAAATATTGTTGCGACATATCTTTCTTGGTGGTAGACCCAAGCACTCGAACTAATCATTTGTTGGGTGAAGAGAGCACAAATTGAAGAGATCGGACATTTTTCTGATTGTAGGTACGAGCGATTAAAAGTTGAAGGCATTTTCTTGAACTCTTTTACATAGCATTTGGCTCTAATTGACAAATGGATAGGTAATTTTTTTTTACTAGCTTTATTGCATCGAAAAAAGTTGTATGTTTAAATGTTTTAATTTTCTTGCGATAATCACTTCACCGCTTCTTTGTTGTTGCAATTGTGTTGCTCTCTTAGAATTGGCTGACGACGCGAAGTGAGGCACAGAGGATTAACAGCACAGCTTAACAGAGCTACAGTTTAACATCATTTTTAAACAGCGTCATAGCAGAACCGCACTGCTTAACAGAGTTGTACCGCACATTTTAACAGCATAACAGTGAAATACTTTAGCCGCCACAAGAGTTTTCTCATTAGTCACAACAATTAAAAATAAATACAGAATATGTATGTAATTAGTAATACATGTGATTGTTATATTCAAGCCACATTTATATTATCGACTGCATTCTAATTAACTGAAGGTTTTGGAATGTCTAATGAACTGAAAAATGAACACAGTTTCTAAAAATGTAGCAAGTTCGACCTGAAACCGAGAAAATATTGTCTTTACCATTATTACTCACAGATTTTTAGAATATGAGTTTTAATATAAAAAAAACTGTATACCTACCTTACGTGTAATGTTTGATAAATTCACAAATTAGGATCCATATGAAATGATGATTTATATCCACAATAGAAGCATTAACGTAGACAACAATTTTTGTTGGGTGATTATAATTTATTAGAAATTTTATTGACTTAAGATATATAAATAAAATATTATTCAAGTACAAAGTTATATATATAGTCATTTTATATTATGCATTATTATATAATTCAAGATAATACATATACATACATATATGTCGAATTGTGTGTACGTGTCTGTGTTTCTTTCCTTTTAAATGTTAAGTACATTTTACTGTTCTCGTTCGCTAAATGTGTTTCATTTCAAATCTTGCCATGCAACAGCATTTATTATTTATATATTTTTTTATAAGTATTAATTTATACGAATACTCTTGAAATCGTTGAATCACAAACAGTAAAAGTCTTAAACGAATCAAATATGTGTAAAAACAATTCTTCAGTTGATGCTTAAATGAAAAATATGAATTCGTAAAATTTGTTTTGTCATTTTTCTATGATTCTCATGTTTTTCATTTGTTTTTCTTTTTTCTTTTCTTTTATTATTATTTTTTTAATTAGCTCGAAAATACATACATATGCCTAACCTTAATCGAGTTTCGTCACCAACCGCGCGCTTTTTCTGTCTATAACACTCGCTCGTCTTTGTTCAATTTTGTTTTTAAACGCTACGTTGCCTTAACTTCAGTCCTTTCGCAAGAAAACCTAGCCTTAAATCGTATTTAATATTTATTAATTAAGTTTTGTTATTCTTTCAATGCTTGCTGCTGACACTTAACATAAATACAGTACATACAGTTGCCATTTCATTTGTTGTTGTTGTTGTTTTTTTTTGTTTTGTTATTTATTTATATATATAAAAATGATTAATTCATATATATTTATATTTATATATATGTATGTTACGTTTGTATTCTTTTCTTTGCTGCCTGCTAAAAAATTCTTCATTCTTCAATTCATTCACTTCCGCCATACTTCTAACTACAATTCTAACATCATTTTTGGCCGCACACTTCCGCCTATGTTCCATTCATTATTTATCATTATTATTATTATTTGTTTTCAATTTGTAAATAATTATATTTGCTTTAAATTCACTAAAAAGTTACACGGACTGTCTGTTTGCTGTTTGCTTTTTCCAAGTGTCTGCTGTTTTGTTCTTATTTGTATTTAATTGTGTTAAATTTTTTATACCTTCGCTAACCCAATTCATTTGTTAAATATGGAAAAATATTTAATATTATTCATTTGGTTTTGTTTGTTGTTTATGCTCTGCTTTTGTTTTATCTTCACTTTTATTTTTATATAAAATGCCAAAATTTGTGCAAATTTCTAATTGTTTTCGTTATTAAACTTTACTTTTGCTTGCTTTACACTAAAATATTTAACTTTAAAACATTTCCTCTTCCGTCTTCATTTTTTGTTTCTTTTTTTGTTTTTCGTTTCTTTGTTTTAAATTTAGTTTGTTTTTCGTTACATTTCATTTAAAATATTGCATTTTAATTTGTTTTTTTTTTTTGTTTTGTTTTGTTTTTTCATTTGGAGGCTTCATCCCTGAGTGATTTAATTTCCTTTGTTTGTCATTTATTGCATTTTTTGCTTTATAAACTTATTGTTTTATAATTTCTTATACGATTTATAAGTACGAATTAAAAAACAATTGCAAAAAGTAATCTTTTGTGGCTATGAAGGTTGCTTAATTTTTTATATAAACTGTCTGGCCTGACATATAGTTCCTGGAATTTCGGAGCGGGAAGAGGAGTACAATCGTAGCTGCGAGTATACATACCCATTGGATATTACTCCTACTCGTTTCTGCTCGTACTCGGCTCTCTTTGAAAATGTGCTACCCTAGTATGTAGTAACTGTACCTAAATTTGTTTTCTCTTTGTTTCCTTTTTTGGCTAATACTTTTGCGCTTGTTTTGTTGTTGCTGTTGTTGTATTGTGGGTGCTTCTTTTGTTTGTTAAAATATTTGTACTTTAACTGCAAGTATTCGAATTACTTTCTGTACACAAATGTTGCAAACGACGAATCAAATGGAATCGAAGGCATTCGATTCTAGACTATAATTAGTTGGAAATCTATGCATTAATATACACTTGCGTGTGTGTGTGAGAATGTGATGGTGTGTGTATTAGAGTCGATAAGTACAAATGACGATTACATCGAATTTCAAATCAAAATTTCAAATTTAAATAGAAAAGCTGCAAAATTCAGCAATGGGCAAGAAACTGCTAAGAGGTTTTCAACTTTAAACGTCCCTAAATCGATTACATTTATCAAAATAGATGCGACAATATTGGAAAATCTTTAACAGAAGTGAACAATTTCTTTTCAATTTAAAAATTAGTGTTGAATCTTACATACATAAAACTGATTTCGATCACGTTTATCGCATAAGCATACAATATTGTCAACATGGTTAATCTAAATAGGGCTTTAAAATGGCCAATCACGCTTCAATCTAATTGCGATTAAATAATATATAATGTAAATATGCGATCAAGAGAAAAGTTAATAATAATTAACAGTTCAGACTGTTTTGGCTGGCTGTAAATCGTCTTTAAAATGGGAATGCAATTTAATTATTATTTTAGATTTAAAAAAAAAAACAGCTTAATAAGAGCTCTATTATATCCAAATATTAAGAAATCCCAATACAATATCCTTCATGAATCAAAATCATGGATATGAATATTACGGAATCAGTCAGTAAACAAGAAGGAACTAAGCTGTTCAACTATTTTGATCGATAATAACATAGCGATAGGTATTGTTTGATGAATAGCTGAACCGCTGAAAGGAATAATCGTAATTGGCATGACAAATTTGAAAGTAAAACATTTTTGATTGAATTATAATCGCGATCACAGCATGATATCGATAATGAGGCTAGGCATAATTGGATTGCAAATGACTTGACGCTTACACATTTCAAAAATTTAAAGTTAAATATTTGCCAAATCGATCACAATCACAGTGATCAGATCATGATATCGATCGCTGTGATCAATTGACCGATTTAGAGAATATTTAATCCGCTACATGAAATATTTGCAACATTTAAAACTAAAATATTCTCTGATCGCAATCACAGTGTGTTATCGATCCAAAAAAGGAGCGCCTCATCGCGTGTAATATTAATATAATCGCAATTGATTGGAAATGTGTATGAAAGGTGTATTAGAACTGAAAGCTTTTGCGAATATCGCCCATTAGTTTTGGTTGTAGTGATGAGTGGTAAATAATTATTATTTATCGATCGAAATAATGCAAACCGTGGCAACTATTTTGTTTTAAGTGTATGTATATTAGTTTAAGCTTTCGTATAACTATATATATATATATATATATATGTGTATGTATGCATGTATATATGTCTATGTAAATATGCTGCTGGTATCGTAAAACGTATGTATATGGCTTACATTTTCTTCTTCAACTTTTTCGTATTTTGTTTTTGTGTTATCGATAATCTCAAAAAATGCTATTTGATTTGAACAGTAAATTACGTTTTCACTTGCACGAGTGTTTGCACTTTATTTCGGTTATTGTTTTATGCCTTGTTCGTTATATTGGTATGTTTGTCCTTTCTTAGGGGCTTTATGCATCCATCATCATCATTATCATAATCATTATCATTAGCAGCATCATGATGATCATCATCGTATGTGTGTATAAAAATACTTATTGTTTATATAGGTATATTGCAGTTATTGTTGTTGGTTAGCGTTTTGTTTTTTCATTATTTTAGAGCTGCACAAATGATCTGGTAGTTTGCCTATGTTTTATAGTTAGTTTGGCCATATATATATATATAACTATATATATGTATATATATATAGGTATGTATGCTGTACGTTTGTTTAGGTTATATATGTGTGTGTATCTATATATGTTTGTATGCATTGACTGGAAGTGGAAGTTGGGCACGCAAAGAATCAAGTTTGTATTGCATTTCTCAATTCATTTGTTAAAAGTTATGTTGTGGATTAAGTTTTCGCTTAATTTGTTGTTAGTTGCTTGTGTGTTTTTCTTAGAAGTGGCGCTTCGTTTTTGAACATTACATTTAAAAGCTTAAAACTACTACATGACATCGTTTTCTTGACTCAAATAAAATATAAGACTAGAAATATATACCATTGTATTTTATGAAGCTTTCTTTCAATTTGAAAATTCTTTTCACATCAATCATAATCATAATCTTCATAAAGTTTTTAATTCGATTTTTGTTTAAAATGTATGTGCTTGCTTTCTTGCTTCTTGTTGTTTTTGTTGTTTTTACTTTTAAAATAAATCCCTCAACTTATACTAAGTATTATTTATTTAAAGTGTAGTGTTGACATTAAAAACAAAATTGCTGACAACGAAAAATGAGAAACAATATTAAAAAATTGCACATAAATTGATAAAAGTTGTTGCTTGTTGTTGTTGTTTTTGTTGCTTACATTTAAAACTTGCAAATGTCTTTCTTCATTTTTTAAACATATATAGTAGTTGTATTTATAAATGGGCTTGGATTTTTTTGGTTTATGCAGCAAAGATCACAGATCCTCAAAAAGAAGTGAAAGCAACTAAGATTTTCTTTTTATCTTTGTTTTTTTTTTTTGTAATTTTTTATATATACGCACATAAAATATTCAAATTTCTTCTCAATTAATTTGTACATTTTAATTGCTATACGTAATATTTAACTTGCTTTTAAATTGTTTTGTTTTGTTTTTTTGTTTTGTGCGAAAACTCGAACTGAAAGAACCAAAGCTAACGAACTCAAATGGTTATAAACAAAATCTTACTAATACTTGCAACTTTCTTAGAGTGTTAATGTGTGTGGGTGTATGTGTGTGTGTGTGTGTGTTCGTAGTGTGTGGGTATTGGTGGGTGACGCTTAGCAGGACAATTGGTAAACTCTTAACAAATTTCAAAGGCAGCACAGTTTTTATTGACAATTTTTGACTCGTTTCTCCTTAGTTGTATTTAAAATTGTCAACAAAAACTTAACCGCCCTTTGTGGCTTGAAATCTGTATAACAATTTACCAAAAATCCTTGTACGAACCTCAGGAGCCGTGTAGCGCATTATTCTGCGCATTGTTGGCGGCGGTGCCATTCACATTTTGGGCCGACACCTCCGACTTAACTCGCCGCGCAATATGCGAACGTGTGTGCTTGCGCAAGTGATCCTTGCGGTAGAAACCTGCCAAACGAAAATTCAGGTTATTGCACAAAGGATAACAGGATAAACATGCTCCACACTCACCTTTGCCGCACTCAATGCACACGTGCTTCTTTTCACCCGAGTGTATGACAATGTGCAAGGTGAGTTGCTCCTTGCGCTTAAAGGACTTCATGCATATCTGCGAAGAAACGAAATGAAGTTAGAAACACACTTCTTGGGTGGAAACTTACATATTAGCGCTTGAATTAAACTGGTTTTCTTTTTTGACTATAACTTGGCATGCAAATCGATTGGTTCGATTGCAACCAGTATCGTAAATCGTATGAGGAATAGTTACATTATCCTAATATATTACTGACTAGGAAAAAAAACTTAGCTACGTCGAATGAAATAATGAGGCATCTGATAAATGTTAATGCAAGCTAAATAATAACAATTGGGCAAGCCCGACAGTGAGATACCCTGTACCCAGACAAACAAAGCAAAAATAAGAAGAAGAAGAGCGAATTTGATGCTGAAGCTTGTGGGCGTAGTACCGGAGTGAAATTGTTTGGCTAATAACTGTTCTAAGAACTAACCGAATTGGATGAAATTTGAAACGAAAGTATGTAGATACTTATATACATATATAGTTTACGTAGCTTTTGAAATGTGAACGGTATTGACGAAATTCTGTAGCGGGGAGAGGAGAAGGAAAATCCAAAAAATAAATAAACTCGTGTAGCCTAGGGACTAGGAGCGTCTATATACCAAGTTTGGTTCATTTGCGCTCAACCGTTTCCGAAATCCAGGTGTTCATACAGACAGACGGACGGACAGACGGACGGACGGACATGTCTAGATCGATTTCTCTCGTCATGCTGATCAAGAATATATATAATTTGTTTGGTCGGAGATGCTTCCTTCTGTCTGTTACATACTTTGCACAAACCTAATATACCATTTTTAGCCTTAGCTATAAAAACATAAGTACATATTTTTAATGGTTGATCGTCTTAACTTTTAAAAATGACGTAATTGTTTTTGTTCCATGATTTTTTAAAAGGTGATTCGCCAAACGCATTTGGAATAAAGCATATAATATTTATAAGAAATTGAAAAGAGGGTCCATTTTTGGTAGCCCTTTTAATTTTAATTTTTTAATTGCCATTTTCAACTTATTTTTTTCATCTTTGTATATTTTTTCGATGTGGACCGACCCGGTTCACGAATTCTGCAGCTGTCTCAGTAGTTCGTGTGACAGCTAGGTCACGGAATTTGCACGATTATTGCTTAACCAATTGTCTGCTATAAGATTCGACAAAGACTCGGACTTGGGAATATTCACCAGTATTGGCACCAATTGCAAACTAAGAAAACTGCACTATTTGGTTATTTCAGGCACTGACTAATAAATAATTACAGTCACGAAATACAAGTATGAGACACTTCTTTATAAGCAATGCCTTTAACACGACACACTAAACACAACTATTGATATCAATATTTTGTTCAGCCGCATAACTCTAAACTCTACTCACATTGCAAACATGTGGCCTGTCCGGTATGTGGGAGAGCTTGTGCCGGGTCAGGTGATCCTTGCGCTTGAGCGCCGCATTGCAGATATCGCAGACGAAGCGCCTCTCAACTGCATGCGAGATGACGTGCTGCTCGATGAGACTGCGATCCGGATAGGCCATCTGACATTCGGGGCAGCAGTATAGAGTGGAGCCATCCAATGCCTTTGTCTCGCGTATTTCACCGGGCTTGGGACGCGGCTTCTTCTCCTTGGGTGGTTTCTTCTTTTTGGTCTTCTTGCCGGTGGTGGTTGTGGTGCCGCCCGTGGCGTTCGTTGTGCCCACCGCAGCGGTGCTGGAGACAGCGGCCCCATTGGCGACCGCACCATTGGCATTGCCATTGACACCATTGGCGCCAGCATTGCCATTGGCCAGCGGTGCGCCATTCGCATCTGTCATATTGGTCATATGGACGCCATGGTCCATGCCAACGAGACCGCCGCCGCCACCATTGTGATGTGCACCACCGTTGGCGCCGTTGTTGCTTGGCGTCAGGGCAACACCGCCGAGCGCCAAACTGGCCAAGTTGGTGCCGTTCTTCAGCACATCACCTTTGATGTTGAAACCCGTAGAGGCGTCTAAGTTCAAATTACCTGAGTTGATTTGTGAGCCAACAATACCTGAGGATTCCTTCTTTATTGTTTCGGAGTACTTGAGGAAGTGTTGTATGGAGATTGGCAGTGTTGCGGATAGCAAATGCGATGAGTAGTCGACGGTGTTGGCCGTGTTGGCCAGAGTTTGCCACGACTGATTGACATTCTGTAGGATCTGCTGATTGAGCACTGCAGATAAAAATCGTTAAAGAACTTGGATTAGTTCAAATTATACTTGTAACTTATAGAATGAGAATTGTACATTAATATAATGTTTCTACTTTTCCCCACGCGTTGGAATACCAATGCCTTTAAAAACTTTGAAATTGTTGAGGTAGGTTTTTATATTTTACACTTTCACTTAAATTGGGTTTTGGATTTTAGAATCGAACAGTTCTATTACAACTTTAAGCTTAAAGAATCGAGCTCTAATGTGAATATAAGTTTATAAGTCCCCATTATTTGCGATAATTTGTTACCATTAGATTTCTACTAACAGTCAAACAGACAGACGACGCCTCCTTTTATGTTACATGTACACTCGTATAAATCTAATATACCCTTTGGGTATAGGTTATAAAAATATAAAAGAGAAATATATTTAGAGATCTTGAACATCTTCCGCTATCTGTACGCTGTAATGTCTAAATTCTCCCCAATGTTTTTATTACACATGATTGAATTATTACCATTTTAATGCTCCTAATTACTTTTTTCGTCACATTTCCTAGGAAAAAATACACATTAGTTTTCTAATCATAATTTTACCGTAGAACTTAATGGCATTAACTCAATTCTATCCCCTACTAATGAACTTGTTCTTATAAATGACAGTCTTTATTATTTTCCATTCCTTCCATAAAACAGAAAAAGCCATTCCAGACCCCTACTATATATCAACGGTAGGACGAGAAGAACATATAGAGGCATGTCGGTCTGCCTGTACGTGTGAGAATCGAAAACTTTTGAGCCATAAAAGCGGGATATGAATACTTGTCGTATCCATAAGCACATAAAGTTTATTAGAAACCATAGAACCAATCACTCCTAATAGCATAACTCTTTTGCTTTAGTTATAGAAACTATTAGTTTTTATTCAGTATGAGAATCGTGTGAGAATCGAAAACTTTTGAGCCATAAAAGCGGGATATGAATACTTGTCGTATCCATAAGCACATAAAGTTTATTAGAAACCATAGAACCAATCACTCCTAATAGCATAACTCTTTTGCTTTAGTTATAGAAACTATTAGTTTTTATTCAGTATCATACCTAAAATTTGGTATCCATGTGTTTTTTTTTTTTTTTTTTGGTACAACAAAGTTTATTAGAATTGAACGGATGCAGCGGGAAAAAGGATGGTTCGACTTTAACGTTCTACTTGTTTTCTAATTATATATTTTCCCCAAAATATTCAGTTGATTGAATTTGTTTTTGTATTTCATTCTACCGTATTAGTAATGAACTTTTGTTTTCAAATGCTAATTTCCTGAACCATTGATCATTGTATTCGTTGAAAAGTTCCTTTGTCTCTACACTAATCTCTTATTTATTCTATTGCAAGAAGTATTTTGATGAAACAAAAACGTGGCTAGTCATGCATTTAAAATCCCGGCTTAGTTTCTGCCTTGTTCCACTTTTCATGCCGGGAGGCTGTTTATTTAATTTTCGTCCTTTTCGTGCCTTGCTCTTGCCCACGCCCTTGATTCTCAAGCGAGATACATGATAACTTTTCATGCATTATCTAATAGCTTCCCGGATGATTTTCTTGCGAAAAACCTACCCCAACAACAAATTGCTTTGGCTTTTATGTGCAGACACTCTAACGCACACACACACACACACACACACACATAGACATAGGCTAAGGAACATATGTAAGCCAGCGTCTGTTTGTTCCTGCGCCCATATCCTTACAAGTGTGTGTGCATGTGTGTGTGAGAGCTCGAGTCTATTTTCTTGAAAATCCCAGGCTGCAGACTTGAAGAAGCAAACTCACAGACTCCCGGACCACCCAGACTTTTAGACACCCAACGAACCGATGCCTCCCACCCATTTACTGCCAAGGACACATGATGAACAGGCTGCCTGGCATTAGGTATGTACACAGGATGTTCTACCCCGCCCTAAGCTGAGCACCCCCTCCTCCCACTGTACACAACCGCTTCGGGCTAAGCCAAACTTTTAGCTGTCCAGTTTTAAAGTTAAACTTTTATTTTCTTCAAATTCTCATATACACACTTATATGTATGTGTGTGTCTGTGTGTGTGTGTGTAATTGAAAAATTTGCGCAAACTTGTTGAAAATTGAATAAAAGGAACAATTCCTGTAACTTATTAATGATAATGCTAACAAATTGTGAACTGACAAAAGTTTTTATTTTAAGCAGCCCCAAAAAGTATGCTATGAAATCATATGCAAACACGCACCCACACAACCATATTTGTGGAGAATGCGGCCACAAAATGGCATTTATAAATAACGACAGCGCGTAATAAAAATGTGGAATGCCAGAGGAAGAACCGAGCCAGCCAGTCAGCCAGCCAGCCAGTCAGTCAGTCAGTCAGCCAAGAATTTGGGATGCGGGCGAACACACGGCACAAAAAATGCCGAAGAATAATGTGCGTCCTTGAAAATACTTATATACACGCACACACACACACACAGACACATAACATACATATATAGCCGAAAATTGTTCGTGTATGTGTATAAGAACTCATTCGTTTTTTCCCGGCCCTTTGCTAATTCTACTGAGACCGCCGCCGTCGCCGCCATCGACTCACCTTCTTCCCGGTCACGTTCAATTTTTGGATGGATTTTACCCTTATGATCCGCTGCAGCGGCAGCATTCAGAAAGTTCAGATCACTCTGTGGCTGTGAGTATGGTATGGAGATATTTTGACCATATTGCATATTATTGGCTGCCGAAACTGTAAAAAGAAAATTAGAAAAAGTATTCCCATTAGTTATATAAAAACGGAATGTAGGAGAGGGAGAAATAAATTATAGATGTATGATTTTCTTACACATGTTATATTTATTGTTGTCTACTCTGCCGCGTCTGTCTGTTATTTATCACAGAAGTATACTATATATAGTGTATATATATATAGTATATTTTATAGATTTGTTTGTGTGTATAGATTTTTATTTAAGAGCCCAATAATAAAATTCACGCCGCTACTTTTTTCGGCAACACACGCACGCAAGCTCCAACACACGCCGACTGACTCTGACTGCCTGACTAACTACAACTGTGCCTGTTTGCTTGGCTGGTTGGATGGCTGGCTGGCTGGCTGGCTGACTGGCTGGCCTGTTAGTCTGGCCTGCTTTATGCTTTGGCTCCTCGTCAGCCAGAGGCGCCCAGCTGGTAGCACGAACGACGAGGATCGGGTGCCGGCACACAAAAAAAAAAAAATGAAAAGAGAGATGCAAACAAAAAACAACAAAGTGGGAGCTGTCGTCGGCAAAAAGTAACGACGACTCGGACGACTCCAACGACGACGATGTGGCACGATTTATATGTGTATATACTTATATATATAAAATACATACAATACTGCTGTTACTGCCTGTCTGCCAGCTGTACACACACACACACACACACGCACACACACTTATTAGCGCTGCGCGTGCTGTCAGTTGGCAACACTGGCCGACTGCTCGACTCGACTCGACTCGCCTCGACTGGCAATGTCTACGTCGGCTGCCAAGGCCAAATTTCGCACACACACACAACTATAGAGGCGCCGCTGTGTGCGTATACACAAGTATTGATGTGTGTGTGTGTTCGTGTGCGCCTACTTACGCATACATAGGAAAAAGGAAATTAAAACTGAAAATGCCGGTTTTTTTCCCAGCCATCCAGCCAGCCAGCGACGGCAACGCCTGACTGTATGCTACACATTTTTCATAGCTCGCCTTTTCCTCCTCTTTTCTTCCCTTTTTTTATAGTATGCGTGCGTGTGTCGCCGTGTGGGCGCTCGCCTTTTATAAATAACAATTTTTTCGGTGCCGCTGGCTGGCTGGCTGACTGGCTGGCTGGCTGTTGCCAATTGCCTTTTTTTCCCGACTGTTTGTTTCCTTTTTCCTGCAGCATGGCCGGCAGATGGAATGGGGGAGTGGCAGGCATTATAATGTACCAATTTCTGCGGCGGCAACACGGCAACAACGACTCCGAATTAAATAATGCATACACACGCATTTACATACACATACGAATAAAAAAGTATAAGCAGCAGCAGCATAGCGGCAAAGGAAACACTTAAAAGGACGAATGGCCAAGTGCTGAATTTTTTCTGTTCTCTACTTTTTCTATTCTTTTTTTTGTTTGTATTTTATTATTTTTGCATGTTGCTGTAAACACCGTCTGCATGTGTGTGTGGGTTGCTGCTGTGCGTATGCTTGTCAGCCTCTTTTGTATAAATTAACTTGTGACCTTGAATTCCAATGTAATTTAACATGTTTCTTAGGGCTTTAATGCGTTGTGGGTGAGTCCTTTATGGGTCGCCAAGCGAATGGCACAGTAGGAATGTGCAAAAAAAGAAATAGGCTGCACAAGTATGGTACCTTTTCATTGCTAAATGTTTGGCGTGCTAATTTCAATTAACCATGCCAGTAACATGGCTCGGATTCCGTTCGCTATGGCAATGAAAATGGGAATGGTGACGGCATATGTTAAGAAAATTTGGGCACGGAAAGCAGACAAAATATAATCTACCAATTTACGTAAAGACGACGAGTTCAAAAGGATTGCCAAAGCTTTGTTACTATAAAGTTATTTGTGCTACTACGTTTTATTCAACGACCTACGGCAATAATCGCAGACATCATAAAGCCCGACTGAAATTAAATGCGCAATATTATGGCATAACGATTTCCTTTGTACCGACAATTGTTGTTATTATATGAGTATATTTCGTTCTTTCGTTGGGTAACATGGTATGCTTAATAATTATTTCATTTCGAGACATTTATTCTTAATATGGGAACAACCGCAATGTGATATATTTACGTGTCTAAAATAATATAAATATATATTTCAACAGCCAGTTGTGTAAAAAGAAATATGTACATAGAGAAACATTTAACATTTTAGATAGATGGATAATTATACGAATTATCTAGATTATGACATAATTTTTCAATCAAACTTATTTACAGCAGCTTGATTTCAAAGTTAATTCCATTTAAAAATCACTGGCAGCATTCAATTCTCGGCATCTTAGATTTTAAGATCTCTTGACTTTTTAAGTTCTCTCAGCGATCAGGAATTATATTTTTCTATACTGAAGGCATAAAATATTTATCCATTTATAATTATTTATACAAATACTTTTTTAAAAAATCTTTTTGAAGCTAAAAATGTTAAGCCTCTTTATGTTTTGGAAGGCTTATGGAACTGAATCTATTAAATAACTGAATCTAAAATGACCTCCAAAGACGAATCCGCTTGCTAATATTAGCCCCAACCTTTTATTAGTTCTGTAGCTTATTTAAAAGCTTAAAAATATTGAAAACCATTGAAAAAGCAGTTAAGAAATTAATGCTAAGTTAATATATCAAAGTAATGCAAATTAAAATATCAGAATAAAACTCTCTCTCTCTACAAAAAATTATCAAATCTGAAAACCAATCAAGAATTGATGTATCAGTAAACAACTTTTATAATCCCTAACCATTGAGATATCAATTAACCTTTTCCTGAGTTTTCTTATAAAATAAGTTACTTAATTTAAAAAATTTGTTAAAGTGTTTGAAAGGCAAGTCAAAAACAAAATTGCGAAGAATATTAACGCCAAGCTTTTACTGTTTATAAAGTAATTGATTGTGTAACAGACTTTCATTAATTAGAAAGCCATTCTTAAACAAAGTGAAATCTTCAAAATTAGCTTCTAAGATAGACGAAATAATTGATAAAATCAGTAGGCTAGCTAATTAATATTACAGCCCCCACATATTATTACATGCAATCGCACTCACACTCAGCAAAACAATAATCGTCAACAAGAAGAACCAAAAATCGATTTATTAATCCGATTCCTCGGAGTGCCTAAATCCAAAGCTCAGTTATCCAAACATTGACAGAACAATTTAAATGCCACGCCCATGATTGGGCGGCTTCTGCTTCGAATACAATAGAATACAAAGAAAAGCGAATGAATATCTTAGATACAGTAATTAATCAACTAAGTAAAATGGGGCGACAGCCAGCAATCCGCCCAAAAGAAGGCTACGCATAATGTCTAGGCTGCAGAAAGAACAGAAAGTAAAAAACAAAACAACAACAACAACAACGACAAGTTAGTCGAAAATCGTAACGAAAATAAGCAAAGACGACGACAATAGCCACAACGATAACAAACAAGAACTAAACGATAACATTGAAAACCACCATTTGCCAAAACCCAGACTGTCTGAAACTCAAACCAGCAGGCGTGCGTGTGCGGATGACAAACGGACGGAAATACTGGGCTAAGCCATAGATTTTAACTACAACAACAACAGATACTGCCTGCGAACGACAAAAGGCAGACGACGACGCTCTATTTTTGCTAACATCGTACCCATCGCACATCGTTCATCGACCACCATTACCATCGCCAGAGTCATCGTTGACGTCGCCATTTCCATCGTTCTCGTTCTGGCTGTAACATTTCACTTTTCACTTCACTTTCACACGAGCCACACGAACGAGTCAGAGCCAGAGTCGGAGCCGCTGCCGGAGCAGGAGTCAGAGTCGGAGTTAGTGCTGTAGTAATACACTAAGAAAAAAAATGCACTTGTAAACGCCCGAACATTTCAAATATCCTGTCTTATGTCTCTCATCTTTAAATTACAACTAAAGAACTTGGCCTACTTTCGAATAAATTTCTTTTTTCTATTTTATAATTTTAAGTAGATTTGTCTTTACATTCAAGAATATATTCTTCACAATTTATTATTATTTTTTGGTATAGCAATATACCATTGTTTTTTATGGTTTGATTCGACACGTATTTCATTTTAAGAATTAGATATTATTTTAATAACCTACGCATTGCCTTAATAGTTAGTTTAAACGACGACCTACCAATTTTTTTGTATAAAAAGATAAACACAATATCCTAGGAATATTTATGGCCATCGAACACCAACTCACAAACCAAGGACTCACAGCATTTATCAAACTCACTTGGGAATTCTAAGTAAATATAAAAACAATCGTACTTAGTCAGCTTTTCATTCTCTTCATTCTTCATTTCATTCGCACTTAACACTAAAAAATATCAAATTAACCATAATGTAAATTTTACAAAAACTAATTTTTAAAATTCACAATGATGGCTGTAAGTTTATAATATATTTCTCATTTATTGATAAAATAAACTGTATATAAAATGGGCCGTTATTAGTTTTAAGGCGATTTACTAAAGTCGGGAATGTATTTTTTCTTAGTGTAGTCTGCATGCTGGTGTTGTTAACATAGCACTGTTCCAAAACCCAGCAACGAGTTAAAGTCGGTGAAACTGAAACACGGCCAAGCGAGAGCGAGAGTGCGAGTTAGAGGTGGGCATGCGCCGTGTTCTTGTTCATGCCCTATTGCGGCACGCTTGTTCATGTTTCATACTGTGTTAGTTTTAAAAAGCTCCAGCTCTAGAATCTTGATTAATCTTAAAATTATTCTACAAAACTATATCTTACGATATTTCTATCAATTTATAGTTAGATATTTTATTTTTAAAGTGATTTTGTAACTTAATGTAAAGTTAAAGGTTGTACTTTTAATGTGAAAATAAATCGAGCACATATAAGGTACAATAATTAGTTTATACAAAAAACATACTATTTTGAAAAATGAAAAGTTTAAGTGGACAAGACATGCTATAGTTGGGATTCTTTTCAACTTATAACTTCACTATTATACCTATTTACTCCTTTTAATAACAAT